GCTAATGTAAATCTAATCGATTTTAAATAAATCTAAGTTTTAAATGTGAATAAAAACAAGAAAAAAAAAAGAAGGAATTGAAAACATATCTTTCTTTCTGAAATTGTTTCTCTTGACATCTCTTGCTTCTTGAGTTTTATTTTGTGGAGAAAGTTTTAACCTGAAACAATACAAAAAACAACATCAGATTTCATATATGAATTAGATTCAAGTTTTATTTAGTATTGCTATTATTATTATTATTATCATTTTTTAAATAAAAATTTTATTGATTTTACATTAGTTGTGAAAACAAATTAAACATAAGTAATCTCTAACGACCTAATGAATTCAAATGGCTCGATACCATGTCTGGTTAGTTTCACAGCTAATGTAAAATCTAATAATTTTTAAATAAATTTAGGTTTTAGTGTGAATAAAAAAAGAAAAAAAAAGAAAGAGGGAATAGAAAACATATCTTTCTTTTTAAGATTGGGTGATTTTGGTTTTGTGATCTCCTTGTTAGACCTGTGTGTGATTTTTAATTCAATTGGTTACTAAAAACAAGAGAAGATTGGTGCGTTGAATTTTCTTTAATCGAGCTGGAACTTACTTTTGAGGTAAGAAGGGTTTGTTGAAGTTAGGCACATGCTTGACATGAGGAACCATCGTCTTTCCCATTTGCTTCAGAAACATCTCTTCCTCCACCTGAGAGAAGTTTTCAGGTATTACATTTGAGCAACGTTTGTGAGATGTTATTACAAGCTAAAGCGAGTGTTGCATACCACTTTTGCAGCTTCACTCTCTTCACGGTATCTCTTACACTGATTCTCTAACGACCAAAAGATGCCCATATCTCCTTTACTCTCAAATATCTGGATGGGTTTATGTGATTCTAAGTTAGATAGAGAGAGAAAGATAGATATGGAATTCCTGCGATGGCAATATATATGAGCCCCTTGTATATAAAATTACAGGTTCGTTTCTAAAATGATGTTACTCTCAGCTTGGGTGTGACTACCTGAAATTCTGGCGGATGTGGCGTGCTTCTTTGTGGCTCAGGCATAGCTGGAGCTGCCAAAATCTACATACAATAAGAGAACACGTTGTTTTGTGTTTCTGAAGTAAAGATATATATTGACCACAGTGAAACCAAATGCAGTACCTTCTTGTTCACAGGTCGAGCTTTAAACTTGGGAATCTTTGCCAACATCTCTTCCTCAAACTTGGGAAACTTGAAAATCAATCAAGACTCTTATTTGTGAATATGTGTTATTAACACCTATAACAGCTTAATTGGTTACAAACCAAAGTTTAGATTAGTGCTACAAACATTTTACTTTTTTTTTTTAATGCAACTCCTTTTGTTCTAGTAATGCAAAAGCTTTAAAATCCACTTTGTGTCAAACATATATGTTGACATTCTTATATAACAGAACAATCTTTTCTTCTTTATCTTGGCCTGAAGCACACAGGCACTAACTTGGAGTCACATTTCACGATGATTACACAAACAGAAACGAGATTTTATGATTCTGCAAACTTGGAACATATGAAGCCCCAAACAAAGTAATGTTATAGTTTGAACAAACCATTCCATTTATAGTTTCGGACAAATACAAAGATACAAAGCTCCAACAGCGAAATCGAAAACATTAACAGTAATAATAATACTATATGACAATAAAACGTAAACTAGAACCAACCACCATGATATATCATCATCACTCGCTTAGAATGGGCTATTTTTAAGGGGATAAAAAGGTTTCTGTAGGGTGAATTTATAGAAACAAAAAGAATGGAATGGTATTGGTAGCCGCCGAATGATTCGAGGTGATGACCTCTAAGATGCGACTGGTTTTGAAGTGGCCTTCTTAACGGCTTCCGCGTAGGTCCTGTGCTGGTAAGTTAAGGTCGACTCAAGCAAGTCCCAGAGAGACGTCTTAGGGTTCCATCCTAATTATATTGTCCACACCAAATATCAGAAAACAAATTGGTTTGGTTATGTTTTGAAGAAACAAAGCAGTCCAAAACAAGAGGAAATTACCGAGCTGACGGTTGATGATGGTCATGTCCGGGATTCTCTTGTCGCTGTCGTCATAACCTTCTCCATAAAATTCTTTGGAGCTCACGTCTATCGTTGGACTCTCTATGGCTGTCTCCCCACTCACTTTTGCGTAGACCTGTCCATTTTTTTTGTTTTGCAAACATATGAGCGTGCCCGTAGTGTATCGAAAATCAATCAAGACTCTTATTTGTGACCAAATTTTCTCACCTCAGTCATCATTTCAGCAAGCTGTCTTACGGTCACTTCGTTGTTTGGGTTCCCTACATTGAAGATATGGCCATTGGCTCTCTCTGGGTTCTCCTGTTAAAGATCCCGCAAGCAATTCAGATGCAACTTCTTTGATGACAGTGCAACAAACAAAATATCACCAGGAATAAGCAATGGATGAAACTCACAATCATCAACAGGACAGCTTCAATGGCATCTTTGATGTAGATGAAGGTTCTCTGTGACTCTCCACCATCCACAAGCTTGAGAGGCTCGCGTCGCAGAAGGTTCTGGAAATACCCCAAAAAGTATTAATGGTAAGCTGCAGCGACGAAAACGAAGTCGGGTTATTGGACTGAGCCTGTACACTTACGTTGCTAAAGCACGCGAGGACACGAGGGACACCCTCGCTAGGACCATCAATGCCAGGGATGAAATCCATCCTAGGTCCAATCCAGTTAAACGGCCTTACAATGGTGAACTCAAGTCCGTTCTCAGCACCCTCAGCTGCAACCACAAACAAAAGAAATGAGAACCTTTTTTCCTCTAAGTACACTGAATTTGCTTATTATTTTTTTAAAACAAAACTGCATACCGTAGACAAGTCTCTCAATCAGTTGCTTTGCACAAGCATATGACCACCTCTGCTTCTCAATAGAACCAAATATGCAAGGGGATGTATCTTCTTTAAGTACATAAAAATCAGGGTCCTGTAGAAAACAGACGAGCATCATTTGTGAGTGGTGAAGAAATAACAAAAACAGAGACAAAAGCTAGCAATAAGAACCACAGAAAATCCCCATGTAGTAGATAGGACTAAAAGCCATAGTCAAGTAAACGCAGGAATAAGAAGTCTTAACAACAACAACAACAACAACAGTAGAATATTAATTTTCGAAACCATATTGAGCGAGTGTGCCACTGTACAAAAGATCATAGTTTGTTGATCCACTTGACAGCGACATTCAGCAGAAGGTGATGCTAAAGACAAAATGACATGATCGGAGTGAAGAGGAGAAAAAGGCTGACCTGACGCAGAGGATGATCCTTCGGAAGAAAGCTTCCTATAGTTTTTCCATACACTTCACAAGTGGAAAAGTGAATAAGACGCTTGTTGTTCTCCGAGCAGTATTTAACCTACATTGACCACTCAATGTCATAATCTTAAGCATCGCTATCACAAATATATATCTCAAAATTTTAGTTGCTCCACCAAAGGAGATACATACCACAGGGAGAGCATCGATGAAATTGCTGTAGATAGTGTCAAGAGGACGCGTATTGTAATCAGCTGGAGTACAGATCGCAGCCAGATTGATCGTCTGCGAAGCAACAACAGGTTACAATCGAGAGAGAGATAAACTGGAAACACACAAACACTGCGTCGTGCAAGACATCTGAAAACGTGGAATTAAGCACTAAAAAGAGGAACATGTAAGCGAAACGTCAAGTGCACAACGTGGAAGCTGAAATTGAATATTTAATTTCCTATAACGGATCAGATCTGAGCAATCATCAAAATCAGCGAACGCACTAACACTATCGCTACGAAAATTTCCAACGAAATTCAATGATTCCGCACAAGCTTTGAAGAAGAATAGAGCAGATACCGAAATTTGCTGAAGAGCAGCTTCGCATTAACATAAAAAAATTACGGAGAGCATTACCAGATCTGCCATTTTGATCAGTCCTTCGAGTCTAGAATCATGCTTGATGTTGATTCGATGAAACTGGATCCTCCCGGCCCACTCAACCGTATCAGGCTCGAGCAAGTGCTTGATCTTGTCGTTGTAGACGTCGAGCGCGAGGACGTTGTGGGGAGTCTCCGTCATCAGCTTCTCGCAGAGGTGAGATCCGATGAAACCTCCGGCGCCAATCATGCATATCGTGATCGGCTTAATAGGCCTGCCGTCCAGATCCAATCTACCGGCTCCGTTCGCCATTTTTGTCGGTGAGAAAAAAAAAAGTGGGAATCAGAAAAAAAACTAGTCTGGAACCGCGTGATCTCTCACGCTACAAAGATAACAATGCAATCAATGGGTGGAAGAGAGAGAGAGAGAGAGACTTTGTTGTGAGAATGGGGAAAAAGCAGAAATAGAGGGATGGATATTTAAAGACATGTGGACGGAGGCATTATGTTCGTCGGTAGCAAAACCTACTAGTCTCTCTCTCTCTGCTCCGACTCACTCACCCTCACGTGGGGATTAATGTAGACCAAAAAGTTTTCGTTAGTGTGTCATATTCTCTTTTACTCAATTATGAACTCTTCACGTGAGATCTAATAGCAATTTCCGATTTCAATTTTTGGACTAGATCTGACCTGCGCTGGCCATTCAATAGATTAATTTACTTTTCTACATTATGACGTGACGTCCTCTATAATGCGATAACAACTAGATAAATGGTGTCCTCGAGTATATTTTTTCACTGAGATGCATAACTCAAAATAAAGAAAGATATTAAAAACTGTGGGGGTTTTGATCATGAGGATATACAAGGAGGTTTTTACCCATCTCAATCATAATATATGTTTTAAGAAGGGATCTCTTAAGAAACAAAAATTTAATGGGTGCACGTGTATTCACCCGATATGAATTCATCTGAATAGACTGAAAATGACGGTGGAAATTTTCTACGTTGGGACGCCAAATTGTTTATATTCGGCGTCTTGGTTTGTTATTTATCTGTCGTTACATACCGTTTAGTGTTGGATAAAAAGTCTATTTAGCGAGAAAGGGGAGAAGTGTTGGGTCGTAAGTAAGAATTAATTAGTGATAGATGATGATGATATGTGATTAAAGTTACAACAATAATCTTGTTTTTTGAGACTCAACTTTTTGGGCAAAAGCCCAACCTCTGGACTCTGAAGTGAATGCTAGATGCTAAAAGAAGCTAAAACTCCGAGAGAGCAAAAGATGGAGAAAGAGAACTACTTGTAACAACAACAAGTAATAACTTGTATAACCACTCTCTGAACTGTTTTCTCTCCACTGCCCTGTGTTTATAACGTCTCTGCTTTGTCCTCCTCTTGTCGCTGAAACGTTCACCTCCAGAGAACCTGTAACGTAACGTAATAACCTCTGCGATTTCATTATCTGCAATCTGAATCATACTCTCTAATGTAGGATTGGATGTATAAACTAAACCGAACAAGATGTAAGAAACACACTCACAGTCGTATTCTGCCCATCCGATCCGTTGGCGAACCAGATCGTAGACCACCACTTTGTCTTTAAGAACCAAATCTGCAAAGCAAAATCAAGCCACGAGAAACCCCATTGAGAAAAAAATTAATGGCACTGTTGTTCTCAGTTTCACTTGGTCGACGAGTTACAGAAATAAGCATCAAGTCTTTACCGCCAAGAATGGTTATACGACGATGCGACATTCTCTGGAAACCAATGCACCATATCGAACTTCCTGACTGATGATAAGCAAATGAAAAACAAAGAAAAAATATATAAGTTTATTTTTTTGGGGTACCAATAGATAATATTCAGTCCTTAGGCTAGATACAGTTGACCTATAGCTAAGAGTTGCGCAGCTACTACACTTATTCAAAGCTTATTATTGCCACATTACAAGACAACTTATAAAGCAGTGTATGAATATGCTTACACTAGAAAAATATTGAAGATACCCACGGGGCTTTAACACCATTGACGCACCACCAGCGAAGCTCAAACTAACTTCGGGAAACGCATCAACCGCTCTGCAACATGGATTCAAATCTTTTTAGCAGCTAAACATTCGAGAGAGAGATATATATACATGCACATGCGAGGAACTTTACCCAGATGCGATGTCAAAGCACTGGTAACTCTCATAGGTAATGGGACGCCCATACTGTGATACAGCAATTGAAATCTGCAAGTTGAAAGGTTTATGAATCTTCTTTCTTGTAAGGTATAGTAACATCTATCTTCTAAAATTGGGTTGAGATCTCATTACAAAAATGTAACACTTGAGGACAGATACTTCAACAATGGCAAAAACTAGACTCACAGCTTGGACGAACGGACCATAAGCTTCGTCGGGGAGATAAGCAAGAGTAGTCCCTGTGTCAATTATCGTCCCATCACCAGTGGCTATTGTGAAAACAGATGGATCAATCGGTAATATCTGATTGTTCACAGCAATGCTCTGCAGGTTCACATTATAATGTGGCCTGAAATGGTTTTTTGCAGCATATTATCTGAATCAAGACGTGGGGTTATATATTTTAGTCTTCCTATTCCAAGCTAAACAAACCAGCATTTCATTCTCGTAGGTTCAGCTACGAAACGTTCATATCTGTGTAATGACTTTCATAATCATCAGTTAACCCTTGAATCTACCTCATTGTCATATAAAAACAAATTTTGGGAACTCTACCCTAACACAGAAGCCTGCTTCATCATACCTCGGTGCTTTTATTTATAAAAGATATAATAGACTCGGGGTGTATACTATAAGGATTGAGAACTCACTGTGATGGAACAAGAGGGGTATAGACAATATCCGGTCTCTTAATTTGACCTAGAACCATTACACCTCCACCGCTTTTATCTCCCTTCAGACAGTGTGAGAATACTCGTGGTGCAAGTCCCTGCATAGCAAGCTGTGAAATTACAGATAAACGCCCCTGGCCTAACCCAAAGATGCCATCAACTGCTCTTCTAGGCCTCTGTAGATCTCCCGTTTGTAAATTGCTACACCTGTTCGTCAGTATTGAAGATAAGCATCACATATTTAGATTCGATATGTGGTTACAGAACAATCTCATTTACAAAGGGCGTCATAAAATGCAAGATAAAAAAAGATGAGACGCCATATTCTCGGATTTGTGTATGTACAGACACCAAGAGAATATGTTTGCAGCCAGCTTACCCGAAAACAAATGGAGCAGAAGAATTTATAGCCAAGGTACTGGTAATAACAGTATCAAAGGATATGAAATCTGATATGTAGTAACCAGAAGTGCCACTTCCATCACCATACTTAAACGTATAGGAACAGAGATTGTTCGGAGAACAGCCAGATTCTGTCTGGAAATTTGAGTAACATCTCCTGTCTGAACAAGAAACCATTAAAGCTGAGGATGAAGCTCCAGGATCAAAGAAACTCAGCTGAATCTGGAACCCAAAAAACGACAAAAGAGAGGCAAATATATATGTAAGCTCGTCATAGAGATAAAACCAAGACCATGAGGAAGCGAAATAAATTGTTGTTAGAAAGAAATGTACTTGGAGTTCACTAGTCTTGGGGCAGCCGTTGCATGAAGTGCAGCTAACCCATAAAACATCACTTCCCGTGTCGATTTGCACATTGAATTCTCTTGGGGGTGTCCCAAGTTTAACCTTTGTATAGTAAAGTCTGTCATGAAAGCACAATAACAAATAAGATTCTAAAAAAGGAATGGACAAGAGCCAAGAGACAGAACCAAAAGACATTCTTAATTCTAATTTGAACAGAGATTTGATCGCGCTCGGTCTTCAAAAGCCAAAACAAAGTTCGGTTATTTATCGTTTGATGGAAATCGCGTCGAATCTTGAAGACAGAATCGATTCGCATTGCCCAGAAACAAATTGCTCTATTCGATTCAATCTGGGTTGGGGAATAGACTGTACTGCCGGTTCCAAAAAGTGAACTATTTTTTTTTCTGGATACCAAAAGAAAAATAAAGAAAAATTCGAAAATCGAAAAGTGCATAAGCAAATGGGTAAGCAACAACAGTAGTACCCTACGAGAAACGGATCGGAGGCTCCATAAACCGGAAAATCAACAACGCCGCCGACAGGAGACTGCAGTAACCTTCCATGGCGAGCTGAATCAAAAGCCCTGAGCTGAGTCAGACTAAGTTCATGGTTCGGCGGAATCAGCCTCTCCAGCATGAGAACCGCGTCGGAGCCGCTAACCATGGCAGTGACAGCATGTAGAAACAAGGCAGCGATGATTACTCCGGTAGGAGAATCCACCACCGCCATTTCTCGAGTTCGAACTTCTCTTCCGAGCGGAGAGAGAGAGAAAGCCGCCAAATGAACGTTCTGATATTCTGATGACAGTACTAAAGTTTTGCACATTTTGGTGATTAATTTAATAAATATGGGAATGAAGCTTTGCATAAATTATCCTTTTTTGTTTTAGTCGTTTTGGCGTATTGTAAATTTGATTTTCTGAACTTCAATTTTTCCATATGGCTGTTGTAAGAAAATGTTGAGTACTAGACTGATGAAATGTGTCTCCACCAACCATGACGCGTAAGTACGGATCTGTAACTTTTCTTTTACTTGAAGCCTTAAAGGTTAAACACTTAAAATCAATGTTTTAATACGCTTCAGGCATTAATCAGAAGTTCGAGTTGGGTATAACAACTTTGTCAGTTAACCTGGAAACTAAACAGAGATTAATTGAGAATTTGTTTTATGGAAAATTAAATATATAAAATATTAAATTTAAACGAACTTCCACAAAGAGCTAAGAGATGTTTGTCTTTCTTGTTTTTTTCCCCCACTTGTATACGAAAAGGATTTACGTCATCAAATTCTCAGATGAGAGTACTACAAGAAGCAAATACTCCAGGAAAGCGCCAAACGCCCAATATTGCTTAGAAAGCGCCAATAACACCAATCGAACTTAACTGAAAAAACGAAAGATAAGAGAGAGCTTATCACTTTATTGTCTTCTGGGAGCCTTTCTGAAATTTGATTGTTCCACATCCTCAAAAAGTGTAAAGGAGTAGCACTTGTCTCTTGAGACGGTCTCTGGTTTTAGCAGTGATCTAGATTCTAGACATGCCATGGAACCAAAAAAATCCTAAGATGTTTTATTTGCATACAACGAGGAAACTACATCAAGAAGGTGCTTCACAAGATGTTGCTCGAAGAGGCTTTTGTAAATCTTCACTATGAAACATTCCAGGGAAAATTGAAATATTTTTTCTACACTTAACGTTTTTCTGCTTCTTGCTGTGGAAATTTTGGATACATGTAGGTCTAAAGAGAATTGGGGGTCCTTTGACTAGAATGGTTTAACAGAGATATCAGTTTTGTTACCTCTCATTGATCTTCCAGGAGAAGTGAGGTACAAGAGAGTAGTTGAGATACTTCCTCTGGAGTTGCTGCTCCAAAACCTTGCCATCTTACTCTCCCGAATTTGTCGAGTAGGAGAATATACCTGAAACATAAACAAGAACATGTGCATCAAAGAAATCAGAAAGCTTTAAACGAATCTGACTTGATGAAGTGGAGATTTTCTGTACCCGGTGAGAAGGTTCAAAACTTTCATCTGTTTTCGGAAATGATAATGGTCCCCAAATGAGTAAACAGCCTGCCTCTGGAGGACACTGTTCTCACTGTTGCTTGGTTTTTGCAAGACTCGGAGAAGTAGTTTCTTAACGGGTGCCAAACCCAGGAGCCATTTGTCTATAAATGAAACCTATAATTGCAAGAAATGAAGTTCGTCTGAAGAGAATGGGAGAAAAAAACAGCTGCTAAAAAAAGCACTTGTGCACGTTCTGATATGTATGAATATCAAAAGACGATTCAGGATCAGTACCTCAAACAACTGCAGATCTTTCCTGTCGCCAAACGTTTCAAGAAACGGTTTACTCCAGGAGCTGATCATTTCCTGTCAGATAAAGCAACCACATCCCAGCAGCAAAAGTTATACAAGCTGTATACGTAATAAGGTCATACTACTCAACAAGTGCTTCACCACTAAAAAACACTGTAACATGCAACCATTGCTTGGTAACCTTAACAAGCAACACACTTCCGTTAATGCCACAGATCTCTTCATACAGGCTAACCAAACATTTTCTTCGCACAAATGAATATAACGATAATAAAATGGAATTTTGTGTACCTGAGAGCTTGCTCGGAAAGACAGACACACCAATGATACTTTAGGAACAGCCAAGCTCTCTGTATCAACCTTATCGCTGTTGGAAGTAATAGGCAACTTCAAGCTTTTTCCACTGGAGAAAGTCACTGCTAATTCCGGAAATTTCATGGCTGACGTAGCAGGAATTATAGTCTTACTTGCAGCTGCGATCTGTAAAAACATCAAATGACAGTTAAGGAACTCCATAAAGGGCCATACAGGGCTGCAGTATCTAAATCGTGCATAGCTAAGTATATATAAAATCAGAAAAACTGGTTCTAGTAAACGAGCGTCCAATACAGATATGACTTCTATTAGCAAACCAACACGATATGTATAATATAAGCCATAGCTAATGAAAGCAATCTAAAGCTAAAGTTTTTTTTTTTTGCCATTGCAAGAACACAAAATCTAGGGTCTTTGATTGTGACTACTACCAAGAAGAGACAGAGTGAAAGTGGTAGTATCATTACCTTGCCGCCATGTTCCTTGAATTCTTTCATATCAGCAAAGTATCCTCGATTCATCTCATCATTACTGCCCTAAATCGCATCATACTCCACTAATTAACTTCTCATTGAGACAATCTATCTCGAAAATTACGAGTAAATATATACTAAACCGATAAACAAACTTCACTCCTGAACCTGGATCAGAGTAAAACCCCAAAAAAACAAAAAAGAATCGAGATCTAAATAAAGGGAAGCTTACAGTCTAGCACGCTCATCGGCAATTGCTTTCTTGTTCCCGAACTGCGCAAAGCCAAAACAACATCGACAAGTAAACAGTCAACGTTTCTCCGATAAGAGAAGTGAATAATTCCTCAAATTACCTGATAAAAATCGAGGAAGGAGCGGGTGGATGATCGAAGAGCAGGCATTTGCGAAGGGAGAGAGTCGTGATTCTCGCATCGAGTGAAGTTGAAGAGCCCTTGATGCTGGTTTCGATACGAGAGAGCAGAGACTGATCTACATTTTTGCTTCAGGAATCGATTCAATGTCGTCGCCATTTTCAAAGACCTTAAACCCTATTTGGTTAAAGCTGCTAGAAACTGTGGTGTGAAAAATCAGTCTGCTCGTCGTCTAAGGCGAACCAAGAACATATACCCTGAACCAACTATATTTTTTTGTGGCTAACCCGATCAAACCGATATTCCAATCCGGTTTAGACGTAGCCTCGAAAGCAATTACAGTATTTGGTTCAGAACTTGTGACAATATTTACTGGATATTTAAATTGGTCGGCATACATTTTCTGTTCTTTTCGCTAAAAACAAATAAAAATAATAACTTTAACAAAGCAGGTTTATACTTTGACAAAAATAACAATCTCATTCTGGTTTGCATGTTTTATACATCCGCAAACAGCTTATACGTATTAGCATCGATCATGATCTGTCTAACCGCTGCGACCATAGCAATCACACCTAAACTAGAAAACACCACAGCGATGACAGTGTTGATCCAGAAAACGAAACTTTTCTTAGATGGCTTGAAGGTAACGTTGAAGAACACTACAGGTAGAACAAAGTCTAGAGGCATAAAACCGAAAGCACCCAACAAAGAGTTTATATCTCCGAAAAATGGAAGCATCGCCGCAATGATTGTAGCCACCGCCACGAAAAAAGAACGTGCGGCAAGCCGAGGGATGACATTGCGGATAGAGAATTCTTTCTTTGTTGGATCGCTTAATAGACTTTCCAAAATATCGTTTATGGGTTGTAGGTACACCTGCATAACTCAATATTATTAACCGTATATGTGAAAAAATAAATGTAGAATGATTTAGACTTTAATGTGTAACAATGAGTAATATACATACTTACCACAGCAACGGCCGAGAGTTGAAGGACGGTGAAGAGATTGATGAGAAAAATAAACCAAGTAGGAACTAGGTAATGGTTTGTCTCAGGATTTAAGAAATTAGTGAAGATAAGTCCATTGGCTTTGTTACCAAATGCCCAATATCCTGAGATGGCTACAGTGAAGAATGTCGCTATCACTACAGTGTAACACATACACAGTCCTTTCAGCATTTTTCCTTTTACTGGTGCTGCCAATGTTGCCTGCATTGCAAAAAGTATAGCTTCATTTACCGAATTTTAATATTTTCAAAGAAGATAATATATTGTTTTTTAAAAAAATTGTTAAGCTGTAATGTAATCTGTTTATTGGGATTTTTTCCTTTCAATAACATGAATCATTCTACATATTTTTTCTTTAAAATGAAACCTGAATTTCGGGTATGATGCCATTGCCGTATGTAGTGGCAATAATAGCCATAGCATTAAAGACTCCAAACACTTTAGTTTCCTTGTCACCAACTATTGCATAGTCCTTCTCCGGTTCATTTGATGAATGTCCTGATATTTAAAAGAAAATTTGTGATTTAAAGCAAAACGAATCGAAATGTATCTAAATTTAGAGAGTAAGAGGGTTTGGTATACCAATGATGATGGAGGCAGCAGCTGCGGAAGCACTGTAGAGAAGGCAGAGGAGGAGAGAGAAGAAGTTGATGTGTCGTAGAGAGTGAAAGGATGGGATTTGTGCCAAAACCAAGAGTAATGCTCCAAAAAGCATCACAAACTCAAAGAGTTTCATTTCACCATTCGGCTTCATTGCCAAATACATTGCTTTAAGGCATTGGCCTCCCAAGAGGGCATTCGCAATAACCACACCATAGCACACCGCCATTTGTATCGGTCCCACGTAGTACCTCCCCCATTTCGGTCCTTTCCATTTCATTCATATCATCAATTGTTAAGACGAAACCTAACTCATTTTTAAGTCTAAACTAAGTAAACAAACAAAAAAATAATCCCAAAGTGAAGCCATATTGTGCACTTAAATTTATTTATTATTTATTATATTTTTATCATCACCTTAACGCAATTGAAAATTGAATAAAAATAACAAAATAATATTGAGATAATTAAGGGCTATAGTCGCCAAACCATGATCCGAAAGGGACCACAAGTTCTGGTTTAAAATTCGGTTCATATTATATGTCAACCGGAAAACATTAAATCAAAAACGAGATTTAATCATTCCACGTTGCGTATCCACCAAAAATTCAAACTTTCCTAATCCACGTATATTACATTACTTTATTTGTGTGGATGAAAAAAAAAGTATTGTCCTTTTTGGATCAAAGGTGGATGAAATAATTGAAGTGGTAAGAAGAAGTTCACATGGGCACGTATGTATGTCTATAAACTGCATCTCAATTTCTAATGATGTTCGCAATCGCAAGGATAAACTTACTTCAGCTTTAATATCGATTATAGTGTATACTAGAATATAATAGGAGGAGAAGGTTAAAGGGATGTATTAAAAAAAAAAAAAGCAATAGTATATAATACCGAGGATGTGGTGGGCCATGTCACGGAAGCGGAGGTAGCGGTGGCCGAGTGAAGCGTGGTGTTGGAGAGTAAGAGAGAGAAGCGTGTATGAGTAAAAAGTGACGACTGCTCCTCCCACCAAACACGATATTCCGGCCGCCCATCCTAAGAACTTGAAGGCGTACGGTAGACTCAATAGCGGCGGTGCCACTATTGATGTCGTCAGGTGGAATCCGCAGTGCCACCATGTCCCTATATAGTTTTCCCATCATCATCGATAGTAATACAATCCAATCAAGTTTATACATCATTTTGATCCTTCATTTGATGCGTTCTGTATTATTCTATTATTGATTTGCATAGCATATACTACGTACGTACCTTTGGATTTAAGGACGAAGAGAGCACCGGCATCTACTTCTTCCCCTCTTTTTCCTCCATCTCCTGATCTTTCTTCTACACCCATTTTTTTGTTTTCCTCTCTCTTAATCTCCATTTGACAATGTGTATGCTTAACCCAGTTACTTTTATAAATCCAAAACACCAGTCACTATCATATCCTTTTAATATACAAAGTCGATTGTATTTCATAATAATTGGGAACATTTTGCATTGCTATGATTTATCGGATTTTTTTTTTTTTCTGCGTCATACGCGTTCTGAAAATTTAATGTAGTGCAGTGGTCACTACTCTCACGCTATGTTCAGATTCTTAATGTAGTTTTGTGGTTCTCTTAACGGAGGCGTCTGTAGTCCAACGGTTAGGATAATTGCCTTCCAAGCAATAGACCCGGGTTCGACTCCCGGCAGACGCATCGTTTTTGTAGATTTTTTTTTCAAACTTCTTGAAAGTTGATTTGGACCTGAAACTCTTCCCCTTGACATTTTTGTACTTTTCATTGTGTTACTGGTTTAATTAAAACATTTAAGTTGATTAGTCATCGCTCAAAATCCGTCAGTAAACATTAAACAAACTCACATCCGTTATCCCATCAACATCTAATAGACGGACATTTCTAAACTGAAGAATGCGAATACGTCACAGTGAAAATCTAATTTTACGCATCTCCTACTCTCACGCAGGTCACAAGTAGCTCCTTTTGATGGCCCATGGGTTCAAATTTGCTAAGATGGGCTCTACATTGGCCCAATCAAAGTCCAAAAATGAGGGACTTATTAGTAATTTACTAGACTTTCCAAAGCGCGGGAAAATGATAAAAGGTATTCTCTCTCTACAGTCCCCCACTCTCATCTCCAGCATCCACGAAGCCCTACCGGTGAAAAATCCCTTTGGTGACCCTAATTTCTTCTCCGAACTAATTCGCCTTCGAAGCTTCTCCACGAAAAAAAAAGCTCCAATACCGGAGTCTCTGTTCCTCGTAATTGATTAATCGCCGCTCATTTTTGCAGTAAAAATGAGCGGAGATAAACGAAGATGGGATCGAAAGGACTCGCGGAGATCGAATATGCAGAAAGTAGTGAGCACTGCAGAAGATGAGCTCGAATCTAAGCTCGGATTTGGGCTTTTCTCCGAAGGGGAAACGCGCCTCGGTTGGCTACTCACATTCGCATCAGTAAGTCTCCGATAGTCGCACTCTATTCTGAACTCAGCTTTGTTATTGAACCTAGGTTTCGGACTCGATTCTCACAATCTATTGGGGATTTCCCTCTTTGTATCCAACGTTTTCTGTATATAATAGAAATAAGCATTAGCTATTGAGTCATACGGTAAACTCCATAAGTGCGCGAATTTAGGATTTCAGGATATGCCAAAGTGCGACAATTATAATAAGGCTCACTTCGTTTGCGTCCATTGTTCTTGATATGGGGATTTTTTTGTAAAATTAATTTTGTTGACTTCCCTTGTAGTCCTCAGAATACAATCTCTGGCCTTCGATTTATTAATACTAGTATTCACTGAATGGTTATTCTACTATGGTTTGCAGTCATCTTGGGAAGATTCAGATACTGGGAAAACGTACGGTTGTGTGGACCTGTACTTTGTTACTCAGGTGAGCTAGTCATTACTATGTCAGCTTCGTATAAGCTGATCAATACATTCTTGTCGCATTTTTTGATAATAATTGTAAATGAGTTTTGGGGTTTTTTCAGGACGGGTTTTCTTTTAAGACAAAGTACAAGTTCCGCCCTTACTTCTACGTAGCCACAAAAGTACGATTGTTTCTCTCTATATTAAATCTGAATGCTCCTTGAATCATTTCGTAATTTTGTCCTGTATGTCAATAAAACTGCAATGCCGAATTACAGGACAAAATGGAATTGGAAGTTGAAGGCTACTTGAGACGCCGATATGAAAGACAAGTTGCTGATATTGAAATTGTTGAAAAAGAGGATCTTGATCTTGTAAGTCAGTGAAGCATAACTTGTTCGTATTGAAGTCTGGCTTCCTGATTATGTGATTTAGTTAATATGCCAGTTGATTAGTTTCATTGTTTTAACTTCATTTCGATTAGTGCGTCTTTCTAACTTTTTCCTGTGGCCTACCAACTTTAGCTTATTTATTTCTTATGTTCATGAGCAGAAAAATCATCTTTCTGGCCTGCAAAAAAAATACCTAAAAATATCATTTGATACTGTGCAACAATTGATGGAAGTCAAGAGGGATCTGTCGCATGTTGTCGAACGAAACCAGGCAAAATTTGATGCACTTGAAGCATACGAATCCATATTGGCTGGAAAAAGGTAAGGCAATGTATTTTTGTTGATTTAAATTACGTAAGGTTTTGGTGGTTTTCAAATTATACCATTAAACTCTGTTGTTTCTTAGTTATGTTCAACTTTTGATTCGCGTTTCAAATACCCTGGTCACATTTTCTTATTCTTGAAATGCAGAAAACAACGGCCTGAAGATTGCTTAGACTCTATGGTGGACCTCCGCGAGTATGATGTTCCTTATCATGTTCGATTTGCAATTGATAATGGTAACCTGTTTAGTCAAACTAAAATTTCTGTTTAGTTCCTCAAGATTGTCAAAATCATGACGTTTTCGTGGTGCTTTAGATGTGCGGAGTGGGCAATGGTATAATGTGAGTATTTCCAGCAGCGATGTCATACTAGAGAAGAGGACAGATCTTCTCCAACGCGCAGAAGTCCGTGTTTGTGCATTCGATATAGAGACAACAAAGCTTGAGTTGAAGTTTCCGGATGCTGAATATGATCAAATTATGATGATATCCTACATGGTCGATGGTCAAGGTTTTCTAATTATTAACAGAGAGGTAACTGCTATATACAGTTATCTGTATTGAATATGACCTAGTAGATGAAATATGGCATGATCAATAGGGATGGCTTCCAATTCATTAGTTGAATTATAGCTCTGATTTGCCATCTTGTCAGTTATATCGAGCAATCAGTAGAGGAAAAACTCATCAAGAAGAGTGTTTTTTTTAAAAAATAATTTAGTGCACTTTTAATCCCAGAGAAACCAGAAATGATCCATGTAAAATTATCCTGCTTTGCGTGACTGATTTTGTATGATGTAACATTAAGAATATTTGTCTAGTATTTTGCTATATAATTTGAAATATCTGATTTGTTAAATAGTTATCATTGCATTTGTCATCTCTGGTTGATATCTAAGCTCCATCTTTCCTTTAAATATTTCGACCACTTCAATCTTGTTTGATTACATACGTAACATACACGTAATATTTTCCACTTGAAATCAGTGTGTTGGCGAAGACGTAGAAGATCTGGAGTATACACCCAAACCAGAGTTTGAAGGGTATTTCAAAGTCACTAACGTTAACAACGAGGTAAAGTAAATTAGCTCCTGATCTGAGTATTATTTATCAGAAATCTTGATGTGCTTAGAATCAAGCTACTTTCTTGGTTTTGTCTTGTAGGTTGAACTCCTTCGAAAATGGTTTTCTCATATGCAAGAGTTGAAACCCAGTATTTATGTTACATATAACGGTGACTTCTTCGACTGGCCATTTATAGAACGGAGAGCATCCCATCATGAGATAAAAATGAATGAGGTACGCAGCATCTTAGTCTTCAGTTCCTACCTTATTCCTATTTTCAGAGCATAATGTGGTCTCAAGAGCAATCCCAAAACTGGCTGGTGTGTTTTGTTTTCTTTCCTTGTGCTTGCAGGAGTTGGGATTCCGTTGTGATCATAATCAAGGTGAATGTCGAGCTAAATTCGTTTGCCACTTGGATTGTTTTGCTTGGGTGAAACGTGATAGCTATCTTCCTCAGGGAAGCCATGGTTTGAAGGTTCTTTTGCCTTCTTCCTCTTCGCCATTATTTATCTATTGTGGTCATATATTCCTTTTGTGAAGGAATTTATATTACGTTTTTGAGTATGCTTGTCTCTTAAATAAATGCCAGGCAGTTACAAAGGCAAAACTGGGGTATGATCCACTGGAAGTGAACCCAGAGGACATGGTTCGATTTGCGATGGAAAAGCCACAGGTAGTACTGAGAAATAATCATGCTATTTCCGTATATGTTTTTTTAGATGGTGCTCATAGTTTGATGGCGCTGGAATGGGCTAGACTAACAGTTGGTGATGTTTGATAAAGTAATTCAAGTAACCGTCTCATTAAGGGTTGAAGAAATGTTCTCATACTCATGTTAAATTCAATGTTAGTAAACTAAATTTAGCAGGGAACATAGATGTTGTGACTGATAATTTTAAGTAGTTGTGGTTTTTTCTAGTCTATGCTTTAGTGCTTGCAAGATGTGCATGGAATTAGGTGCTTACATCTTATTTCTAATTCACGTGGCAGACAATGGCCTCCTATTCTGTCTCTGATGCTGTTGCAACTTATTACCTATACATGACATATGTTCATCCGTTCATATTTTCTCTCGCAACTATCATCCCAATGGTCCCTGATGAGGTCTTACGCAAAGGGAGTGGCACCCTTTGTGAAATGCTTCTGATGGTTGAGGTGACTTCCATCTACTACAAAGTCTTTAGCAGTCTTTACTGTGTTGCGCATTTTATTAATTGGAAGTCTTCTATTCTCAGCACAGGCTTACAAGGCAAATGTTGTATGTCCCAACAAAAATCAAGCTGACCCTGAGAAGTTCTACAAAAGTCATCTTCTTGAAAGTGAGACATATATTGGTGGCCATGTAGAGTGCCTCGAAAGTGGTGTTTTCAGATCTGACATTCCAACCAATTTTAAGCTCGATACATCTGCATACCAGGCTAGTGATCTGCTTTATTTTTATCCAATAAAATTTGTTTTGTTGTTTGGTGAAATTACTTTTTGATATAGTTTATATTCAAATGTTACTTAATTTTAATGTAATTTCATCTGAAGCAGTAGCTTATAGTAAAACGTATGTAGTCTTTAATAGATGCCTTAAGCAAAATGCTACCCACTCTTTTGCGCGCTATCCTATCATAGCTAATTTATCACCTATCTGATATTAATTGCTTTGATTTCCAGCAACTGATCGATAACCTTGGCCGGGATCTGGAATATGCTATCACTGTAGAAGGGAAAATGAGAATGGATTCAGTTACCAATTATAATGAAGTGAAGGATGAAATCAAGTTAAAGGTAATGTTTTCCTCTTCAAAATTAGAGATAGTGATTTGATGCCTAGTCCATTGTTTTTGTCAACATGTCGTTTCTCTTGTCTCTTTGATTGGCCGATACTGCATACACATTTCATCCTGGGAGAGTTTACCTATACACTCTCGTACATACTAAGCTCATATCTAAGAGCCTTCTCTCATGTACAGTAACCCCAGTAGGGATTGTGGAAAGAACATAGTTAACCCCAGATGATAGTCTATCAAGTACCCTCCGTATATAGTAGTTGTCACCAATTAGGCATCTGCATGCTTGGATATTGTAAAGCAGAACATACAACCTGATAGTCTTATGAGTTATTTCCCTATATGTTACCTGATTCGGGCTGATGTCTGAGTTCTGCTCTGGTTTGGCGGTTTTAATACTCTGCAGCTCGAGAAGTTACGAGATGACCCTATACGTGAAGAGGGGCCTCTTATTTATCACCTTGATGTCGCAGCGATGTATCCAAATATTATCTTAACAAACAGGCTTCAGGTACATCAAATCTCCGTTTGCACATTTCTAACTGATTTCGGGGTTATATGTTGTAACATACAATTGTAAATCAATATGTACCAAATTAACACAACAGTCACAGAAATAATGAGCTAAGTGAACATTTTCTCTTGATTGCCAGCCTCCATCGATAGTTACTAATGAGGTCTGCACAGCATGTGATTTCAACCGGCCGGGGAAAACTTGTCTTAGAAAACTTGAATGGGTTTGGCGCGGGGTGACATTCATGGCAAAGAAGAGGTTTAATTTATATATCGTCCCTGCTAAATATACTTTAAACCTTGTAGGTATAGTCTTAGGTTCTCAGCTTTCTTTCAAATGGTTGGCAGTGATTATTACCAGCTGAAGAAGCAGATTGAGTCTGAATTTGTTGATGCTGGTGGAAATATTCAGTCTTCTAAATCTTTCCTTGATCTGCCAAAAGTGGAACAACAATCTAAACTAAAAGAACGACTGAAAATATATTGTCAAAAGGTATTCTCTGTCGCTCTCGATAATTATACTTTCCCCACTATGTCAATGTATAAAGTCAAGTCATTTTGCTTTTGGCAGGCACATAGACGAGTGCTTGACAAGCCCATCACTGAAGTTCGTGAGGCTGGGATATGCATGAGAGAAAACCCGTTCTATGTAGACACTGTTCGGAGGTGCGTAGCTTTTCTTTTCCCAATTATGTTCTTGATTGAGACTCTATTTGGACGTTTTATCTTTTGACCGCATCATTTTTTTTTTTTTTTTGGGGGGGGGGGGGGCACTCTACGTCTAATGATGATGAAAATTTTAGCCAAGTCCTAATTACTTTTCCATATTTTGCTTTCTATTTGTGGTGTTTGTATGTAATTAAAGCTTTCGAGATAGGAGGTATGAATACAAAACACTTAACAAGATCTGGAAGGGAAAGTTGTCAGAGGCCAAGGCAAGTGGCAATTCAATCAAGATCCAGGAAGCACAGGTATATAATTTTATATTGTTGCTCATATATATGGTCTCCGGAACTTTTTTAGATGGTTACTGACATTTAAATTTTGCAACAGGACATGGTAGTGGTATACGATTCCTTGCAGCTAGCTCATAAGTGTATTCTTAATTCCTTCTATGGATATGTCATGCGAAAGTGAGTCCTCTGATCTCTTGTTAAGAGCCTGGACTTTGGTAATACTCTCATTGTTGGCTGACCCAAAGCTCTACTTGAAACCAATTCCAGGGGAGCAAGATGGTACTCGATGGAAATGGCCGGTGTAGTTACCTATACTGGAGCGAAAATCATTCAGAATGCCCGTTTGCTTATCGAGCGAATTGGGAAACCACTTGAGCTGGATACAGATGGTATATGGTGTTGTCTCCCTGGATCTTTTCCTGAGAACTTTACTTTTAAAACGACGTAAGATTTTGCAATCTCCATGATTTACGTGTCTCTCCATCTTAGGAACTTCCTTGTTCTATTATTATTATTATTGTTTTTTTTTTAATATATAGCAATATTTTGGTTTAAGATACTTCGAAGAGTTTTTGTTTCTATATTCATTTAAGGGGCAATTACTTTTTCTTGTGTTCTTAAGACGTTAAATACACCATTGATGAATTTTGTTTATTGCAGGGACATGAAGAAATTCACGATCTCTTATCCGTGTGTAATGCTTAATGTTGATGTAGCACAGAATAATACAAATGATCAATATCAGGTACGTATAGCGTCCCTTACTGAAAAGTAGCTTTGTCTTAAGCAGATGAAATAACAAACCCTTTTGTGGTTCTGAGAGCATTTTGGCTTGTGCTCAGTTTCTATTTTCTCTTTTATTATTGGTTTTGCAATAGACTCTTGTAGATCCTGTACGCAAGACATATGAGTCGCATAGTGAATGCTCAATTGAATTTGAAGTGGATGGACCGTACAAGGTATGTCTATACGTTATGGATTTTTGACGCGTGTTGCTCTTTGATTTCTTCACAAACAAATATTTGTAAACCTCTCCATTCAGGCAATGATTATTCCTGCATCGAAAGAAGAAGGAATCTTAATTAAGAAGCGTTATGCTGTTTTCAACCATGACGGAACCTTAGCAGAACTCAAGGGGTTTGAGATCAAGCGTAGAGGGGAGCTGAAACTCATTAAAGTTTTCCAGGTATTCTTTCCTTTTCTTGTGCTGTAATGATTCGTCAAGTTGTTGCGTTATCTATATTTAAGCTCAATGCGATTTAGCGTATTTCGCATGATCCGCTTGTATTAGAAACTCTTTCTAGCAGCAGTTGAAGGAAAAATTCCAATGGTTGTAGATTGGTTCAGGTGACCCTTTAGCAACTATCGAGAGATCAGATTCTACCTTCATTTTTTTCATAAAAGTGATTAGTAAATTCCCAGCTATACTACAATTTTTTTATTACACTTATTTTCTTTGAGCATCCCCACCCTATTTATTGTATTCTTGTTTTTACTTAAGCTTATTACATACATTGATGGCCTAATGTAGTAAGACGTGCATGATTTGATAGACAAAAGCATCCCAAGAAAATATGCAAATACGCAGGGTTTTTGTACTTGATTAATATATGTGTGGTATCTCGATAATTTGACATCAGTTTACTTTTCTTATAACTTTGACACTTCATGGAGTACCAGGCACTGAATCATATTTTCCTTTTCTTTCCTTTCCCTACAGGCCGAGCTTTTTGACAAATTTCTCCATGGGTCAACTCTTGAAGAGTGTTATTCTGCAGTTGCAGCCGTTGCAAATCGGTGGCTTGACTTACTCGATGTATGTCAAGTATCTCGTTACTCGTTCTGTTTTAGTTGATTGATTTTCTTACTGAGCAAGAAGACTTTGAATATAGGTGCTGCTAAATTATCTTATTTGCAACTGGGTCATTTTGCTCATAGGTTTCCCCTCACATTTTCTTCAGAATCAAGGAAAAGATATTGCTGATAGTGAACTACTAGATTATATATCAGAATCAAGCACCATGAGCAAATCGTTAGCAGATTATGGTGAGCAAAAGTCATGTGCAGTGACCACAGCAAAACGACTTGCTGATTTTCTTGGTGATACAATGGTCAAAGATAAAGGACTGCGTTGCCAATACATTGTTGCTTGTGAACCAAAGGTGCATTTCTGTCAAACTTGAATTTTGTGGAACTTTTGTCCTCCCTCTTTAACATATACTCAGGGATTACTAGAACTTGGTTACTACAAACGGTCATCCATTTCCAACACGAGCAGGCCAGGAAAACCCAAATAGTTAGGTCTCATGAAAAAATTGACACCCATTCACATATTCTCCTAGTCGAAATTGCTGTCACATGCAAAATATCTGTCTTAGGACTGTTAGTTACCTATCAAAAAGTATGTTTCATCCACACTGTCCGTAGTATTTTTTACTCTTATAACTTAACAACTTTTTCATGATCAGGGGACACCTGTAAGTGAACGTGCTGTTCCTGTTGCCATATTTGCCTTATCTGAAACGGAACCTGGTAAATATTTCTGTTGTTTGGCGTGATTATGTATTGTTGTGTTCTTAACGTTCAAATGTGATGCAAATCTTTCAAACTTTACAGAAAGGATGAAGTTTTATCTGGGAAAATGGTGCAAGCAGCGCATTAGTTCAGCTATCCAAAATGTTGATATTCGTTTAATTATTGACTGGTCGTATTATAAGCAGCGCCTGAGTTCAGCTATACAGAAAGTTATTACCATTCCTGCTGCAATGCAGAAGGTTCATTGTGACTATTCGCATTTTTATTTTGTTTTTCGTAGTGTTCTTTCTATAAATATCTAACGACTTATATGACCTCTATAGGTGGCAAATCCAGTGCCTCGGGTGCTTCATCCCGATTGGCTCCATAAAAAGGTTCGTGAGAAAGATGACAAATTTCGCCAGAGAAAACTAGTCGATATGTTCAGCTCTGCAAACAAAGATGGTGTGTTGGAAACAAATCCTTCGGTGGCTCAAGATAATGTGGAAGATATTGAGGATTTTTGCAAAGAAAACAGGCCTGCCGTAAAGGGGCCAAAGCCAATTGCGCGTTCTTATGGAGTCAATAAAGAACAGTATGAACGTGAGCAGCAAGAGAGCTGGGATCCAAAGTGCGATGAATTCTCATTTCAGAACGTTGACAAGAACGTAGATTACCAAGGATGGCTTGAAGTGAAAAAGAGAAAGTGGAAAGTAAATCTAGAGAAGAGGAAAAAACGAAGGTAAATTTTTATGATTGGATTCGGTCTCCTGAAGTCCATCTTGGATCAAAATGTGAATTTAACATCCACTGCTTTTAAAAGTTTCTTAACTCGTTGACTGTGTATCCCTTGTTTTTTAGGTTGGGTGATCTAAGACCGTCAAACCTGTTTGATAATCACGAGATAAATAAAAAAGTCTCACAGGGAAGAGGAGGTGTAGGTTCATACTTTAGGAGGCCTGAAGAAGCTTTGACTAGTTCACATTGGCAGGTGTGCATAGACGTTATTGTAGTATATATATACTTGCTAATCTTTGCAACTATGTAACATTGTCTTTCCGACTTTTTCAGATAATACAACTGGTCCCAAGTTCACAGAGCGGGCAATTTTTCGCTTGGGTGGTTGTGGAAGGATTGATGCTTAAGATCCCATTGACTATCCCAAGGGTGTTTTATATTAATTCCAAAACTCCTATAGCTGGGAAATTCCCGGGAAAGTGTGTCAACAAGATTCTTCCTCATGGAAGGCCTTGTTATAATTTGATCGAGGCATGTCTTTTAACCACTATACATCTTTCCCCCTTGTATTCCCTCTAGTTAGTTATAATTTGTTTATTTCTTTACAGGTTGAGATTCAGGAAGATCAATTTAGAAAAGAAAGCAAAAAGCTTGACGCTCTTCTTGCAGACCCTGACATTGAGGTTAGATTTTTTTGTAAAGTAATAAATTAAAGTGCCATCAGAAGCCCAACCTTTTGTAAAGTAATAAAATAAAACGCATATAATGCTAAATAAACTTTTCTTAGCTTTGTTAACCTTTAATTCTGTGATTTCTGGTAGCATTTTTTTTCTTGTGAATAGACAACTTGTATATGGTATCTTGGAATCTGAATTTGTATGTTGTAAAATTGGCTGCATCAAGTATCCAGTGTAAGGAAAATTCTGAAAATAGAGTCCACAAGCGACGGGTAGCTATATTATCTCAGTTATGTATGTGTGTGTGAGCGCGCCATGCTTTCTAGTTTGTTATTTGAATGAACTGTGAATGGGACCCAACGACTTGTCAGCACGGTGGGAATTTGAACTTGTTCTACTGCTTACTGAGACACTCAGGCAGATAATTACCATGTTTGTGCTTGCCAGTCTTGTTGGTGTCATGCATGTCATGACATTCATTTTTAATAAAGAGAGTACCATGTTTGTGCTTGCCAGTCTCATATTTGACTTTGACAGGGCATATATGAAACCAAGGTGCCTCTGGAGTTTAGTGCGATATGTCAGATTGGATGTGTATGCAAAATTGATAACACAGCCAAGCACCGTAACACACAAGATGGATGGAAAGTTGGTGAACTTCATATGAAAACTACAACTGAATGTCACTACTTGGAGCGATCTATTCCACTTGTTTATTTGTATAGCAGGTATAGCTCCATTTTTTAAGTAACACGACGACCCCTTTTCTGTTGTATACGAGTTCTACTAGATACAATTTAAATTGAAGGAAGGCTTTTATTGTAAAGTTTTATTAGGGCATTTCTTAGTCGCACAATGTTGACATGTTGTCGTGTTTACATGTCTACGTTTCTAATTCTAGTCATATTATTCGAAGAATCATGTTTGAACTGTGTTGCTTTCACAATTTAGTTCCTTTTACGTGTTGAACTTTTGTTTATTTTCTTCTTTGGCATGTTATGGTTTCATGGATCCATTCCATAATATGTTTTCTCATGATTTTCTTGTTTGCAGCACCTCAACAGGACGTGCTATATATGTTTTATATTGTCAGGCATCAAAGCTTATGTCTGCTGTGGTAGTCAGTCCTTATGGCGACAAGGAACTATTGCCATCTGCCCTAGAGAAACAATTTAGAGATAGTTGCCAAGAATTGTCACTGGAGTCATTGTCTTGGGATGGGATTCTTTTCCAGGTGAGCTCTGAAATCATTACCTACAACCCTACAATAACAGTCCTGCATTTTTCAAGCTTATCTGAATGCTATTCATCAGGTGGACTATGTTGACCATCCCGAAGCTGCAAATAAGATTATACAAAAAGCAATAAGTGAATACAGGTAACTCATTTTCCTGATTACAGCAGTGCATCCTGTTTTATGTTTCCCTGACTTGTGAATCCCATAGTTTTTCAAATGCTGATCAGTTGGGCGTGCTTTTTCCTATTTAATTTGTTTCTGCGTGAAATAGTTCTTCCTCTTACTTCCTATTAGATAAATTATGTAAGTGAATTGTCAAAAACAAAAACATTTTGATTGTCTGATGCGACAATGATTTTGGAACTCTCTTAAAAGGCCATGTCAATTGTCAAAACAAGGTCATCCCACACTTCTTTTGAGTTTTCCCGTTGTGTTCCCTTTTCTTGCAGAGAAGAAAATTGTGGACCAACTGTGGCAGTCATCGAATGCCCTGACTTTAACTCCATGAAGGAAGGTATAAAGGCCCTGGATGATTTCCCATGTGTGAGGATTCCCTTCAACGGCGATGACAATAGTTATCAGGTTACTTGACTGATCAATCAATTGGCTACTTTTTTCTTCGTTTTTTTTTTCTGTTATGGTAGACGTTAATTTGATCAAACAATGATAAATATGTATGTGTGGCTGTGGTTGTGATGCATAGCCTGTGTCCTGGCAACGTTCAGCAGCAAAAATAGCAATGTTCCGTTGTGCTGCAGCATTTCAGTGGTTGGATCGGAGGATTGCCCAGTCAAGATACGCCCATGTAGGCTATGTTTGTTGAAATAGAATTGTAGTTCTTCATGTTATTGCTTTTGTGCAGTTATTGACATTTTCCTATACAACTGACTAGGTGCCTTTGGGGAATTTTGGACTTGATTGGTTAACATTCACCGTAGATATCTTCGTTTCTAGGGCACTCCGTGACCAGCAGCAGGTTCTTTCTTTGACTTTCTGTCTTGTTTCCAAGTGTTCAATAGTTCCATCACTTCAATATTTGCCTTCCTTTTTTCCTTTTTCTGTTGTTTGCCCTTTTCCTCTTGCTCTGTGCCTACAGCTTCAAAATTTAATTCCTGAAACCTTGGCAAAAGGCTACTCTCTCCATATCACTGATTTTGATTTCGTTTTTTCTTTGTCTTTTAGAAGTGCCTATCCTATATTAAAGTGAAGGAGCAGCTTGTCGTATCATTAGATTTTGTTTTGTATAACAGGTCCTTTGGGTGTCAGACAATGGTGTTCCAGACCTTGGAGGTATAAACAATGAAGAGACATTCTTTGCTGATGAGGTATGTCAGCAAATGGGTTTTCTTTTTTCCCTTTGGGTTTGTGTGGACTTTGTCATGATCTTCGCTCAGCTCCATGGTTTTTATTTTGCGGGACTATCAAGGTGATGACTGGGATGCTTCTTTGTCACAGGTGCAGCAGACAAGTTTGGTATACCCTGGAGCGTATAGAAAAGTGTCTGTGGAGTTAAAGGTCATAGACTTTTTTTTTTTTCCTTAATCGTCTAAATATTTTTTCCTTAATTGTCGTGCTTCTTGGACTAGAACCTAATCAACATGTATCGCGTAGATCCATAACCTGGCTGTTAATGCCCTTCTGAAAAGCAACCTAGTGAGTGAGATGGAAGGAGGCGACTTTTTGGGATTTGAGCAGGATGTGAATTCTAGAGGAAGTGGTTCAAACGTTAACGCCAGTTTTGATGAGACCACTGGATGTGCTCAAGCATTTCGTGTTCTGAAACAACTGATCCAGAGTTGCTTGGCTGATGTGTGTAAATCAAAAAATATATATGCTGATTCCATTTTGCAACGTTTGTCTTGGTGGCTCTGCAGGTATGATTATGCCACATCCTGTTACATTTTCACTTTATTCTGGATTCATTAATTACAAACAATTAATTTCATATTGTAGCCCTTGCTCAAAGCTTCATGATCCTGCTCTTCATCTCATGCTTCACAAGGTAAATAACATTTCATGCTTTGTGCTTCTTATAAGGTGAAGATGAGTTGGTGCGGTTAAATCAGCAAACTTTATATCAATTCCTCCTTGCTTCTCTGATCTTTCTCAGTCAACTCGTTTATTGAATCAGTAGCTTACAAGTTATATCTCCCTGCTGCAGTAGGCCTGTCATAACCTATAATTCCCAAATCAGCCTTAAGATCTTGAGATTTGCCATTTACTAAATTCTAAATCCATTTGACATCGTGCGATTTTCATCAATATTATAGGTCATGCAAAAGGTCTTTGCGCTGCTTTTGACTGATTTGCGGAGATTAGGTGCTATAATAATATATGCAGACTTCTCAAAGATCGTGATCGATACCGGGAAATTTGATATATCTGCTGCTAAAGCTTATTGTGAAAGCTTGCTCGCAGCGGTGGGGAGTAGGTTGGTTTCTTCCTTCCCAGTATATAGGTCTATGACTCTGAATCTCTAATGAAGTGTACCGAATTTCCTGTCACTGATTCTTATACTTTGCCACCAACAGCGATATATTTGAGTGGATCGTGCTTGAGCTGGATCACTACTGGCACTCGCTACTTTTCATGGACCAGGTTGGAGTTTTTAAATCTTATACTTCCCTCTTGTATTTCGGATACCTGATTGCCAAACAGGGCAAAAATTGTTTTAAATTGTTAAACTACGAATCCACGAACACAAAATTGAGCCTAAAGAGAGGAAATGAAAAAGTGAAAATGCATGGGACCTGCAATGCATGTAGTTCCAGTAAACCAGAATGGGCCAAGGAACTACAACTGATAGATAATATATTTGCACGTGTATGGATGGTTAAAAAGTTATATCCAAGTTGCAAGGAACTCTACTAAGACTCCATCTTCCTTCATTAGTTCAATTTTGTTGTTGCTTTTGTCAATACTTCCTTCAACAGTTCTTGATTTATATAATCTTTTCGTCAACATTTTAGTATAACTATGCTGGTATTCGAGCTACCGATGATGAAATTTCACTTGACGAAGTGACTATTGAACCAAAATGGAGCGTTGCAAGACTGTTACCCGAGTATATTCAGGTTTGCAGACAGATCCCTCTTCCAAACCGTTGTTCATTTAGCAGAACAAAAACATATGTCAACGCATGGACCAGTTTTTTCTTTGAAACATGAACTTCTTTTCTCTTGGCAGAGGGATTTCATCATAATCGTTGCCAAGTTTATATTTGACCCCTGGAAATTTGCATTAGAGAAAAAAACGGGCAGTGCAGAGAGTGTAGAGGCACAGATGGTAGAATATCTAAGGGAACAGGTAGACTTAAACCAATTCGATTGACATTTTTTTATTCACTCAAATGATTGTCTCCTCATTTTTTTATTTTTTTTTATTTTATGCAGATACGATCGAACTTCATAAATATGATTGTTAAAAAAATCGGTGATATCATGTCACACACGAAGGAGATAAACGTTTCAGATGCATCTCGGGTTTCTGGTCAAGCTTCCAAAGGAGATTACACGTTAGAATTTATACAAATTATCTCTGGTGTTCTGGCTCTTGACCAAAACGTCCAGCAAGATGTTCTGGTAAATGCTCAATTCATCCCTTTCCCTCTTTACCTGATACTGGTTCTATTGGATAACCATATTGAGTGTTCACAGTTCCTCTGAAAAGATTATAAAAATTTGCAATGAAGCGTTATTTATCTTTATGGTTAGGAAACCTTTCCGTAACTGATTTCTTTCACCATTCCAATCTTAACTTTGGAAAATTTTGTTCTGAAAATTATGTCTCCAGCTGGATATCTTTTCAGATGGGTGCTAACTATTATCTTCTCATTTTTGTTCTTTAGACAGACTATTTCGCTGATACAATTTATTCTCTGTAGGTCATGAGAAAGAATCTGTTGAAGTACATTAATGTAAAAGAATTTGCCGCTGAAGCCGAATTTCTTGATCCGGGGCCTTCCTTCATCTTACCTAATGTGGCTTGCAGGTATTGTGGTGATTCATATATGCATTGTGGTGATTCATATATGCATTGTGGTGACTTGCTACTTCAAGTTAATAGATAAAATAGCTTAACGAAATCGAGTTTTCTTTTAGCCACTAGCTTATTAGAAGAACAAATATCCCTGCCAATCCCCTGCTTTAAGACATCGTGGCACAAACTTGTAAATCATTATAGCAAAAGCGTGTTTGTTTGCAACACGCAGAATGCGTTAGTCACATTAAAAGAAAAGAAAAACGCCTTAGACCCAGACAAAAGAGTGGTAGTGCCTGTATCTCACTCCCAAAGACATGGCTATTGTGTTACAAGGAGTGAGCAGGTGAGACAGTGAAATGTATTGACCGAGTTTTGTTGTACTGTTTTTTCTTGTTGCAGCAACTGTGATGCCTACAGAGACCTAGATATATGCAGAGACCCAGCTCTATTAACAGAGAAAGAATGGTCCTGTGTAGATTCGCAATGTGGGAAGATATATGACAGAGAGCAGATGGAGAATAGTCTTCTCCAGATGGTGAGACAGAGAGAGAGAATGTACCAAATGCAGGATCTGGTTTGCAGTAGGTGCAATCAGGTGAAAGCTGCTCACTTGTCGGAGCAGTGCGAGTGTGCTGGATCCTTTAGATGCAAGGAAAGCGTGTCAGAGTTCCGCAAGAAGATGGAGATTTTCTTGGATATTGCAAAGCGCCAGCAGTTTCTATTGTTAGAAGAATTCACCTCTTGGCTTTTAAATCCCTTCAGCGATTCAGAAAGACATCATTTGTAGGTTGTAGATTTTTCTGCATAGCTTTACACCCTAATTGCCTAATAAAATCTGAAATTTTATGATGATGATGTTTTGCTTTCTTTCCTTCACTTGAGTAGAGATATTTGCATTTATCTGCAACACAACGTAGGCGTTGTACCAAATTCTTTAATTTATAATTTTCTAATTTTGCTCTCGATTTTGTGTTATTTTAAAGGCCGACCAAAAAAAAAGAAAAATAAATTTTAAATGACGATATGGATAATTTCGAAAGAATTAAATATTTGAGGCTACAAAAATTGAAAAATATGTTTATTAGAGGGTAAAATATATAAAAAAAATATGTTTATTAGAGGGTAAAATATATAAAAAAATATGTTTAATAACCCAACAATCATTATCTCTGAGATAATTTACACAATTAGAAAGAAAAATATAGTTGAATGATGTGCAGAGTCGATTTGTTCTTAGTACATACATAACCGGGAACTCTGAGATTTTCCCTGACACTAACGATGCCAAACCATTTGATCATCAACCTTCCTCTCCAAATTCCTTTGTGAATCTCTCATGGACGTCAAGATCCGACTTGCTCACTGTCGGTCGCTGTCTTGCTAGTACCTTCTCAAAATCTGGTCTTGATATAGGCGGTGGAATAATCTGTATTATGTTTTGAGTCGAAACAAATGGAAAAAAAAGAAAGAAACATAAGCTCTTTGTACACTCTCCATCACCAAAACAGCTTCGAGGACAAATGGATACAAACTTTTGACGCTTACCTTTTCAGCGAGCCCTTTTTCTGCTAAATCCTGCATTGTAATCTGAATGGCACCAGATTGTCTAGGCCCACATGGTATCCACATCCCATCAGCAGATTTGAAGAAGAACATGGCATCTTGGGTTTTTCTAACAGGTTCAAACAGAACATCCTTGACCTGCCACAGAGTAGAAACCACTCAGAATGAAGACTTGTTTATATATACGGCTCTACTAAAAATAACTCAGGCCAAGCCACCTACACAAACTGCCACATCCGAACCAGAAAATCCCTCCGTCTTGCGAGCTAAATATTCAAAATCCGCTTCATTCAAATTATGAGGAGTATCTCCCAAATGCACCTGAATCATACACGAATATCATTAGGCCAGAAAGATTTGGGCAACCTAAATGATTTTACTTTGAGGAATGTTACTTTGAACATGTGTTGCCGAGCCTTCACATCCGGTAGAGGGATGTAGATACGCTTATCAAAACGTCGCCGAATAGCCTATATTCAACACAGTATTTAGTTTTCAGTGTTATTCTAAAGATGACAAGTAATCCTAAAAACCAATCCACTATTAAGTGTTTTACCTGATCAAGAGCATAAGGTGTATTTGTTGCTGCCAGCACAAGGACTTTCTCATCATTGTGTCCAACACCCTAAAATTAAAGACAGAAAAGTCATGTTTCTGCTAGTAATCTCATAATTTCCAGAAGGTTTATTTCTTTTAAACCTCTTCACCTGCATCTGCACAAGAAGCTCTGTTTTGATACGTCTTGAAGCTTCGCTCTCATTGCCTTCTCCACGTTGACCACACAAAGAATCTATCTCATCGACGAAAATGATTGACGGAGCACTCTCACGGGCCATTTCAAAAAGGTTCGATACAAGCTTTTCACTTTCACCCATCCACTTCGAGACCAAGTCCGATGAAGATACGCTGATGGTTGGGAGGCAAAAAGAATACAATTGTTCAAAAGCCACAACGTGTTCCCAATTATAAACACAGTAAACACAACACTGCTTAAAGTAAAAAAACCTCTCCCACAGGGGAACAGCTAATCATACTGAGAGACATGTTACCTGAAAAAAGTAGAGTCTGCTTCAGTAGCAACAGCCTTGGCCAAGTACGATTTCCCGGTTCCGGGAGGCCCATAGAGCAGAAAAGCTCGCCATGGCCGCCTCTTTCCTAATTATAACAATCAAGTTTGATCAATACAAGTAGACAAATCACCAATTCTCACTATATATACCGATTCAGGCTCTCTCTTGACTCTAATACATACACGAAACTAATAAAGATGAGATATTTACCGGTGAAAAACTGTGGAAACTTGACGGGCAAAATCACAGCTTCCTGCAACGCTTGTTTGGCACTTTCAAGGCCAGCAACATCGGACCACTTAACGTTAGGCTTTTCCCTAACGATAGCAGAGTCTAACCCAGCTCGGAGCTTGGATTGCTCCGCGTCCTCTCCATCTCCTTTGCCATCGCCGTCTTTGGGTTTGGTCTTGGGCTTCGTGGCGACAGCTGCGTCGCCGTTCGATCCGGGCCCGGATCCACCACCGTCTAGAACGGCACGGATCTCCTCGGCGCGGCGAAGATACTCGGTGAATTTGTGGGTGATAGCTTCTCTGATCTTGGGGTTCTTCTCGTACTTAAGATGAGTCTTGAAGTACTCGAGGGCATTCATGTAGAGAGGGAAAGCCTTATTGTAGTTCCCAGCATTGTCCTCTTGAACCGCTTGCTTGACATACTCGATGGCTTGTTCCTTGAAATTGCTGTACATATTTTTAGGGCTTACAGAAATCAATGATGAACTGACTATCCTTGAGTTGATAGGTTTATCGAAAAATCAGATGATCGAAGAAAACCTAGAACCGTGGATGATTCATGATCAGAAATTTCCCAGATTAAAAAAAAAAGAAAAAGAAAGGAACCCACCCAGATGATTGAGGTCGGTGACGGAGAAAAGGCAAAGCGATTGGGAAATTTTCTCACGTTGAGGAAAACATTAAAACGTCAAGTAGTCTGACTCTCTTTTGACGGGTGAGAGGAAACTTCTAACCGTTTTGATGAAAGACAAGAAAAGTACTCACCGTTTTCTAACTGAGGCAATCATCGCAAAAATGCTATAGCGCAAAGATAGTTTGGGCCAAAGCCCACTGACAAAAAACCTGTTGGAACTCAACCAAAACGGGCATCAAATCAAACGGGCTCTTTCCTTTTATTTGTTTTATTACCTGATTCGGACTTTATTTAATTTTTCTATGCAATAAAAGAAGAAAGGAAGCTTTTTTCTTTAAAAAAATACTACCACTCACTCACTCTCTCTCTCTCCTCCAGTTCCAAAGTGTTCCGGGGACACAACATGGCTGCGCCTAAAAAAGAGAAGAAAAGAGAGAAGAGAGAGTAGCAGAATAGCTGAATTGAATTTGGATCTACCCTCATCTCCGTTTTAGGGTTGCCAAATCTCACCATCCCTTACTTTATTTGAATCTTTCTTTTTTCTAAGCAACAATGTGGTCTCCATCTATTTGACTTCAATTTCACACAACCCCTCCTTCTTCATCCTCTCCACCTGCCGTTCTTGTATTTATTGAAGTTTCAACTAATTTATCAGTAAAGTATACTCATATAATACAACCAAATCCAAAATCTCTTCTTTTGAGGTTCTCCTTAGAATCATGAGTGTTTTTTTTTTTTTTTTGAGATGGCTTTGGTGAAGATTTGATTTCAGATTTCTGCTTGACCGGTCAATGGATCCGACTTCGATCCCGATTATAACCCTCTCAAGATCCGACCCGCGCCGCCAATTTTTGGCGGTTTAGCTTCCCTCCTCGACGTTCTTATCACGGCGGCGCCGATGAAACGATCCGTTCGGCCTCTCTTCAGCGCCCTCCTCTTCGGCTTCCTCGCCGCCACACTCATCTGCAGAGTGGCGATTCGCCGGAGAAGCTTCTCCTTCAGCTCCGCCATCGCCGAGCTCGGTACCTCCGGTCTCATGACGCAAGAGTTTGTGTTCAACGATACGCTGCTGGAATTCGCCGCCATTGATCCCGGCGAGCTCAAATTCAAGCAGGAGGTCGATCTGATTTCCGATTACGACAACACTCGGAGAAGCCACCGCCGCTATTTTAGCTCCATGTCAAGGCCGATCGATGGCCGCCGAGGCATTCCTTCCAAATTCCCGGTAACGCTTCGCTCCCCTCAGGTTTATCGTTACTGGTCCGAGTTCAAGAGAAATCTACGGCTCTGGGCTCGTAGAAAAGCTTACGAACCGGAAATCATGCTTGATTTGATCAGACTAGTCAAGGATCCGATTGATTCTGCTGCTTCTCTTTCCCTTCCGAGTAAAAGATACTCATCTTGTGCAGTGGTTGGGAACAGCGGCACATTGCTCAGTAGCCAATACGGAAGCCTCATAGATAAACACGAGATCGTGATTCGCCTGAACAATGCCAAAACGCAGAGGTTCGAGAAGAAGGTCGGGTCGAAAACGAGCATATCTTTCATAAACAGTAACATTTTGCATCTGTGTGCGAGAAGGGAAAGCTGCCATTGCCATCCCTATGGCGAAACTGTGCCTATCGTCATGTACATTTGCCAACCCATTCACGTTTTGGACTACACCGTGTGCAAACCTTCTCACCGAGCTCCTCTGGTTGTCACGGATCCGAGATTCGATGTCCTGTGTGCCAGAATCGTCAAGTACTACTCGATCAAGAACTTCTTGGAAGAAAAGAGAGTGAAAGGGTTTCAGGATTGGAGCAAAGATCACGAAGGTTCATTGTTTCATTACTCGTCCGGTATGCAGGCAGTGATGCTTGCGGTGGGAGTTTGTGAGAAAGTTAGCATCTTCGGGTTTGGGAAGTCGAATTCAACCAAGCACCATTACCATACAAATCAGAAAGCAGAGCTCAAGCTTCATGACTATGAAGCGGAATATAAATTGTATCGCGACCTGGAAAACAATCCCAGGGCCATTCCATTCTTGCCAGAAGCATTCAAGATCCCTTCGGTAAAAGTTTACCATTGAATATATATACCATCAAGAGATTTGTCAGAAAAGTTGTTTGTTCAAGCAAAGAAGCTTGTTGCCAAGAGTTTACTCTTTCATTTTGTCCATGTCCCCGAAGATTTTGCTTGAGATTTGGTAGTGGAGACGAAGGATGTTGCCAACACTTTCTCAATGGTAAGTGTGCTCTTTACAATTTACATTTAGACGATATTCTTACACATCACTCTAAGCCGAAGGCGAAGTCGAGATCGTTCAGATGATTTGTTCTTACAGGACCAGCTATAGCGTTTGTTTTCCTTTTTTGTTGTAACGTGAAATTTAAAGAATTTAATTTCAGCAAAAACAACAAAAATATATACCTTGGAGTGAGAATTTTGTTCAGCAAGATTTCCACTTATGGAATGAATTTTTATATATTCTGAAAAGATATAAAATTTTCTTTCTATATTTCAAAAGTCAATTTCTTAAAACATTCAGCGTCAAATTCTGTTCTCTTTGATTAAAAAATAGTTTATAAACGAAATTAAAAAATAGTAGGGGTCCTAGGGGAAGAGTCTCTCTCTATTGAGGCTAACTGTTAGCCTCCGGTATTATAAATTACGTTTGAGTTAGTAGTACGTGGATTCATACAGAAACAAAAATGCAATTCGTAATAACAACAATAATTAAGATCGAAAGCACATGATACGTTACATACGTAATGAAAAGAGATACACTAGTAGAGGAAGAGTCTCTCTCTGTTGAGGATTATCGTACAATAGTGAAGTGAAGCACACCAATTTTCTCTTCTAATACAAATACATGAGAGAAACAGAAAATTCACGTGCTTCACAAAATTCTAAGAGATAATTACCCTTATTTAAGAAGGAGAACCTAGTTAAAGCTGAAACCAAACTTATTACTAATCATTTAAGATAACTAGGGGTTTACACGCGAGCCACACAAAATGCTCCCCAACAAATACATCCCTCGTCGAAAGAGAAATTTTTGTTAGTGAGCATAATTCAGCCCTCCCATTTCTTAAGGTTACGTAGCCGCAAAAATCCCCTACCAAACCAAGACCCCTATGCATATATAATACGTAACACACCAATACTCAAAATAAAATAAAACTAATAAGAAAGCTAGACAGACACCGCGGGGTTCATCATGTAGATTGAATCGTAACCATATCGCAATAAAAAGATCTAAATTTTAAAATGTTGCTTCATTTTATTTTGGTGAATTTCTGTATTTTGAGATATCGAGTCTAACAAAGAATTTCCCCTTTTCCAAGATAGAAATTCTTTGGTAGACTTGAGATGTTTTGTGGTGGTGCTTATATAGTTTTGAAGCAACATTATAAAATTCGGATCTTACCGATAGATTGATGATTCCCAAGATGATCACTCAGGTGTGCATCTAACATCGCTCTCTCATTCCGTGGTGACACATTCAGTATCCTCCTCAAACCCATCAAACGAAGAAAGAGACGGGTGAGGAGAATGGCCGTTGCCAAATGACCTGATATGGTCCTTGAGAGACCTCTTGTGCTTGAAATCTGATCCACATGCACAATACCAAAGCTTCCCACAGTTCTTCTCGTGCGTTCTCCAATCGCCTTTCACAGCCAACGCTTTGCCACATTTCCCGCAAGAGAAAGGCTTGGAGCCATGCTTACGTTTGTAATGTGTCTGAAGCGTGCGAAAATCCTTCAAGGGCTTGGCCCGCGGATGGTTGATGTTGTTCTTGCAACCATCCGCGCAGCAATAGCATGGCAGACGCAGGATAGCCGCAGGTTGGGTTGTCCCTTTCAACGAGTCAGCTCCTTTTCTGAACTCTGATCCATGTCCCCACATATGCATCTGTGTGTTTTGTTTATATATAACTTCATTAGAACGTAAGCATTATTTCTGGCGGGAACGAGAAAGGAACGAAGATCGAAAGACAAATTTATGCTATATACCGAGCCAAATCGAAATAACATTAAAGAAACTATGTAATCTCTCGTTTGTCCTTATTGGGAAACTAAACTAGGGTAATTTCTTGTTTAACATATATATATATATATATTTGAATAATATATATATATATATAAATAGAAAGAGAGAAATAATTTTTCATAATAGAAACCATATCTGATGTACGTAAGAAAAAAATGTGTTTCCTACTAGAAATTAAAAGAGGGATTTGTTTGATATTTTATAATTCCGATATAAATTAAAGTTGGGACCAAAATAATTAAGTTTGTATTGAATGGGTGAAGGAGAGAATCCTATGTAAAATATAGAAACCAATGATACTTAATTAGAAGGCTTTTGGCCTTTTGCTCAGATGATCATCATTAGCTTGAGTAATTGATTGCATGTATTCAGTAAAAGTGGTATGATCAGTGCTTTTTATTTTCTCCCTTTTTTTTGTTTCTTGCTGAATTACCAAATCCCACTCTATGATTATTCTTTTACTTTTTGGCTTTTCAACCAAAAGGTAAGGCAAACAATGAAAAAAGTCAAAAGATTGTCGATGATTTCTCAACTAATCTAGAAGTTATATACCCAATTATCTTTCTTTTAGTTGATTTGGGGTTGTATGTCTACTACGATGATTCACCAACCGAGATTAATTATCGACATAATTAAGTCATTCAAGTTCATCTTTTACTTACAACAAAAAGATTTCAGGGCAATATTATGTACACATCCTAATGAGAATCAAAGTAAATTTTCTTCTGTTTTTTTTTTCCAAAACAATCAATTAAAAAATCGCAAGCAAAATAGAGATATTAGTGTTTTCGCTATAAGTATATAGAAATATATATATAACGCTATAGCAAAAATTTGTGAAAAATAATAATTTCATAACTCTTTTGTCGTAAATGATCGATTGATCGATATCTGCGTCAAGATTTAGTTCCTAAGAATCAAATGGACGTGGGACACAAATGTGTTGTTGTATAATTAAGATATGATGATTACACAAGTTAACATATATTTTCTCTCTGCTTGCAACATGATAAGGGTAATTTTTTGTGAAGTGGGAAAAAGTTGTTATATTACAAAAGGATATATATATATATATTATATCAACATTGTGTTATATTATTTAGAAAATAACCGTAAATGAGATATCCTATGGATGAATGGACAAAGGCAAAGGTAAAGTTGCCACACAGTGATAATGTTTATTTGTTTGTTAATATGATATACAGTGATGATGTTTACGATATAATGCAAGATTTGTAGGTGAATGTAGTGGATATGAAAGAAAGCATATATGATAAAGATGATAAGAGAGAAGACGTACCTGCATGTTATTGTACCTATTGAAGGTTTTGCTGCAAATAGAGCAAGAAAACTGCATTGGACCGACATGAATCTGAGCCTGACTCGGTATCCAAAACCTCTTCCCACAGACTTCCATATCAGAATTAATCATCTCCTCATCAAACTTCATCTTCCTCCTCTTCTTCATCATCATCACGCCATCTTCTATTATCTCTCTCTTGATAGGTTTCTTCTGATGATCGGAAGTTGTATCAGAGTCATCCTCCGTCGAGTTATCAAGCTGATAGTTAGGCAAACCGATTTGGAGGGTAACCACATCATCATCCTTCTCTTCTTTGATATCATCCCATGCTTGACTTCTCTTCTCCATGAGCTTGTTTAGAAGAGGCAAGCATTGAATAGACGTAGTGTTTGTGTTGAGTGGTTCTTGTGGTTGGCATAAGAATAGAGATCGTTCCAACATGTTCATCTGACTCTGGTGATTAGATCTTGATATAACATCTTTTGTCTTCATACAAAATAACACAGAAGGAGAAGAAGAAGTAGAAGATGGAGCTTTAAGCCATTCAATGAAGCTTGGGGAATCAAAACACAAACCCTTCTCATGAAGATTCATCAAACTCATCTCTCTCTCTCTCTCTCTCTCTCTCTCTCTCTCTCTCTCTCTCTCTCTCTCTCTCTCTCTCTCTCTCTCTCTCTCTCTCTCTCTCTCCTCACGAATATGGGTTAGATTAGAATTAAAAGGTTATAAATCAACCTTCCTGATGTGTATAGGTTCGTCAAAATAGGTCCTTTCCTTTTTCTAAAATATTCAAAATCTTCTTCAATTCTTTAAAGTTTTGTTTTCTTCTTCCTACCCCAACACGTATATGTAGCTATGTCGATGGTCGCACGTGTCTACGCGTTTACATTAAGGGGAAAAGAGTGCAAATTTCTTCATATGAATGTGGTGGGTCTTACTTCACATAGTGAAAAGGAGACGCACAAGCACAAGGCTTTTCAATGAAAGAGAATCCTAAGACTCGTTGATATTATTCATTGAGCCATCTTTTTTCTTCTTTACATTCTTTTCCTTTCCCATTATGATTACTATATGTAACATCTTATACCAACAAATACGATTTCCTTTCATCATTTTATAGTCATAATTATCTATAAGTGCATATAGACCGGCGAAGACGAAATTCATCATTCCATCAAAACAACAATTTCAACATCATTTTAGCCGTCTTTTTAGGGACAAATGATAAAAGCAAATTACTATAAAATCACGCGTTCTCTTTTATTGACATTTGATTATTCAAATAGCAGATATTACACGAACTTGATGATGTATCATACTATTTTTTTTTTTTTTCATACGCAAGAGTGTTCTAGGGCTCAGCAGCTCCATGATTTACTTTAATTCTTTACAGAATTTACAATGTACAGCATTTAAGATACTATCATACATTCATACTAATAGATGAAATTAATCTATCGGCAACATACACTTGGATCTTAAATGCTGTACATTGTAAATTCTAAACAAATTAAATCAGAATAATTCTGGATGCTAATTCTTCGAGAAAGACCGAAGCACGCCATAGTCAAATGACACGATGGAGTTGAACGAGAACCTGTAACAAATTGATGTCTTTGGCGTTAAGTATATAAATTAACATAGAATTTCGAGGGGATTGCTTGCTGATCTAGAGGCTATGGTTTGCACCACTAATTAATCATTGCAATGTTATATACTTGTTGCATAAATCTTCTTCAGTTCCAAAATACAATTTAATTAAAAGTTTAAAGGTTTTAAATAATGATGAATGTTTAGTAGTTGGAAGATTTTTGAAGAGAATGAGATAGTGGAGTTTGACTTATAAGCACAAGATTTTCTGATAAAATACATTGAAAAAGAAGAGAGAGAGAGAGAGATGGAGGATCTTCACCGCAGTTTAGTCAATACCTGAAGGAATACAATACTTAATTATACATAAGCTTATTCAATGAATGTGTCAATTGTGGCGGAGATTAAAAGAATATTAATCACGCATTTTTTTATCACTTACATTCACGAAAACGAAACTGGTTCTACATGTGTTACCGGTCAAGTGTGCAGAGCCGTGCCAAAGGTTTTTAATGCCGTAGGCGAAAAACAAAAACAACATTTTTATTAAATAATTATTTTAAAAATAATTAATTTATATGAAAGAAAATATTAATAGAATTATTTATAAAAGAGATTTTAAATTATTTTATGTTTGGTGTATATATATAATTGTAATACATAAGATACAACATTGTAAAAAATAAAAAAAATTAACATTGTATATACAGTAAAACCTTTATAAATTAGTATTTGATTCATTAATACCTAGATAAATTAATATTTTTATCAGTTCTAAAATTAGTTTATCAACTAAATAGTATATTTCTAAATTAATAATTACTATAAATTACTAATATTTTTGTAAAAATTCATGATTCAACGTTATTAGTTTATAGAGATTACACTGTAATATATTAGTTAAATTGTAAACTAAAGGTAAGTAAAAAATAAAATAAATCATATTACAGAAAATAAGAAGTTGGTGATTTTTTTTTTTGAAAAAAAAAATAGATAATGTGGTAAAAATGAAAAAGGCAAAATAAATGTATGAATATATAAATACAAAAAACAAAATTCAAAAGTTAAGAAAAATATTTATGGACATAACAGTTGACTTTAGATTCTAAAAAACAAACCTTGAGATATTAACGATAAGAACATAAGCTTAGAATATTTATAGATATATATAATACTAATTTATTCTATCTTTTGCTTTCAAAATATTTCATAAAATTTTGAGGCCGTAGGCGAAGGTTTCTTTAACTCCTTCGTAGGCACGGCCCTGCAAGTGTGGTACAAGACTGTGTATCTTTCTTTTTGTTATGTTTTGTGAACAAAGCCAATCAAACCATCGAATAATACGACAGTTTAAGTGGGGTACATTTTTTTATCAAACAAATACTTTACATATATAAGTCTTAAGTATGGAATAAAAACATATAGCATTTGAAACAAAAAAATATAAATAAAACTGTAATTCTTAAATATTAGTTATAAATCAATTAAGAATGGAATTATTAGAATAAGAAACGGAGATGGGTTGGACATTTAGACCGGTACGTTTAACCTTAAACCCTAATCAGCTAGAGAGACCGGTACAAGGCAGCTGCTGTTAAACCCTGCTTCCTATCTTCCCCGATTAATTTCTCGTCCTTTCTCTTTCGTGCGCCGACCAATGCAAGGGAATCGCGACCGCTCGTGGTCCCTAGGCGCCTCCGCGAACGGTGGATACCTTCCTCAAGCGTCTCGTGTGTATCCCAATTTCAGTGTCCAACAATACAATCTCCAGACGCAGCAGAATCTCAATTTCCCTCATCGACAGATCCCTACCTTCCCTCCTCACCAATTTGGCGCCGCCGCTAATGTTTTCCTTCAGCCCCATGGCCAGAGCCATGATAGCGTTGGGTCTCGAATCCATGGGTCCTCGGACTCGAAGCCAAGGCGCGATGTACAAGTCATGCGTATTGATAAGGCCGTCATCGAGAAGCGTAAATCACTGGTTGCCTCTGGAGAGAGCGTTTCTTCGACTAGAGTGTCGCAGTCGGTTCTAGCACAGCTTCAGGCCGATTCCTTTGGTGTGCAGATGCAGGATGTTCCTTCGCTTCGCCAACTTATGGCCCTTGAAGGCAAGGTAAGCTCTTGGCGATGTTCTCTAATTTCTTTTAACCTTCCGAATCTCAAGCAATTATGTGACTTTATGTTTTTTTTTGTTTTTTGGGGATGTCTGGTAGATTAATGCATTTATCCACTGCTTCATTGGCGCTAGAAGAATCGTGACCCTTTATGATCTGGAAGTAGCTATATGCCGTAACGAGTTTGTTGATTGTTTTGATGATCTGGAATTGGGGCCTTTGCTGCAGCATCCACTTGTCCTGCTCTATTTTCCCGGTTCTACGAGCTCTGTTCACATCACCAGCGAGGAGGTAGTATCCTTTCTTGATAGCTATCTGGACACTTATGATACGGACGATGTTCAGGTCGATGAGTTTCTGAATTTTGTCGCTGAGGGGAAATCAGTTACAAGCAAGGAAATGCTCGGTGTGCGTATTCAGAGCTTGCGGTATGATATTGTTTCTCTCTTTTTCGTTTTGTTTCATGGCGAGGCTGGTTTTGTAAGAGATACCAGATTACGTTCTCGACTTTTCTCTCTAGTTTAAACTGCATTAGCTGATTAGATGTGATTTATGCATTTGTAGGATGTATGTATCTTTCATTCAAGACGCGAAGAGACAAGAAGGCGAATCATTGAAGATCTTGCTGACTGAACTGCATCAGAAGTATCGCATCCCTTCATCGAAGGGACAGCGGCAAGATAATTCTCTTGCTGTCTCTGAGCATGCTGACTTGTTTGCTTCGCATCATAAGGATTATCGTGGCAAGCATACAAGATTTACTTCATCATGCTCAGATGACAACGGTAGTAGTGATTATGAGGTCGAAATTGTTAATAGTTCTGACCATTTCAGAAGTTGTCCGTATCCATCTGTTGCAGAAGAGATGAAGCGGCTTGAGAGGTCCAATAAGAAAAGGAAGGTTGAAAGTTGTAACCACGAAAAAACTGGTTTTTCCAAACAAGAGATGCCTGAATCGGCGGATGATTCTGATGCTAAGCAGGTTTTTAGTGTCGATGAGGCTGATTTCACACGTTCTGAAGAAGCTTTGAGTTTGTTCCTCTCAACCTGGAAGGACACATGTAAAGAGCTAAGCATGTCAATGGTAGAGATTGACGATTTCTCGAATCATTTATCAGATAAAATCTTTTTGCTTGAACCTGATAGTGAATTATTTTGGACCGAGTAGTGGTGTGGCTATATGTTGTTTATTCTCTAAGACTTTCTTTGATTTTTGTAGTTTGTCGAGAAAATGTTGTCTTTTTACAACTTGGGGGGCTCCGAAGTACCACCTCTGGTTAAAAGAGCTAAAGCGTTGTCATCATTTCCATTTGCTGGATTACTACATGTCGCTGTGAGTTAGTGGTCATATTGCTTTAGTTTAAAGTTTTCTTTTTTTCCTTGTTTTTATTAATGCAACTAGAGAAGGATGCTTACATTCAAAGATTCCTCCTTAAGTTAGCTAGCAGTTTTTCATCCATCAAAGATTTACTGAACAAAACAACTACTTAGTTTTAAGCTGTTGCTCTTGTTGTTTTTCTTTTTCTCTGTTGTGCTCTCTCTTATTTCGGTGTGGTTCAAGCCTCCATGCTCTTTCGTTGAGACTTAGCACCAAGTTGCAAAGTCTTATAGTTGAGTTAGGCAAATGTTAAAGCTTCCCAAGTTCAGCTTTGCTCTTTGATTCTGCATGTGCACATCACAATATGAGTCTCACTCATATTGTCAATATCACTGTGGCAGGCTGAAAAAGGATAAAAGTTGCGCCCCTATGCACTCACAGTCCCAACTTTGTCTCCATGTTTTCTTCCTCAATTAATTTATGGAAACGTTCCAAGATCTCGGGTTGCAGATCCTGTCCTTTGAAATATCTATAGGGGAATGTCTGAGACTGAAACATGGTTGCATTTATGAAAAATTCCCTTTACACCTGAACTTGAGATGGAGTTTGTATCATCTTAATTTTTTTTCACCTGGTTCCATGTCTCGTTCAAAAAGCTTCTAGCTCAGTGTTCCATAAGTGTCTGCATAGTCTTTCTTCAAATATCAGGGAATATTTATCTCGTTTTCTTGTTTTTAATCATTTCATTTTCTTTTGCTAATGGAAATAGTTTCAGATGCTTGCCGTAATTGAGTAGTAACTTTATCTTTTTGCTCCCCTTTTGAATCAGAAGGAGATTGTAAAAGAGGCTCTGGAGGAATATATACCGAATGAGATCACAGATACAAAGTTGGTAGCGGAATATGATAATCATGCAGGCACAAGTTCACGAGGTAATAAGCCAAACCAGTTGCCCACAAAGAGTGGCTCAACGTCAGGGAATCTGGTTCATGAATGGAACAACTCCGCCACAAGTGACTTGAGCGTAAGAGATGAGTTTCACACGGGCACACATTGGGCTGCACAGGCGCAACAGACGGGTAGAAAAGGTGAAGAAATCGCTTACAGATACTTTGCTGCAAAATACGGCAAGGAGGCTGTGGTTAGATGGGTTAATGAGCAGAGCGAAACCGGTTTACCTTACGACCTGATAATCATAAACCGAGGTGGTAAGAAAGAGTACGTGGAGGTGAAAGCAACGGTATCCGCAAAGAAAGACTATTTCAATCTGACGGTGAAGGAATGGCAGTTTGCAAACGAGATAGGAGAGAGTTACGTTATTGCGCATGTTTTGTTAGGCAACAGTAATGCCATCCTCACACAGCATAGGAACGTTGTCAAACTATGCCAAGATGGTCATCTCCGGTTATTGATTCTCATGCCCAACCAGCGAAACGACGTCAACGTTGCGTTTTAAACCCAATCAAATTTTTTTTTTCATATGCAATGTAAAAGCTAACTTGTGGGAGAAACAAGACTGAGATTGATGAGTTGGCTGTGGCGTGAACATGATTAAGACGTTAAGACAGCGTTCTTTATTTCTTTATTCATTCAAATTCAATACACCAAGGAGAGAGGTCACTTGCCTTTTTGTTCTTTAAGTAGCCATCTTCTTTATAAATCATCGTCATCTACTGCAGATAAAGACCAAACCTTTGACGAAGCCAATAATTCGAAAACCGTGTTCATCCAAAATTCGAAGCAATTATTTTCTCTGTTGGTATGTTTTATTTTGTTCTGTTTGTCCTACAACTTGTGATCTTGTTGGTACCACACCCAAATTCATTATGTGTGGTAAATATATACGAAAATTTTGCTTGCAGCTAAAATGCAAATAAAATTGATTTACTTGTTTTGGGGTTTTAAACAATATGAAAATGACCCTTTTTCAATTTTAAGCCGGCGGCTATATATGATATGGCATCCAATATTTTTTTTATTTTCAAGGATTTGGACAAGGAATATTCGAAAATCCCTTAAAAAAAAATAAGCAGTTTGGGAAGATGCTCTGTTTCCATGGAATTATCATGGGAGAAACAAGTAGCCATCTTCGTTATCATTCATCATCTTGTGCACATAAAGATAAAGATCGGACCATTTGACCATTCAAACCGTTTTATGTTCCTCCTAGATTCAAGGCAACTATGTTTTTTTCTGTGTTGTCCTAAAAATTGTGATCTTCTTTGATTTTGCCAATTTTCACATCCAAAAATCATTCTTTGTATGGCAGACATATTTTGATGGAGGATTCTTCTGCAAGTTCAAATAGAGTTAAGCTTCGGGATGGGAGATTCTTAGCTTATAGGGAAAGAGGAGTTCCAAAGGAGAAGGCTAAATACAAGATCATTCTTGTTCATGGCTTTGGAAGCTCTAAAGATATGCACTTCTCTGCCTCAAAGGTAAAATACAAGAATGCTCTTTGTATCTTGTCTGGAATCTGGATGTTTGAAAAGCCTCTGTTTTTAATCATTGTGATCCTTTAAGCAAACAAAGAAGGGGAAAAATCTCACTTGGACTTAGTTTTTCAGGAGCTAATAGAAGAGCTTGGGGTGTATCTTCTGTTTTACGACCGTTCTGGATATGGAGAATCGGATTCAAATGCGAAACATTCGCTGAAAAGTGAAGTTGATGACATAGAAGATCTTGCAGATCAGCTGGAGATAGGACCCAAGTTTTACCTAATTGGAATCTCCATGGGATCTTACCCAACTTGGGGTTGCCTAAAACACATACCTCACAGGCAATTCTAAGCATTCCTGAAAGAATCGGTCAAACAAGTTGTGAACAGTTAAGTAAACGATTGAGAATTTCGTCTTCTTTTTGCAGGCTATCCGGCGTGGCTTTTGTAGCTCCGGTTGTGAATTATCAGTGGCCATCGCTTCCGAAGAAGCTTATAGAGAAAGATTACAGGAGAGGTATTACCAAATGGGGTTTGAGGATATCGAAGTATGCACCTGGACTGTTACATTGGTGGGTTATTCAAAAAGTCTTCCCATCAACTAGTTCGGTTCTTGAAAGCAATCCGGTCTACTTCAACAGCCACGACATGGATGTGCTCAAGCGTATAACCGGCTTTCCCATGCTTACTAAGGTCACTTCTCCCTAGTTTTTTCCCCATAATTGCGATTTGTAGTGATGATGATCATTTGTGACATACTACTGTATATGTGCACTTACCTTATAGGACAAGCTACGCGAAAGAAATGTTTTCGATACTCTAAGGGACGACATCGTTGCTTGTTTCGGGCAATGGGAGTTCGAGCCAGCGGATCTAAGCATTACTCAAGAGAGCTCTGTTCACATCTGGCATGGGAAGGAAGACAAAGTAGTTCCGTTTCAACTTCAAAGATGCATTCTACAGAAGCAACCTTTTATCAACTACCACGAGATCCCACAAGGCGGACATTTGATCGTGCACTACGACGGCACTTGCGATGCGATTCTACGAGCTCTATTGCTCGGTGAAGAACAAAAGCTGTCTAAAACCAAATATTCTTGAACTCACCAGTTGATGGGAAACATGATGTACAACAATAGAAAAATTGATTTGTTTGGTGTTTGTAAAGGATTCTTTTTTTCTTTTTTTCTTTTTGTTGATTCATTTCTAGAAAACAAAATATGTTCAAAGTGTACAAATGGCGTTACATGTATCTTTATATATAATGAAGTGTTTTGAATGAAGAAATGGATTAGGCAAATTACAAACAATAAACAGATTTTGGTGTGGCATCAGCTGCTTTCTACTATTGGGGATTTTCATTGATGAGATAGTCGAACCGTGAATCGCCGCCATTGCTGGCTACAACGAGCTTCAACAGATCAATCGCTTTCTTCCTTCCTTTCACACTTCCATTCTCCGCTACGTACACGATCCCTTCCATGGCTCCTTCATCCGCACCAGACGCCACCGCCGCCGCAACTTCCGACCGCGCTTCCGCTCCTCCGCACCTCGCCAGATTCAGAAGCGCCCCAACGGCGTTCTCCTTGATCCGTAGGCTCGAACCAGTGCAGGGATCCAGCAGATCCGCTAACACGCTGGCTCCTGACACCCTCCTCATCCCTTCCTCGCTCTCCTCGCATCCAGCGACCTGCGCCATAACCGCCGTCGCATCCTCCACGATCCCGCTCCGAGAGTCCTTCACGATCAGCGAGAAGAGTGCCGGGATCGCGCCGAGCGAGATCATCGTCGACCGGTTCATCGGGTAGAGAGCGACGGCGAAGAGTGCCTTGAGCGCGTCTTTGATCGACCGGGGGTGCGAATCTGGGTATCTGATGATGTGGATGAGGGAGAAGATGATGTCGCGCTTGGATCCGATGATTGGTCGGTAAGACTCTTCGGCGATGAGGAGACTGTAAATCGTGGCGGCGGCAGACTGGACTGCGTCGGGGGAGGTGGTGGTGTCGTGGTGGCGGAGCGCGTGAGAAAGCGCGTCGAGTAGGCCGCGAGAGGACATGAGTGATTCGCGAGATGTGATGGAGAGGTTGAGGAGAGCGGCGGCGGCGTTTTCCTGAGAAGAGTGCGACGACGAGTAGAGAGTCTCCGAGAGGTACGGAATGGCGCCGGCGTCGGCGATGATGAGACGGCTGTCGGGATCTTGCTTGGAGATGAGTCTGAGCTCAGCTAGAGCGGCAGCTCTAGTTTGCTCAGAGACGGAGCTGAGCTTGGAGACGATGGATTCCATTGTTCTACGCTTCGCTGTTTCCATCTCTGACTCTCTCTCTCTCTCTGTTTCCTTTCGAACCCTAATTTTCTGTTTGGGGATGATGAGGTAGATTGGACTTTTTTTGAACAAGTCAAATTGTATTATTATTGTAGTTTAAAGAGATTGGAATAGTTAAACAAGAACGAAATAGTCCTAAGTGGAAACTAAAGTTGCAACCTTTTAGTGGAAATCGGTTGTTGTACTTATCCAGAGGACGTACTTTTGAGATCTCTGTCTAATGTTCATAGATAATAGGATTATGAGGCTTAAATTGGGCTTTCGTTATGATGTTAATCTTTAAGCCTATCTAGTTTCATCTTTTGCTTGTATTTTAGCTTCGGATCTTCTTTATAACAAAACTAAATCATCGGTTTGTGATCTGATCAGTATTATTTATAGGTCGGTTTCTCGGACTACTGGAGAGTAGAAGGGAAGAAACCAGAATTTTTACTATTGGGCCACAGATAACTGTCTGGCCCATCTAAGTCCCATTAATCTCAAATATAGGTATCTTTTTTTCTTTTCTTTTTTTTTATTTCGTTTTGGACTTCGTCTCACTGTATTTTTATTCCTTTTAATTCTTGCTTTTGATTTTGCGTACATCGTTTGTGGTCAATGTCTTAATGGGTCGCTAGTTTATTTTCAAACAAAGAACATTCGCTGTATCCATTCTAAAATCAACGAGCCGAATACAACACACACTTCAGAAAATATATGTGATGAAAACTTGAAATCATCGAGCTGCTGCTCTTTTTTCTTGGCCAAATAAATCGGTTCCAATTACGTGGTACGTTAATTTCATAGCATTAAATAAAAAAAGTTGAAAAGAAGATCCTATTTTTTCTGGTACAACTTAAAGGAAGAGTGACCGATGAGTGAAATTATAAGACAACGAAACTTGGCAGTTTAGTGATAATTATTCCATTTCAATTCAGAAATTGGAGAAGTGATTCCGCGATGACTGAACAATCTGCAAATCCGTCGTCGTTTGGCAAGATGTTTCATCACTTATCAGCGTCCTGTTCACATTAACAGTACCAGAAAAATCAAGTTAGTCCGTATTTTAGCATGAGTATAATTAAACATAAGATTTTAAAAAATGCGTTATAAATGTGCCTTACTCTCGTGGACGAGACAACCAAAGAGAGCTAAGAGCTCTGAGGCGTCCGTAGTACTCTCCGATGACTAGAAAACACCGTGCAGCTTGACGGACGGTCAAGATCCGCCGCAGCTGGTGAACCGTCTGCTGCCTCAAGTTATCAGCCTTCATTTAAATTATGAATGTAAATGATGAGAAAAGCTCAATTAGAATTCACATTTTATTTAATAAACATTTCAAACTAATATCTAAATTTCTTTTGATAGGAATGGCACACCTACTAACTTGGTGTGCTAATGGGTATTACAAAAGTCAATAACTTGTAACAGATAAATGGAAAAATAATCAGTTGATCCTAATGTCTTAAAACAAGAAAATATCGTATATGTATTTTATTGAGTTCAACACAAACTTTGAAAGACAAAGGAGAATAATTTTTAACATATTCTCTTTGTTTTTTATTCAGCTGTGTAGTATATATATAAAACCAAGTTGGTGAAAGAAATTTGGCCCTTGGAATAATGAAATTTAAGACCATAGGAACATATATTATTATATGGCTGAAGAACAAAAAATAGAGGCAAGAAGAATTGAAAAGACATGTCCAAATGAAAATAATTAATCCAGAAACAGACAATACGTGAAAGCAACATTTGATCGAATTTTTGTTTTAATTAGACAAATTTAGCCAGCCCCCATCTGTTTGTACAAGTATGTACGCAAAATATCTATATGCGTTGCGAATTTTAAAATACATTAGACTTCTCCATTCTGCTATCTCTAAACCAAAATATTTGGGTTTTTTCCATTCTATTAAATAGATTTAAATGTTTAATAATACCTTAGAATTTTTATTGCTACATGTATTTAAAGTTTTTAGTCAAAGATTTTCAAAAAAAACAAAAGAACCCCGTTAATACGTTATACTGTACGTTGTTTGATACGTTATAGTGTGAAAATATAGGAGAGGAAATGGAACCTGGCGGATAAAGCCTTCGAGATTAGAGATCTTGCCGAGAGCGACGGCCATTTGTTGCATACCGTCGATGACGGGAGATGCGGCGAGAGTATCGATGAGAGACTGTTGAAGTTGATCGAGGCCTTGCGAGAGAGCCTCCTCCGCTTGTTGTGATGAGTGTTGTAGGCTATATATTCCCATCAGTTGCTGCTCCGTCAATAGATCCATTTGCGTCACCAATATCTTACAAATCAAAAACCCGTCAATTTTCTTTTTAGTTTTGACATTAAAATGTGATACTATGTTAAATATATGACTCTTCAAAAAGTCACATGCAAACGTAGAAACTAAAAGTTTACGTTTGAACAATCGATAGACGACTCACCTTGATGAGGTCAGATGGACGGAAACCGGCCATCCAAATGAAACAGCGTTCGGCTGGGGACATCCATGTTCCGATGATGAGGTGGAAAACGTCAGCTTTCGCGGCGACGGCTTTTAATCGGAATATCTCATCAAAGTGAGCAATGTAACCGTCAACGATCAACCGTAGATCGTTATCCGATAGATGAGCCTGAAGACCGGTTCGGATCTCCGACATATGCCGGTTATCATCCTCTAACCATCTCCCATATTCCATGTCAAATATTGCAGCTCCTATACGTACGTTCATTTTTTTCAACAATGTGTTAATCATAATTGGCTGGGTCCAACAAGAATTTTAATATAAATAATGCTGCAAATGGTGTTTTAGGTTTTAGTACCGGAAGTGATGTTAGGTCCAGGTGGACCACATCCACCCATAAACAGCCCCTATAATATCGACATAAACAATATCTTAATTAAATCAATTAATTATTCGCAAAATAAGGTTAAGGCACGAATATAAATAAATACTTTAATTTTCAAGTGAGAAAAGAAACCTGAGAACGAGCTCGCTGGAGTTCTTGCTCCAACTGAGAAAGCTTTATCCTACTTGATTCTAGCTGTTGCACATAAGCCTGCTCAAACCAATATGCATCATTACTAGCTCGATTTAGTAATATAAATCTTCTCTCGTAATAAAATCAAGCTTTCCTGATCAGTGCATGGCAATTATATACGTTCATAGATGAATTATGGAAGATTTATAAATAAATGCTATTCATATAACAAGAGAGTTGTATGTGCAAACACCATGTTATTTCAACATAGTAATAAAAAATAGGAAATTTAAATAATTAAATAAATGATTTGATGTGAAAAGATAGGGAATTGTGTAATGGATACCTTTTTCCTAAGACGACTTTTGCGAGCAGCTTCTCTATTTTGGGCCAAACGTCTCAATGTCTGAATCAATAATTTTAAACAAGAGGTTAACTAGTTAATTCGGGGAAAAAAGGAACCCAAAATTACTCATAAAATGGTATTCTCTCTGTTTCATAAATAGTGTCGTTTTAGAATTTTGTTTTTGTTTCACAAAGAGTGTCGTTTTAGGTTTTCAATGCAAATTTATAACAGAATATCCAGTTTTAACTTTGTTATTTTAGTGTATTAATTAGAAAGAGAGAGTTGTTTAATGTATTTATTAGGGATAGAAAAGACTTTTTGTTAATTTTCTTAATTTGTGTGAAAAATGTCAAAGTGACACTTATTTTAAAACAGAGAGAGTAGTACACTACAGTAACACTAGTATTAAAAAGTTTATATATATATATATATATATGTCTCCTCGGGGGAGTCATATAAAATGAATATGAATTAATGATGATGAGCGTTAAAGTACCTTAGCATCAAGCTGTTTGCCTGAAGTTGTAGCCTTCCTCTGCAATGTCAGAGCACAAAGATGAAAATAGAAATGAATTCAGTGCAAAAAAGAAAACAAAAATAATTGTGTAAGTTAAGTTGACTCATGTGATAAACATTCACATATAGACAACAAAGAAGCAGCATATATACTCAGAAATAAAATATTTTAGAGCTTAATGATATGAAATAATTCAGAAAACACATGTAAGTTTTTATTAGTGTAAAATTTTACATGCTATATGATAATAATGGATGTATAAAGAAAAACAAAAGAGAGGATATTGTTTAATCCTGTATAAAGGAAAACAAAAAGAAAATAACACTGACGAAGATTCTGCTTTATTTTACTTTCGGGGTTTTATTTATTTGTATTTTGAATTTGTCCTTTTCAACGAATTGAGAGGTCAAAAATCTGAATTTTCTCTGATCCGTTTCCTTTTTGGGATCTGTGTATGTTTTTTGTTTTATTGGAAGATTTGATAGGACATATACATATATGAAATGCATGTACATGTATATATAGTATGATAAGGAGAGAGAGACGTATATATATACACATATCATGTACATGCATCAATCATGCATGCAACATGACTCCACATGCATATATGACCTTCTAAAATTGAAAGTTTTTAAAAGTGATGACGAATGATGATGAGTACCTTATCTTCCGAGGGTTTTGGCGGAGCTGGAGTTCGAGAAGTGGAGGGAAGTCCAGAAGTTGAACTTGAGTTTGCCATGTTGTTGTTATTATGATGATGATGCTGAAGCATGAGATGATGATTCTGTTTGCTACTCATAGGAGACTCGGGCTGTTGACTTTCTGCTTTGCCGCCGGAGAAATTCGCCGATCCTGAATCGGTGCTCTCTCCACCTGACTTGGAACTCTCCTGCAATACATATTCAACATAAACATTGTACTCAAGACCATATAATAAATTGGATAACTGATAAAAAGTCAGAGAAGGGATGATTAATGTAACTACAAATTCAAATGAACACAGTTCCAAGAAAGATAACTAAGGATGAATTGACCTTAGTGTATATAATTTGACAAATGGGTGTAATTCAAACTGCGTTTATTATTTGTTTGATATAGTATAAAGTCAGAACAAATGAGTAATAAACTACTTTAAAAATCGCTTTCAGCTGTGAGGGAAAAATAAGCAAAAATAAAGAAGAACAAGAAAGCTGAAACATGTGTAAAAGAGAGTGAAATGGGAATTAAGAGAATTTTTTTTATTTTTTTTATTTAAAAGAAAAGAATTTGAATGCCGTAAAAGGAGAAAAAAACAAGAGGAAAGGGTCAAAGAAGAAGAAAGGGTACAGTAGGAAGAGTTTGGTGAGTTCTGATTGGCCATGAAGGGAACATCTCCAGAGTCGTAGCTCCTCCTCCTGCAAACAAAGCTGCAAATTTACCATCATTACACATTTACACGTTTACATATGCAGCATATATATGCTCATAATCATCAACGGTATTAATTGTGCATGTGTGTGTTTGATCTTGATGTAATCTATTTTTCTATTTAGAATTTAACTACATCATTTATCACGTGGATCTACTACATAACATGACACACTTACCAACTTAACTACGAATACTTCTCAGCATAAATATATATATCGAGAGAGAGACATATGGTGTGTAGTATATTTGATATATAGAGGAGGTTAGGGAGTTGGTAAAAGATTTTTTGTTTTCTCTTTTTTCTTTTTATTTTTTTTTAAAATGAGAGAATGGAAATAAATAAACAAGTCACGCCATCCAAGGCTCTCTTTTGCCTCCGTATCATCACCAAAACACAAACCTATCTAAAGACTTGTTCAGACTCAGCTTTTAGTGATTATTTTTCCAATTTCACTTTTTTCTAATTTAAATTCAAAAACTTTATTGGAGTTTGTTAAGGAAAGCTCACGTCATGCAGGGATTGAGAGAGGGGCTTACGTGGCTTGGCTTCGTCGTTCCTATACTTCACACCTTGCAGAACAATTGCTTCTTCTAGCTCTCCGAAATCGAAGCTGGAGGATCCATCTTGGTTACTGTTTCATTTATTAATTATTTAATATTAGTACAAAAAGAATATTCATGTATGTTACAACTAAAATAAGAAAAAAAATAGAACTTTTCTTTTCAAGGAGGAACAGTGAGAACACAATCAATATTAAAAACCATACCTAAACAGTCGCATATATGCTAATACTGTATGTTCCTTTTCGGGTTAAAAGATAATAAAACGATTACACCAAAATTACAACACATATAACATATACTCGGATGATCTAAATAACACATTTTTAGGTTTTTATTAATTAAACCTCTAGATTTTCGTTGACCATTTGTCATTTTTAACAATGAAACCGTGTATCATATTATACTACTGAAGAAAATGACAAATTGAGAATAAACAAAGAAACCACATATAAAAATCCAGAGCTTCAGATTGAATATTATTAAGAAAACAAGATGAGCTTTATGTACCTAGCAAAAATATATGTAAAGAAGAAGAAAAGGAGTTGGGAAGATTTTGTTTACATGAATCCAGGAGGTGGAGGATTGTTGTTGAGGCCATGAAGAAGTGAATACGAAAGATGATGATTATGGTTATGGTTCGTGGCTTCGCTGATTACTCTATGGTTAGCCATCTCCCCCTCTTTCTTGATCTTCTCTTCTACTTATGCCGTCTTCTTCGTAATCTCTTTCTGTAAAACATAAATTAGTCTTGTAAAGATGAAATCAAGAAGGAAAAGGGTAATCACTAGATAGATTCTTGAGTTAAGAACACAAAAGAGAGAGAAGAGAGAGAGAGTGGGAAAGGAAGAAAGAGAGAGAGAGAGAGAGAGAGAGAGAGAGAGAGAGAGAGAGAGAGAGAGAGAGAGAGAGAGAGAGAGAGAGAGAGAGATTGCAAGTCTTAATTAATTATTGATCAAGGTTATCAAATGATTGGGATCTGAAAGAAAAGCTAGTCGATGATGATGATGAACATGAAAGTAAGATAGATATTAGTATGTGCTTAATTTATTACCTTTTTCTGAAGTTTTTAATATTTGCTTTGAGGTGTTTTGAGAACAAAGAGGAGAGAGAAAGCAGGATGGAAACTTTCTCGTCAAAGGCTTTTTTATGGCTGAACAGAAAAACAAAGAGGGTCCAATCTTTTCTCTTTCAGAGATACATATATACAAAATATGTGGGCGTGTATATACATAATTAGACAGAAAAATGATAATAAAATAATTAGTGTGAATAGTATTATTACTCTTTCTCTCTCCCTACTTGTATGTGAAGAAACCTTTGTGATTCATCAGTCTCTCCTTTTCATCACCTTTCTCTATCTATTTCCACAGTAAACACATATTGCACTTGCTAAAGTTCGTAATTTTTTTTTTAAAAAAAGAAGAAACTTATTTCATTGTAATTAATCGCGCGAAGATGCTGTCCTTCCCAGACTTTGTCTCCAGGGTACATTTTTTTTTATTTTCTGAATTATATTGGGTTTGAAAAAGTTGTACAACAGAAACTGAATTTTAACTTGACCAACTTTATAGCTGTCAAGGTCAAAGCATTTGCAAATTTGATCAGACAGACGATATTTAAACATATTTGTAAACAGAAGATTTAGAAGTTAAATAGAAAACAGAAACTATAAGATGAGTGAAAGAGCTTTATCCTTGTTAAAACAAAAAAAAAGGAGCTTTATCTTTGTTAAAGACAAAAAAAAGAGCTTTATCCAACGTAGAAGATGATAAGAAGATTGGACATATAAGATTATTTGGACCGAACAAACAAAATCAATTGAGGTAGTTTATTAAGAAAAAATATCGAGGTAGAAAAATAGGGAGAGGAGAAAATTAAATGAGAATTTGTATTTTAGTAAATAAATAAAATAGAGAGAGAGCAGAAAAAGAGGAGGAACCCACTAGAATCACTGACTCCTACTCCACAATCTCTCTTTGTAACCGCCTGTTTGTGCTTATTGGCTCCTTTTCATCAAATCTCTTTTTGGGCTTATTTGAGTACACAATTTTTATAATCTGTAACATCTTTTCTACTATTCATATTTTACGTAGATGCATTGTATATATACGAGCACGGAGCATGGTAAATATGTAAAAAAAAAAAAAATAGCATCCTAGCAGCATGTTTCATGAACTTGTTTTTTGTAACTAGTTTGTGTGCTGTTCTAAAACTTAAAAAAATTAATAAAACATGAAAATTCTCGCATAATGTCAAGAATCTTTGAATGGGCATGAAAAATACAGCGTACTTTATAGTATTATGAAAAAGAATATGATATCTAATTTTAGTCTAGCTAGTAGACATATATACTCTGGTTATAATGAATAAAGGCATACAACTCCTCCAGCTATACGATCTATGTTATTCTATTCCGATGATCTAATGATGTTTTTATTAAAATTATAATATAGTTCGTTTAATCATGTATACACATAACAGAAAGAAAATGTAATACTGTGGGATAGGGAATGTTTGTTGATGGAGTATATAAAAAATAGCTGAATCGAGTGAGTTTCTATGTCCAAGTCCAAACCGTAGCTCTTTTTGTTAAATGGCCTTTGGGAGTAGAGAAGGGGATAATAATAGTATGAATATTATATGGTGTACGGTTTCGATAACATATGTGACAGTTTCTGAATCGAGTGAGTTTCTAAGTTTTGGTAACATATGTGACAATTTCTGAAAGCGTGTTTTTTTTTTTTTTTGATTTTTGTGAAGATATATGTATTCAAATTTCAAATTTGGATATAATAGAACTAGAGCAACTACCTCTAGTCGGTTAACCTACCATACTTAAGTTGAATTAATAAACTATTTTGCTTCTACCAGTTCAACCAAAATACCCATTAGAATAATGACAATTATGTACACCAATAAGATAACACTAGACGGCCTTCTTGCATTAATCGTAAATATATATTGGAAAATATCAATAATTATAAACATCTTAATCAAGTGTTATTTAATTCGATTTGTTTGGTATTATCCTTAATTTTGTTGATGGGTCAACATCCACTCCCTGTCATCACCTAAATCTCAATGCCACATTTCAGATTCCTTTCCTCTATTAGAAATTGTTACATGTCTCGTTTGATTCGTATATAGCTAATTTAGTCAATGAACTCTTGCAAATCTACATTTGTCATTGCTTTCTTCTTTAATTTGTGTCATTATGAATCCCTCAAGTTGAGATTCTTTAGGTGCTTTTTCTTTTCTTTTTGACAGATCATTTATATGTTCTTTTTTTCTTTCTGTAGAAGCATATTTCACAGTTTAAGTTTATATAAACTTCAGTAATAGTTTGTATATTGAAATAGCATTGTTTAGATTATCAGTCTCGGCTATCACACAATAGACACTCTTTTTTGAATAATGCATTTCACAATTCTTGGCGTATACATTTGGTGGTTGACAATATTTCTTTCACCCGATGAAATAATATAATAAAAACTAAGTTATCATTTAATTTATATCTTAATGTTGTACAACATGAAATATCTCATTTTATATAGTTTGGCTATGACATAGCTCTGTTAAATTTGATTCAGTTATTTAATTAAATGCAATACACACAATTCTGTGGTTTTACAAAAGTTGCTAAATTTATGTTTATCCACAAAAAATCGTAACGATAATGTATATACATACTTTGAAACCATCAAAATCTTAAAAACTGCACATTGTTCATAAGAGTCCCAATAATAAAGTTATACTCACTAGTATTTAAAATGATATAATTTTGAACGTTCGAGGAATTTTTTAAACACACCACGAAATTGATTGTTAATATTGGTTGGGCTACTTTTTGTTTGGTATAGTCAGACTTTAAGGCCCATTATTGTTTAGGGCCAGCCTAAACGCTGCAATGGTTACAATATAGATAAAGAAAAGCTACAAAATCGATAGAAAAAACGGTTAGAAGACAACGTGACGAAGTTGGTGGCAACGTTGTAAACTGACGTTAGAGAGCTCTAAACTTGTATTAAAATTGTAATGGTCAAATCACTCACCTATTTTTTATTAATTCTCGAGATATAAAAAATTACGGAAATGTTTTTACATTGCTCCTTCAATTAAAAGAACTAGATAAATCATGTAAACAGAAACAAGACAGATGTGATATAGTTAGTAGGGAGAGTAAAACCTACTCTAATCGTTTTTAAATTGTTTTAAAGAGACACAGAGATGTTATGAAGATACTTAGAAATCAAAATAACGTAGTGATTCCCACGTTCCACCTTCCTCCTAACCCTTTTCTTCATCGCCACTCAATCTCTCTGCAACATTCTCTGTAACGCGTATATTCCCAATTTTTTTTTTTTTTTTTTTTTTATATTTGTTATGTAACTAAGTTCGTTGCAGGCCATGACGATTCCTTAATCCAATACCTCTTCTCTTTTCGTTTCATATCACATCGCCTAAAATTTTCAAACCTTTTTCTTGTTTTCTCGTTTTCTTCTTCCGGAGGAAAGAGGGAGAAGACTCGATTGTGTGAGGAGAGATAGAGAGAGTGAGAAGGCGCCGCAAGCCCGAACTTTGGAGGTTCGGCGGCTCAGCGTCGTCGGTGGGTCGAGTCGTCCTGGAGCTGTCTCGTTGTTTCTCGACGGCGGAGGAGGAAGAAAACGACCGGCGAGCCATGGACATTGGTGGTCCTACCAATGTCCGCCACGTGGCTCACGTTACCTTTGATCGCTTTAACGGCTTCCTTGGCCTTCCTTCCGAGTTCGAGCCTGATGTCCCCAGAAAAGCTCCCAGTGCAAGGTTTAGACAACTTTTTTCTTCTGGTTCTGTCCTTTGATGTAATTATCAGTAAATGAATTGGCTTTCTTGGTTTCGGTCTGAGGGGTTAGTATAGGAAGATACTCTCATTTGCAGATTGGTTCTGAAATGGAAGTACATAATTCCTAAAAATATATAATGGATTCAGATGCAAATATGGAATTTCATTTCATGTTGTTTGGTTTTGGCAGTGCAACAGTGTTTGGGGTTTCGACAGAGTCAATGCAGTTGTCATATGATTCGAGAGGGAACTGTGTTCCTGTGATACTATTGCTATTGCAGAGCAGGCTTTATGATCAAGAAGGCTTGCAGGTAGAAGGAATATTCAGAATAACAGGAGAGAACAGCGAGGAAGAGTACGTAAGGGAGCAGCTTAATAAAGGGATCATACCTGATGGGATCGATGTCCATTGTCTAGCCGGACTTATCAAGGTTCCTCTTCAAAATAAGTCTCCTTCTTTCGCTTTTGCTTTTGAGATGGCACCTGAGATTTGATGATGAATGTATGGTGTTCAGGCTTGGTTCAGAGAGCTACCGAGAGGGGTACTTGATCCTCTGCCATCGGAGAAAGTGATGCAGTGCGAGTCAGACGAGGATTTTGTCAAGGTTGTGAGGCTCTTACCTCAAACAGAAGCTTCTCTTCTTAATTGGGCCATCAATCTCATGGCTGATGTTGTTCAGTTTGAGCATGTTAACAAGATGAACACTCGTAACCTTGCTCTAGTCTTTGCCCCCAACATGTCTCAGGTCAGTTTTTTTATTATTGAAATTCAATCACTGATCAACACCAAAATGCACAAATGATACTCACTATTCTTGCTACTCTGAAGATTCCATTGTATAAAGAGATACTCTGTTTTGGAGTTGAGACAGTGTTCATCGTCGTCTTGTGAATTGTGTTGGCTCTGTTTTGGGTTTTGGGTGTAGATGGCAGACCCTTTAACTGCATTGATGTATGCGGTCCAAGTGATGAAGCTGCTGAAGACCCTCACAGAGAAAGCTCTGAAAGATAGGGAAGCCACGTCTTCCCAGGTTGATACAAGATGCGGCGATGAAGATGGCGGGAAGGAAGAAGACAATCAATTAGAAGAAGAAGAAGATGGTGTGTACATAATTACGGAGGAAGACGCATCAGAGAGCATAAGAGTGGCTGCTGTTGAGGATGAGCACAAGTCAGAAAGCATGAAGAGTGACTTTGTGGGATCTAGTGCTTCGGATTCAAAGGGTGATAATGGAGTTGTGCAGCCACCAATTTGCAATACGAACTATACAGGAAGCAAGTGAAACTGAAGATTTTTTTTAGTATAATGTGTATTTGGATTTCCTTTATTGTATTGCTTACGTAAGTTCTATGTAATGTAGTTTTGTTGTTGAATGGTGATAAGATTTGAGACTAACTCTGTGTGATGAAAATCAATCAAAATGTACCTGCCTTTCTACTTTTAGTAAGATCATTTTAATTCCTTAACAGAAACATGAAAGAGTCAACAACTAATACCAATCTTTAAGATTGATTATGAGCTGTTCATTGGCAACGAACCCAAAAAGAAAACACAGATGGTATCTAATTTTTGTCTGGTAATCTAAACAAACACAAAGATGAGTCATACAACGAAAAGAAGAAGAACCCTTAGTCGTTGGGAGTTATTCGAGCTTGGCAGAACGGTAGATGAGGCGAATAAATATCCAAGAAGCCAAGAAACTTATGGTCCCAAGAACCAAGAAGAGAGCGTAACATAACAAAGACGTATATCCTAAGTAGAAGCTCAACTGCAGAAACCCGGTCATGTCAGACCTCAGATAGAACAATATTCCATACCCGTACATGAAGATCGCCGTGAATCCTCCGCAAAATATCGATCTGCAAACAATTATCATAGCATCGTCCACAACTTTATTAGGTCCTTCGGATACTAAATGATGATTCTGAAAGGAAAAGATTCTATGCCAATCGTGTTTCACATTTTTTTCTGTGACATATACCATGACTGTTCGAATCTAGATACTCAATGTAATGTGTATATGTCAGTGCTTCTCAACAAACCTAGTCTAAAATCCAATACTGCCAGTAAAAGAATACATACCTCCACCACCATTCATGATCTTCTCCGGATAGCTGAATGTAGGTCAAGATAATACCAACACTCGCAGTCAAGAAGATGAGCACAACGAATGTGTAAAGCATTATTCCAGGAGAGGTATATATTTTGAACCCCCACAAGCTTGCATAGAGCTGGTGCCACTCAAGGGCAACTGCACTGAAAGGTACAAGGCCTCCAAGAAACATCTGGTACAGCTTTCTCCTATACCAATTCTGTGGTGGAATTTCTCGGGGGTTTCTTTTAATAGCGGAGGGAGGTTGAAACTCTAATAACCCGAAACGGTTACCTAAAACCCCTCCCAACATGAGAAATGGGATATTCAAAAGAGTGTAAATGAGTATGATGATGACTATTGTGCCAAAGGGGAGTGCAGCAGTTGCCCCATATGTAATTGCCACAGTGTTGAGAATCGAAACTATTATGAAAAAAGGAACCGGGTATAGTATCCCAGCAAGACGAACTCTCCTGTTCTGAAAAAGCCAATAATGCTCAAATGTTTAAGGTTATGCAAACAATGAATTTTTTTCTAGAACATGAAACGTAGAAGGCACTTGAAAATTCAGTCACCTGTTTGTTTCCCTCAAAATGGCTATGGAAAGAAGCAGATGTGTAACCAGCCACTACTGATGTTAGAGTGTACATGATGACAAGAGAAGTCAATATCATTCCGCGATTGTACGGGTATAGAAAACCGGTGAAGGCCAATGCAAATAGAGCAATGATCCTGGAGACGGAAAACAAGTCAGGGACATGGAACAGTATGAAAAAGGATAAACTTGAGAATACTGAAATGACACAAATGGAATTATAGATAATAGCTTACAAGATTAGTAATTGAATACCAGTTCCTAAGAACGCACAAAGCAAGGAGATATTCCGAGGACATCTAAATGCATCACTTTGTATGAGTTTCCAACCCACTTCTCTCTTGTCTTCTTCATCTCCGTTCAAGCAACTGAAATGCATGTAAGAGAAGTTAATTCAAAAAGATGAATTTTGTCATCACATACGCTAAACTACAGAAAGCAACAATAGTCAACTGTCACCTTCTAAGTTCACTCTTGAGATGCCGCATGAAGAGAAAAGTAAGAAGTCCAATCAACAACACAGCAACACTTATCGAGTTAAGAAATGAGAAAAAGTGAATCTTCTGGCTGATAGGATGTAAAGACGCTTGGGAGTACTTACTCATTCTTGTCTCAGACATTTCTGAAGTCAAATTCCAAGAAACCGAGTATGTAAACTGAACATCAATCTCAGTGTTCTCTGATATATCAACCAGATAATTCGGATCGCTAAAACTACTGATTCCAATGACTTTGTCTGAATTGTACAGGACATTGAAGTTTAAGTGACTGAATATATAATACTTAGCATTCTTCTCCCCGCGACCAGAACAATCTGCCTCTACTTTTCCAACAAACCCCCACAATGGGAGATCGTCGTAATACATTTGAAAGTAGAAATTTTGAGCAATGGTATCTCTAAACCTGGCAATTTCACTCAATGTCAATCTCTTATGGCACAATGTAACATGAGTTTTGTCCTCCCCACACTTCAGTTCATATAACGAGCTCATCAACCGGTCACCATTAAGAACTTCCCCAAGAGTTTCCTTCTTCTCAATCACAGGCTCTACAAATTATATAAAAGAAAAACAATCTTGAATCAATCACTGGAACTTGGGAGTCACACATTTGCATTTGGAAGTAGAAATGAATTTCCCATTTCGGATGCCACAGAACAGTTGAAAAAAGGCATATACTTTATCAAGTCTAAATTCAGTGTCGAGCTAAAAGGAAAACCTGATTATTGAATTTTCTTGAGAAACCTAACCTGGACGGCAGAAGGGCAAATCATAATATTGATAGGTCTCACTGCAGAAATCGAAAAATGGGTTTAAGTTAATCCCCCAATCTTTGAAATGGGTTTAAGAAAATGGGCGATCTTTGGGGTTCCTTGTGAAGCCAAGCTAACACAAAAGCATATCTTCCACATTATCTAACTTGATCCCATCTTAACAAAGATCTGTTTCTCTCAGATTACTACTAACTCATGTGGAGCATAAAGGCCATCTAAGGAATTCACAAAACCTCAAGGGGAATTAAGAAGTTACCTTGGATTGTGGAGAGGACCCACTTTGTTGACGAAGAAAGGGACATGATCGCCGGCATTGTATCGGCTCGACGAGCCTGATCCGATCCAGAAGGTCAATGCGAGTAGGACTTGTACGGTGAGCAGAAACTGCGCCATGAATTGTGGCACTCTTCTGCTGATTTCCAAAAGGAACGAATGAGTATGTGCAAAAGGGAGCTCGACAAAATAGACATCTTTCAAATCTAAACAGCTCAAGCAAAACCACACAGAGACGACGACGTAGAAGCACAAAGTCAAACCTGAATGCTGGTGATGGATCCGCAGAAGCTAGAAACACTAGTCCCCCTCTTTTGAACCGCTCGTCCAGGCTTTAGCTGAACTTAGTGGCTTTGACTAGAACATGATCAGAAAGTCCCCAAGACGGTGAACTTACTGGAGGAACTTCGATGAACCACAAAACCCGGACGAGAAGAAGAAAGTTACAAAACAATTCGGTTTAGTTTTGGTTCGATTTTCACTTAAAATTATCTTTTGGGCCTTATCATGGTCGCGGCTAAGGCCCAATTCATTTAGGTTTAGTTAAGTTTATCAATTTTCCTACTATAAAGCCTTCGCTTCTCTCATGGAGTCTAGGGTTTCTTCAGTCTCATCATTCAGGTTTGTGCTGCGTTCACTTGTAGCTTGGTTCTTCTTCGTTCACTTGTTTCTGGAGCTTCTCTTTCAGATTTTAATACGTTCCTTTTGTCTTTTTCTTTTATTGTTTCCAGGATCAGATTTTTGAGACAGGCTCAAGATGAGGTACTTGACACTTGTCTCATAGTTCTCGGAATTTAGCTTATCCTCTTTCCAATGAAATTTGGTTTAGTTCTAGCATAGCAATCAAATTGTAGTCAATCGTTGTTAAGTTCATATGTGAATGGCCCAGAAATGACGCCAAGTTGTTCTGTAGTTTTGTCTAAATGCTCTCTGCGTTCGCCTTTAAATTTGGATAGTAACTTACTTTTAAGAATATTAGTTCGTGGGAAGACTGGTGATTTAGGTGTATTGAGATATGATGTTTCTCTATGGGACTGTCTATAATGGGTGTTATTCAATTATACCTGCGTCTCTGTTGTTTATTTCTGTTTGTTGATGTAATTTGCTTGACACTGTCTTCTTGGCTACAGTAAGCTTCAGAGTGAGGCCGTGAGAGAAGCCATTACTGTTATCAGAGGGAAATCCGAAGAAAAGAAGCGCAACTTTGTGGAGACTCTTGAGCTCCAGATCGGTCTGAAGAATTATGACCCTCAAAAGGACAAGCGTTTCAGTGGATCTGTCAAGTTACCACACATTCCCCGCCCTAAGATGAAGATCTGCATGCTCGGAGATGCCCAGCACGTCGAGGAGGTGATTAACTTTGTCACTTCTCTTCTAACTTGATTAAATATTCGTCTTTTGAATAAAGGTTTAACTGTGTTTTTTGGAAATGGTTTTTATTATCTGTTTCGTGAATAATAAATATGTGCCCTTTTGTCTTTTTTTTCTTTCATTGTGAAATCTTTGCTTATTTGTTTTTTTCTGTACTTGGGCAGGCTGAGAAAATGGGGCTAGATCAGATGGATGTGGAATCTCTAAAGAAGCTTAACAAAAACAAGAAGCTCGTCAAAAAGCTTGCGAAGAAATATCATGCTTTCTTGGCTTCTGAATCTGTTATTAAGCAGATTCCTCGTCTTCTTGGTCCTGGTCTCAACAAGGCAGGCAAGTTCTCGCTACAGCTAATTGTCCCATGTTCTCTCTCGAGCCCTATTTTTAACAGTATGTCTTAACGTATTACAATCTTTTGATACAGGAAAATTCCCAACGCTTGTGAGCCACCAAGAATCGTTAGAGTCGAAGGTGAATGAAACAAAAGCTACAGTCAAATTTCAGCTGAAGAAGGTTCTGTGCATGGGAGTTGCAGTTGGAAACCTTTCCATGGAAGAGAAGCAGATCTTTCAGAATGTCCAGATGAGTGTCAACTTCCTAGTCTCTCTCTTGAAGAAAAACTGGCAAAATGTATGTGATGAGTCCACTTTTATGCTTAACTGTTCCTTAAGTCATTATCTTAACTTATTCTATTTGCCTTGTGAAATTTTGTAGGTGAGGTGTTTGTACCTCAAGAGCACCATGGGACCACCACAAAGAATCTTCTGAGCTCTCTCAGCTTGCTCTAATGGTGGCTATAAGACACTTTGCGCTTTGTTTTTGTTTCAGACAATCTTTGAAAGAGTATAAGAATTGTGTTGCTCTCCTTTAGATTTGGCTTGGATGATGAAAAGGACTTCAATGATTTTGGTTGATGGATTTTGTAGCTTATTTGATCTTGAGTTAGATGTGATTCTTCAATTGAAGTAACCAACCCGCCGATAATTAAATGAACAAAATACAAGTACTTCGAGAATGTGCTCTTAGCCTCTTTACATATGTAAAAATCTGTCGGTTTTATGGAAATGGTTGCGAACTATGGATAGAAACATTGTCATTGAAAACCAATTAAAAGCAGTGTTCTATAAAATACAAATACGATTCTGAATATAAATATAAAGCTTAATTCTTAATCAAATCATATTTATTTCGAAAACAATTAAAAATTTAAAATCTTTGGTGATTTCCAAAATCTAGTTTGGTCACCCTAAGGCAATATATTATTATTAGTTGTTAGATTTTCTCAGTTTATTGACAAAAAAAAAACTAAACTAATTTATTACTATTTTTTTACCAAGCGAATGCTCTCGTGCGTTCCAAAAGTTTGCGTTTTCTTCTCCAACCCCAAATCTCAGCTTACGTAAATCAGAATTCTAGGGTTCTTCCGATTAGGCTAAATCGCACATCTGATCTTCGATATTTGAAGATGTCTCAGAACGTGAAGCTGACCCCAAATCTGGACCAGAACACTACGAGGCTCCTCAATCTCACAGTTCTCCAGCGAATCGATCCCTTCATCGAGGAGATCCTTATCACAGCCGCTCATGTCACCTTCTATGAATTCAACATTGAGCTCAGTCAATGGGTAAGTATCATCCACCATCGTATCTTATCTATCCGGAGACGTGTATTGCATAATTACTTGTTTGCTTTGCTACCGACTGATCTGTAATTCTTTTAATCAGAGTCGTAAGGATGTTGAAGGATCCTTGTTTGTTGTCAAAAGGTAAGTAGTCTAGGTCTTCAACTAGGTTTGATGTTATCTGTGTTAGCTTTAATCGTTCTAAATCTGATGGATCCATTTTGTTTGATTTCAGAAATAAACAACAACCTCGGTTTCAGTTTATCGTCATGAATCGCCGGAATACAGGTCAGAAATCTCTTCCCAGTTATGATTTAGGTAACTTTGATCAATTCTCAGGGGGTGTTTGAGTTATTGATTTTGATATGTTCTTATACTTGGGTTCTCATTGATTTTCCAGTGATTTGGTTACATTCAAATACTTCGTTTGTGATGCTGTGCTAGCACAAACAGTGATCTGTAACAATGACCTTCGATTTGTTAGGGGAGAGAAGTCAGTGTTTTAGTCCATCTAAGATTAAGGGATAGGGTCTAAAATTTGATTGATATTGCTTACCCGGTATCTCTAGGAATTTACTTTGAGTTCTTGATTATAGAGTCAGCATTAGTAATCATCAGTGTATTGTTATATTTGTGTGGGCAGATAATCTGGTGGAAGATCTCCTGGGAGATTTTGAGTATGAAGTCCAAGGTCCATATTTACTTTACCGTAATGCAGCTCAAGAAGTAAATGGCATCTGGTTCTACAATAAACGTGAATGTGAGGAGGTAGCACGTCTTTTCGACAGGTAAATATAATGTACTCACGTACCAAAAACAAACTAGATCAATAAATACACGTAGGTATCAGTTGTTTGATCATGGATCATGTCGTTGTCGTCTTTTATTTGCCTATTGTCAGATCTGCTTGGCAAACGTAATGCTTTCATAGAGACATTTCTTGTAGATTTCTTTTAACATGCTCAGCACATACATATTTCCATACTCGTATCTTCGCCTTATGGTTCCTTGGCATGACAGATTACTTAAGGCATATTCCAAGGCAAACCAGAAGCCAAATACGTCATCTTCAAAAAGGTATGGTCTTCATTTTTAGATTTATATTGTTTTTTAGGATATGTGTTATAGGAGGTGGAAACTCAATAATCTACATCACCTTTTCAGCTAGTATTCTTCTTATATGTAAAATTGAGGTGAAATAATTTCTATGTACTGCAGCGAGTTTGAGGAACTGGAAGCTGTGCCTACAATGGCAGTTATGGATGGTCCTCTTGAACCATCTTCAACTGCTAGGGATTCTCCTGATGATCCTGCTTTCATTAATTTCTTCAGCGTAAGTCTCTAAAACTTTTGTTACACTCACAGTATATCGCCTTCAGCATCATATACTTATAGATTCTTGAATTATCTTCAACTAAGTAATCTGTCCAACTTAGAATCTGAGGCACAAACCGTTGATTTCCTTACTTGGGCTTCTCAAATTGTAAAGATTGAATTTATCAATATTGTTGTTGTTGGTTTGTCTACAGTCGGCGATGGCTCATGGGAACGGTCCGAGTGGGTTGGCAAGTGCACCACAATACCAATCATCAGGAATTCCTCTGCAACCTCACCAACCCAACATTGCCCCTCCCGCAACGGCAGCTACACCTCCGCAGATCAATTCACCGCCGCCTCTCTCATCCTCCTCTCCTCTGATGCCTCTCTTTGACAACAACCCTGATCTCGTTAACAGCAACCCCAACGTTCACACGGATCTGGTGACGCCGTCCTCTTTCTTTGGACCCCCACGGATGATGGCACAACCACACCTCATTCCTGGTTCATCTATGCCCACTGCACCTCCTCTGAACCCTAATAATGCGACTCACCAGCAGCGCCCATATGGTACTCCGATGCTTCAGCCTTTCCCACCACCAAATCCACCACCTTCACTCGCTTCTGCACCCACTGGCCCTGTTATTAACAGAGACAAAGTCAAAGAAGCCCTTTTAGCGCTGGTTCAGGTTTGTCCTTTACCACATCACTTCACTTCACTTGAGCTACTGCCCAAACCTAACGACTTGCTTTTTGACAGGAGAACGATTTCATCGACATGGTGACCCGAGCTTTGCAAAATGCACATCAACCATGAAGCTGAGCAGGGTCGGCGTCGACGTGTGGAACAGTGGGTTTGATTTAGGATGTGTAGTTAAAAAGTAGTTTTGTTTTCTTTGATACCTTTGAACAAAGTGTTGTCGGAACCTCCAAAAGCAATTTATAAGATACATGAACTGCTCCCTTGTTTTAACTCATGCACCTACTTTTAAATTTATTCTACTTTCAAGTTTCAATCATTCTTCTAGCCAAGTGGAATCTCTCACTCACTCTCTCTATAAACTTTAACCGAAAGTCTTTCCGTTAATCCAAAAGTCATTTCCTACGTACGAATAGTTTCTTATATCTGATTATGCATTTGAATTTGATGAAGCATTATTAACATTCATATCCCGCAAAACAGAGAAATGATGGAAGTTTTTTTTCACATATTGAAAGCTTTCGAGATCATCAGGGTTTGTAGAGGCATGCTTGTAAATTACTGGAAATACCAATCAAACCCGTATTGTATTTCATAATACCCAATCATCTGAAAGCTTTTGATCCAATTCCACTTCATCGCTGATGGAGAAGAAACTCCAACCTTTTCTACTTTATTTTTAACTTAGACGGACGAGACATTCTAAGAATCAAGATCATTAAGAAACATTTTTGTCAATATTGAAAGAAACATTAAATAGCAAAGAAAGCAAGCTTTGTTTTGAGTAATAGAATTACACCGAGAACCAAGAGAGAGAGAGAGAGGGAGATATAATACAAATGGAAACTAAAGGCACAAATCATTTTTCGAAGTAATCCTCGGTCCTGCCCTTAAATCCGATTTGTCCGAAGGTAAGGCAGAGGAAGAGGCCTAAATGCCACGTAACCAACCACAACCAGAACTGTGAAGTGAGAGCTGGAGGAGTTGGGAAATGAGCGAGCTCTGTTCCGATGCTCTCGAAGAAGAGACCTGTCAGGCTCTTCCCGTTTATCGCCGGAATGCTCGACGGAGCTAGCCATCCGATTAGCCCAAACCCCACCACGTTCAGATCTCTCCTCAACCAGTTCCTCTCAAAGCTTTTCCATTTTTCAAACAAATAATAAAATTATTATTCGGTACTTTCACTAAAGTGATCATGATTACTATGATCCTTATTACTACTAATATAAGTTTTAGCAAACTGATTATGAGAAGAAAAGAAAGAGTAACCCACCAAGTGAATCTTCCTCCCGATGCCCCGGCGAGTCTCAGAGGGTTGTTTGCTCTTAGTGTTGGTTTTAAAAAGGCTGAAAACATCACCAGAAATTACAATCAACGTATTTTATGTTTAATCCAAGTATTCAGATGATCAAAAGAAAGAAAGAGAGAGAGAGAGTGAGAGTATACATACATGAAGAGAGGGGTCTGGTAGAAACAGACGATCCTCCGAGGCCTATCACCGTCGATGGGGTTGCAAATGTTGCTGCCATTTTTCTCCTTTGCTTCTTTCTCCCGAACCGATCTTCTTTATTTTATTAAGTTAATACCAAAAACATGAAATAGATTGATTTTGTGGACGAAGGCAGAGATTGCGAGGATGAGCTATCAGTCAATAGCTTTGTGACACCTCACTATTTTCTTTGATATTGTGGGTCTATTTCTTGGATAAGATTGATTTCATATTTTCTAATTCATTTTTGTCTCTAATATTGTTTTATTCTAATTTTAGTTTACTCTAATAGTAGTATTTAATTTTAAAATAAATTAAATATACAGTACATAACATTTTGAAAAAGATTTTTGAATCAGTTAAGAACTTAAAATGTATAAAACTCCCGATCGAAACTATTGGTGCGGTTCGATTTCCGGTTTTCAATTCCGTCGAGTTTCAACCCATATTTCGGATCGAGAGAAGTGCTCGCCGGGGAAATGGATTACAGCTTAGCGGCGGTGAAGATGCTTATCTCCCAGCTCCGGGACGCTAAGCCGACGCCTTCGCAGAACGCCACCGCCCTAGGCGGTGTACTCTTTCAACGTGCTTGGTTACAGGTTTCTCCGATCTATCATTCTCTCATTGTCTCAGTTTGCTCATCCCTAAGTTGCTTCGATGACATCGATTCTCCGTGTTGTAAGGGCGTTTTGGTCTTCAACCCGGTCATCTCCGGTGGCCGTATGGTCCTAGATGACGGGACCGGTCTCGTCGAGCTCGTCCTCTCCAGCGACTTTGCCCTCCGTCAATGGAAATCAGGTTTCGGTACCAAATTCAGCTTGCTTTCTGTATGAGTGGCTATTGACTATTGTTCGTATCAAACGTTCAAGAATAATATATGTTCCCAGGAATGTACCTGATGGTTGTTGGTGTATACCATATCCGTACGGGAGACATACCTCTACTTAAGGTTACTCCTCCCTCTTTCACCATTAAGATTCATCTTAGAGTATATCATCCCTCATCAGGATCAACAGCCATCACTTGTGTCCTGTATTTACATGCAGTGGTGCTATACTATATAACTGAAAATCGCCATTGTTTGTTTGGTTTAACTGAATCCAGGTTCATAAGATGATTGACCTTTCGGGGACCCCAGATCGTGAAGCCATGTGGTTTTTAGAAGTCATGGACGCATACAGACTCTTCTACGAGCCCTTGATCCAAGAGTTTAGTTAACTTTTTTATTCTGTAGATAGAGAGAAACATCATTTCATGATTATCTCTTCTCGTTAAGTTTGGTTTTTAACAGGCCAGACTAATTACTTTTGTTGAGAAGAAAATCACTGAGTAATAATATACAGCTTGTAACACCTACAAAACTGCTCTACAAGTTTAGAAACACCCAACCAACTTCAACATTTACTTCCATTGCGACCTAAGAATATCTCTCAGGCGAGGGAAAAATGCACCAGGTCGAACACAGTAAGGTTGAAACACCATGAGAAGTGCCTCTGCGTCGACCTCGAACCTTTTTCTTAGGAATACAGTTTCCCCTGAGAAAAATTTACAAGAAACGTAATGGTCGAGCCCTTCCGCGAGATTCCTCCACAAGTCCAAGAAGTCTTTCGGGTTTATGTTCAGCTCAAGAACACAAAGCTGCCTTCTTAAACTGTCCAATGCTTCTGCGATACCCTGGGACACTGTTAATTCGCTGGAACCTGTAGTGACGACGTCCTGCTCCCATGAGACCGCACTGTTGTGGAAGTATTCGCTGCAAAGATTGTCGAATTGGTGGAGACACACTGTTATAATCTCCATAAGCCAATTTGTTTCCAACTCAACAAGGCTTTTCAGTTCTTCCCCGAAAAAGCAGCCTTGGCAGGAAACTTCAGTCTCTCTACCAACTTTGAGACTGGTTTCCGCAGCACACATCTCCACGAAAACCAAATCATCACTCCATTCTCGTAGTTTCGATTCGAGATACCGAGCAGCATTAATCGGTCCACAGGCTTGTATCAGTGCATCATCAAAGGAATAATAGTTGGAGAGATCAGTCTTCTTGAACTCCAGTAACATAATTCTGAATGTAGACCACAGAAATTTGGTGGCAGTGGCTCTTACAAATTGTATCCTCGGCAGGATCGCCGGTAGAGATAGACCATGGTCTATCAACGTCCACGTCCTACTAAGAAAAGAGTCTGCTACAAATGGCGCCTTGTAATCTTCTCTTGTAGACAGAACATACTTTGCAGATCGTGAGTTGGATTCATTACCAAGTCTAGTTCCTTGACTATCAACTGCCCAAGCTTTCTCATCCTTGATATCCTCTTTAAGTTTTCTATAAGCATCCTTCAGCTCAATCTTGCCCCAGGTCTTGAGCCACTCGGGTTTCTTACAAAACAGCCCCATTACTGACATACCTTGAGAAAACGCTACCGAAGAGCCTTCGTAAGAGAGACAAGTGTCTGAGTTTACAAACGACTGCATCCGTTTATCAAATGTAACCATCTGATCGACCAGATGGAACCACGATGATATATCTTCAGGTTTCATGCGCTTCTCCTTGAAAGTTTCTATAAGCCCAGGGAAAACCTTCTTCTCTAGGAAAGAGGATAGCATCTGAACCATAGCTGAAACCCAAGCTTCTTTAGCACTACAGCTTACTAACATAGCTCTGTCAATCAAAGGCTGTAAGAAATCGTCCACACCATCAGCAAAGTCTCTTGTAACTTTATAAACAAGTGCAAAAATGAACTCAGGTTGTTCAGCCCATTTCATGAAATGATACTCCATCCGAGATGCAACAGGTATTACCAGTTCATCGGTCGCCCAAAGTCCAACAGTGTTGTCTTCTTTGGGCATCTTCTTCATCCGTTTTTCCTTCAGGGTATTAAGTTGCTGTAAACCACAGAGGAGTAGAAAGCTTTGGGAATAGGATTCCTTTTTATCTCCATGCATCAAGAGCAGAGGATTTGGGATGCTATCAACCTCTCCATGCTCGACTTTGGATGTTGCCAGTTTCGGTGGCCAGCCAAGAGACGAGAGAAAAGCTCGATGCTCTGCGATAATTTGTGGGCGTAGGATGGACAAACTTTTGTCTACTCTACTATCAACAGAATCCACAAGCTGGCGCCACTGTGAGTGATGCCTTGTGACATCACCAAGCGTCTCTTCAATCTCATTCATAGTCTTAATTGCATGTTTGAACCTCTCTTGCTTGAATACACGATCCTGCATTAAAGAGAAAAATTTCAATCTTTCTTCATATTTAACAGCCACACGACTCAACAATATAGTCTCTAACTTTACTTGTTGAATTAAAATAGAAAGCTTTACTTGAAGCATACTTCCTCTGTTGTTACTCATCATAGGATGAAACACTGAATCCTCAAGATCTCCAATAAGACTTTCTAACTTTAAGGCAGTCACTGAAAAATGGAATATCACTTAATCTTAGAGAAAGAAAACAGAGCGTAAACATAAGATGAACATAGAGAATGGAGTCCAACTCACCGAAATATCTGCGACAATTCTGAATTCGACACAATTCCTTAACGAGTTGCTGTAACTCCCGATTCGTTTGCTTTCCGACAGCATCCGTACGACTCCCATCTACAAATGAAACTGGACACAATCAGGAAAACTAATAATCTGCATCACCAAATAAACACAAGGGTCGGGTCACTGATGGGCACTGACGGAGAGATATAGCAAGACTGAGGCTTTCCAGTTTCAATCTCAGATCATCGACTGAATTTTTAGCGGAGAGCGAGGTGGAGATCCAGGAAACGGCGTGTTTGTTCAGATTTGTCCGGAGGTGGAGAAGTCGGTCGTTTAGATGAGAAGAGTCGTGTTTTAAATGAGACGTTAGATTTGAAGCGCGGTGGAGGAGATCTCGGAGGTCCTCAAGGTTGCCGTCAAGAAGGCCTAACGCTAGACCGGGAAGGTCCGCCGGACACGGCAATACGAACGACAGTGGACGAGGATGTTCCATCGGAAGCAATTGTCGGGAAACAGTTGTTCTTTCTAGGCCTTCCGGTCCTCTGAGTCGAAATGTGTGAGAACTTTAGGATCAAACTGTCATTTATCTATTTTGTGAAATTATTTGGTTATTTTTACTTATTTACCAGTTTAAAAAATTTAACATAACAAAAGCGCTTCCGAATCCATCTCCAAGGGTTTAGACTTTAGGGTTTACTGAGAAGAGGCGGAGAGAGAGAGAGAGATGGGGAAGAGCGAGAAGACGACGTTAGGGCGATCCCTGGTGAAGCACCACAACCATATGATTCAAGAATCCAAAGAGAAAGGCAAGTACTACAAGAATCTCCAGAAGAAGGTTCTCGAATCCGTCACCGAGGTCAGCGACATCGACGCCATCATCGAGCAGGCTGAGGAAGCCGAGCGTCTTTTCACCATCAATCACAGCAACACCACACCTTTGCCCATCAATATGTAACCTCCTCTCTTTTTCAAATTCATCTCTTTTGGTTCATTTGATTGGAAATATGTATTCGTAGCTCTACTCGCTTTCATTGTTCTCTGAGCTCCGAGTCTTGTGATACATCTTATAAATGCGATAATTTCAGTTTGGTAATTGTATAGGAGTAGAGATTGTAGAACAATTACTTGCCATCGAGTCCTGTCTGAATACATCCGAATGTTCTAATGGAGTTGTAATGCATATGTGCTCACTGGCCTGTTTCTCTAATGCTTTTGTTGGTACATCTTGTTCACAGAGACACAAATTCCAGCTCAAGTACTATAGCAGCTGAAGAATGGAGAGAGCAACAGAAGATAGAGGAGGCTTTACACGCCAGTAGTCTTCAAGTGCCTCGAAGGCACGTGGTTTTTTAATTCTCCTTAGATTGGTTTTTGCTTTCTTTCATAGCTCTGAGATTAAGTATCGTTCTTTTTCTTCAGGCCTCCTTGGACACCCGAGATGTCAGTGGAAGAACTAGATGCTAATGAAAAACAAGCTTTTCTGAATTGGCGCCGGATGCTTGTGAGGTTAGCTTATTGTTTACTGAATCTATAATCATCATTCTCCGATGTGGTTAATATAAAGAAATCAATAGTCACTGAAATGTTTTTTGGTAGTCAGCTTCTGTCTGCCACATGGTTTTCTAAGTGGCTCACTGCTATTTGCTTATGCATACTTGTTCTCCTGTATCTGCGTTTAGGCTCGAGGAAAACGAGAAGCTTGTGTTGACTCCATTCGAAAAGAACCTCGATATCTGGAGACAGCTTTGGCGTGTGCTTGAACGCAGTGATTTGGTAAGTCTTTGGACTTTGGCAAGGTGTATTAACCCCTTCATTAAAGCTCAATTTCCTGAGTATTCCTTAATTTCAAAACGGTTTCGGTTATTTAGTACTTAAACCTTTTTTCAGATTGTTATGGTAGTTGATGCTAGAGATCCACTGTTTTACCGTTGCCCCGATCTTGAGGTAGTGCATTCTCTCCCAACTTTAAACTCCACTTGACACCGTATACCTGATCCATATCATTGAATCAACGATTCGTCCTGACACAGGCATATGCTCGAGAAATCGATGAGCATAAGAAAGTAATGCTTCTAGTTAACAAGGCGGATCTTTTGCCTCCTTACGTCAGGTAGGCCTCTTGTGCCTTGTGCCTCTTGCTACTTTGCCTCCAACCTTTTTTGTGTCTTCTTAATCAACTGGTTTACTTAACATATGTGCAGAGAGAAATGGGCAGAATATTTCCGCCTTAACGACATTCTGTTCGTCTTCTGGTCAGCCATAGCTGCAACAGCTGAGCTAGAAGGTAAAGTCTTGAAAGAGCCGTGGAGAAAACCCGATAACTTTCAGAAGACAGATGATCCAGAGATTGTGATATACGGCAGGGACGAGCTGTTGAGCCGTTTACAATACGAGGCTCAAGAGATTGTCAAACTGAGGAACTCTAGAGCAGCATCGTCTGCTGAGACTGAGACTCAACGTGAGAACGCAGTGGTTGGATTCGTCGGGTACCCGAACGTGGGAAAGAGTTCTACGATCAACGCACTGGTGGGTCAGAAGCGGACGGGAGTCACCTCTACCCCAGGGAAAACAAAGCACTTCCAGACTCTGATAATCTCTGACGAGCTTATGCTATGCGATTGCCCTGGTTTAGTCTTTCCTTCCTTCTCAAGCTCCAGATACGAAATGATTACTTGTGGTGTGCTTCCGATTGATCGGATGACAGAGCACCGCGAAGCTGTTCAGGTGGTGGCGGACAGGGTCCCTCGCAAAGTCATCGAGAGTGTCTACAACATCACTCTCCCCAAACCCAAACCCTATGAGCGTCAGTCACGCCCGCCTCATGCTGCAGAGCTTTTAAGAGCTTACTGTGCTTCTCGTAGTTACGTTGCCTCTAGTGGTCTACCTGATGAGACGAAAGCGGCGAGGCTGATTTTGAAAGATTACATCGGAGGTAAGCTCCCACATTTTGCAATGCCACCTGGAGTGACCCAAGCTGATGAACCGGAGACGGAGGACACTCGAGAAACCGGAGGCTCGGATTCGGAAGACTCTACGATAGGAGACGAAGCAGAGAGCGAGCAGGTTCCTGATATGGGTGAAGTTCTAGAAGATCTGAGCTCGTTTGATATCGCAAACGGGCTCGCGTCTTCGAAGAAAGTGGCGGTGAAGAAGCAAACCGCTTCACATAAACAGCACAAAAAGCCACAGAGGAAAAAGGATCGGAACTGGAGGGTTAAAAACACGGAGGATGGAGATGGAATGCCTTTGGTTAAAGTTTTCCAGAAACCGGCCAACACTGGGCCTCTCACGATGCGGTGATCACCAAAATTACAATCATCCGAGCCAAAGATCCTTTCCCCAGAGTTTGTTTATGATGGTGGATACTCTTTTAAGTTTTTTATTACATGTTATGTAGTAACAGTTGAACATGTCGCACTTCTCGAGTTGATTAATGTTTTTGTTTCCATGTCTTTTTAGTCTTGTTTGAGAAAAAAAAAATACAGAGAATATGATTATAATGATTTCAGAAGTGATCTATTTATTTGCGTATATATTCTTATTCATCATCACAATGAAAATATTTCAGTTCAATTTTACCGCGAAAATTTTGACCACCTTGTATAAGCTAATCAAAACCGTACATAATTGGTAACATTTCGAATCTATTTTGTTTTTCTTTCCGGCTGCTAGAATGAGAAACCATTATTGACAAAGAAAACACCCATAGATTAATATTTCATATAGAAGGCGTCGATACATATAGAGTGGAGGCTTGGTACGTTTGGCTCTGTGTCTTTCTCTTTCGCGTCCTCCAGGGTTAATTCTGACTAGGCTTATTATATACTAGAGAGAGAGAGAGAGAGAGGAGAGAGAAACTTTGATAAAAACCCAAAAAAAAAGTGGGACGAATTTTGTTTTCCATATTCTGCGAATGTCTGCTTCGTTTTAATTTTCCTGGAAAATAAGTGTTTCTGTTTTTGGAAGCTCGAGGATCTGACCTGGGAAGCTAGGGTTTCGATTTTACCCCGGAAGCCGAAAGTGAACAGAGAGATGTTGATCAGAGATGCGGCTTTGTGACGAATTTTAGCTGGATCGGTCTAAGTTAGGTTTTACTTTTCAAGCTTCATAATTATTATAATGGATGAGGATTCGTCTATGGTGCCTGAGAACGATCAGGATCGGGATTCTCAGAACCATGATGGAGGGCAATCTCCGTTGCCTATGGAGAGGGAGGCCTCTCACGACCAATCACCGCCTGATGGCGGATCGGTGCCAACGCTTTCGAGCCCTGACCCGACGAGTTCTCAACAGCAAGCGGCCGCAGCTGTGGGACAAGAGCAGCCGGGGCAAGCGGTTGGTCCGAGGTGTGCGCCATCGTATTCGGTCGTGGATGCTTTGATGGATAAAAAGGAGGACGGGCCTGGCCCTAGGTGTGGCCACACGTTGACGGCGGTTCCGGCCGTTGGTGAGGAGGGAACGCCTGGTTACATTGGTCCCCGTCTTGTATTGTTTGGTGGTGCGACGGCCCTTGAGGGTAATTCTGGGGGCACCGGAACTCCAACTTCAGCTGCTGGAAGTGCCGGCATCCGTACGTTTGCCTTCTCCTTTACCTCACTTGTTAATATTTTTTTAGTATCAGCTCTACGTTTGGCTTAATTCTTTCACTATTCACACCTCTCGGGAAGTTGTAGTTAGCCTTCCTTGAATGTTCGCTTCTGGATGTTTACTCGTTTCTAATGGCTGACTTATTCTGCTAGAGTCCACTGGTTTAGTCGTTATCTATCTTGTCTTGTAAAGTTTAAGTTGCCAGACTTCATCTTCTTAGTTGTTCTGTTAAGGTGAAAGTGTTCTCTCAAATTTTATTGCTTTGCAACTTGCAACCTTTTTCATGTGAGAGTGGCAGAGCCAATAACTTGGTGTAGTAGCTGGATATAGCATTGGATGTGGAACATTATTAGCATTACCTGGGTCTTGGATCTAATAATGATTCCTTTAGTTCGCCGATAGCTTCTATGTTTTAGCTCGTTTTTTCTTGAGGTTCCCAGACTTGGTCGGTTGTATTAAATAAGTAGGGTGTTATTGGCTGTGCAGGTCTAGCTGGAGCAACTGCCGATGTTCATTGTTATGATGTCCTTTCTAATAAGTGGACTAGGTGAGCATAATATGTGTATTTTCTTTGGTTGTTCATCAGTATATCTTGATTATGAAAACGGCATGAGATCCTGCCCTTTTTAAAAGTGTGGATACCAGTAATTTGATGAAATGAGGCTACAGGCTTACACCATTTGGAGAACCACCAACCCCAAGAGCCGCACATGTTGCAACTGCAGTGGGGACCATGGTAGTTATTCAGGTAGGGGAGAAAGAATGCCATTATACTATGTGTATGAGTAAGCTTATCAGTTCAAGATGATCATTTTAGTCAGCCTCTTAAAGTGCATCTAAATTTTCTCTGGTGCAGGGTGGAATCGGCCCTGCTGGTTTATCGGCAGAAGATCTACACGTTCTTGATCTCACTCAACAACGGCCACGATGGCACAGGTTTGAATATGATCCCGCCACTAGAGGTTATCTCGGTTTAAAATTCTTTTTTTTGTGGTTAAAAATTCTTTTTACTAGTTTGTGTCTTAATATAGACTATGCTCTCTATCCAGGGTTGTTGTTCAGGGTCCTGGACCAGGACCGCGTTATGGACATGTCATGGCACTTGTGGGACAAAGGTATCTCATGGCAATTGGTGGAAATGATGGTATGCAGTTTTCCATGTTGGCTTATTCTCAGTATTTTATGTTCCCATATTATCCTTAAAGCTCCTAGTTTCTAATTTTTTCTTAACTATTAGGAAAACGTCCACTCGCTGATGTATGGGCCTTGGATACTGCCGCCAAGCCCTATGAATGGCGCAAGCTGGAACCAGAAGGGGAAGGTCCACCTCCCTGCATGTAAGTTTGATTACGCTCCTTTTTGATTATGTGCGTTGCACTGGAGTAATATTGTTTTTGCTATTTGGATGTTATACCTAGGTATGCAACGGCAAGTGCGCGTTCCGATGGTCTTCTTCTCCTCTGTGGTGGAAGGGATGCAAATAGTGTGGTAAGTGGAAGAGTTTCTTTACAATAATGCTCAATTGCCTTTATGAAAACAGACACATAGCCACTTATAGAGGCTTGATTCTAGAATTTTGGTTTTTGCTTTTGTTGTGAGATAAAAATGGGATCATAAGAGTTAATCCATTGTTGTAGAGGTTGTGTTTGTTTACAGAGCAGATGGGGATGTACCTCCCCTTTTCAAAGTAAATATAACAAGATTTATGTGTTTAGCACACTCTAAAAGAGTAAGAAGCATAGATTCTGTGCCAGACTCTGTAAAGCCTCTACGAAATTGAACTTTAATTTCTATTTTCATCAAGGAATGAGCTTATTATCAATTATTTGTTTATTCAACCACTATTTGAGAAGTTGTCAATTTTGCGTAGAGTGAAATTAGAAACTCAGTGGACTGCCCTGACCTTGAATGCTTGATTGAGGGGATAAATATATTTTTTTTCTTCATTTGAATGGATAGCCTCTGGCCAGTGCATATGGACTTGCTAAGCACAGAGATGGACGTTGGGAATGGGCCATAGCCCCTGGTGTCTCACCATCTGCCAGATACCAGCATGCAGCAGTATGGGATACTTCTTCCTCTTTTGTTCTCTTATCTGGCCTCATCAGGATAATTAAACTGTTTGATGGATTATATAGGTTTTTGTAAATGCAAGACTTCATGTGTCCGGTGGGGCACTTGGTGGTGGACGCATGGTTGAAGACTCATCTAGTGTTGCAGGTTAGCAAACAAAGAGAAGCAATAATATCTGATCTGATGTTAGTGATGTTGGATGGTCATTGAGGAAATACTTATGTTTCCTTGAGAAGGTGCACCGTTTTTAGTCTTTTGTAGGCCATTGTTGAAATGTGTCTCATATAGAAACGAAAGCTGTATAGAGGAAATGCTGTAATGTTTTTGCCAATCGAGGTCTGAAGCATTTAGCCATTGTTGAAATTAGTCAGTGTCACATTTATAGACGAGAGCTGTACATAATGGTTTTAGAATAAATGTGTTTTGAGTGCATCTACAGTTTTCTGAATATTTCATCTATTGTCTTTCTACAGTATTGGATACTGCAGCAGGTGTATGGTGTGATACGAAATCAGTTGTTACTAGTCCTAGAACTGGCAGGTACAGTGCCGATGCAGCTGGTGGTGATGCTTCTGTTGAGCTGACTAGGCGTTGTAGGCATGCTGCTGCCGCAGTCGGTGATTTGATATTTATCTATGGCGGTTTACGTGGAGGTAAGAAACAAAGCTTGGCAAGACTTATGTTGATGTACCTAATGATGTTCTGATACAGAGCACCTTTATTTAGATTTCACAATTTCATGTGCATGCTTCTTCATGAGGACGAACCGATTTCTATGATTGGACTGTTCTGTAAATGTGGCATAGTATACATCGTATGGCCAGTCTGTGACACTTTAGAATTACATTTTCTTAACGATGTTTTTTGTTAAAATCTGAGAGATTGTGTAAGAATTATTTATTATAGATGATGTTTTTAGTTTCGGCTTTCTCCAAAAGTCAGCTCCCTCCATCTTGTAATCTGTTTGCACCTGTTCATATTCAAAAGATAGCATCACCGGAATTAACTATATATTGTTGATATTTTAGGGGTGTTACTCGATGACCTATTGGTTGCTGAAGATCTTGCTGCTGCGGAAACAACATATGCTGCTTCTCATGCTGCTGCAGCTGCGGCAACAAATTCGCCACCAGGTCGGTTACCTGGAAGGTATGGTTTTTCAGATGAAAGGAGCAGGGAGTTATCTGATTCAGCCACTGATGGCGCTGTTGTACTGGGAAGCCCTGTTGCACCTCCTGTAAATGGTGATATGCATACTGATATAAGCTCTGAAAATGCAATACTTCCAGTTACTCGGTTAGCCAACTTTCTTAAATTTTCATTTATCTTGTGCTGTATTGTTAACACAGTGATGTATTTAATCATAATGACGACTATCCAAAAAAACTTTATAGGAGAACGAGCAAGGGTGTGGAGTATCTCGTCGAAGCATCAGCTGCAGAAGCTGAGGCAATCAGTGCTACGTTGGCTGCTGCCAAGGCACGACAGGTCAACGGTGAAGTTGAACTCCCAGACAGGGATTGTGGTGCAGAGGCAACACCTAGCGGGACACCAACATCTTCGCTAATCAAGCCAGATTCTATGGGATCAATCGGTGTTGCTCCTGCAGGAATTCGTCTTCATCATAGAGCCGTGAGTGTCGCTGGAATAAAATATAAAGTCTTGCAATATATTTCTAACACAATGATGTTCTTCGTCTACTAGTATTTCTTGCCCTAGTTTCACCAGTAGTGCATTTTTGGTTGATAATGGTTATTGTTATTAGGTGGTGGTTGCTGCAGAAACTGGTGGCGCCTTGGGTGGAATGGTTAGGCAGCTATCTATTGATCAATTTGAAAACGAGGGACGACGTGTAAGTTATGGGACACCAGAAAGTGCAACAGCAGCAAGGAAACTATTAGATCGACAAATGTCAATCAATAGTGTTCCAAAGAAGGTAAAGATTTTGGTTCTCCACATCAAGTGCTGCAAAAAAAAAAATCCTAAATGTGGATTTAAAAAACACAGTTCGGTAAAATTTATGATTAAAATTGTACAATGGTGAGCTATTATAAAATGCTTTCTAGCTGTGGTATTTATTAATCGTTTAGTTGCAATGATAGAAATCGAAAGCATTGTGAGATGATATTGTAAAAGTATAATATCTCCTGGTTTGCACTGTGCTAACTCATTGGTGAATATTCCTTAGCATCATCTATTTTGTTTAATAGGGAATTGGGTGCCTAAAGATCCACTTTGTAGTTTGGCCAGGTGTCTACTCGGGGACTTCTAATGAAGTGTCTTTTAATTATGTGCTAATAGGTGATAGCTCATCTTCTGAAGCCTCGTGGGTGGAAGCCTCCAGTTCGACGCCAATTTTTCCTAGATTGTAATGAAATAGCTGATCTTTGTGATAGTGCAGAACGTATCTTCTCAAGTGAACCAACTGTATTACAACTTAAAGCTCCTATCAAAATATTTGGTGATCTGCATGGTCAGTTTGGGGATCTTATGCGCCTTTTTGATGAATATGGTTCACCATCTACAGCTGGAGACATATCGTAAGTGCACCGCTAAATATTCTGACATCAGTGGCCGCTACATCTTTTACTTTTGCTATCTTTGCTGGCACATTGCTCATTCTGTTGTATGATTGTCAGATACATCGATTACCTCTTCTTAGGGGACTATGTCGATCGGGGTCAACACAGTCTAGAAACAATATCCCTTCTGCTTGCATTAAAGGTAGTTCTAAGCGTATTATGTTAGTTTTGACTTGATGCGGGTATGCTAGTTGCCTGAGTTTGACCTTCTGTTGTCGATACTGCAGGTTGAGTACCAGCATAACGTACACTTAATTCGGGGAAACCATGAAGCTGCAGATATTAATGCTCTTTTTGGCTTCCGAATAGAGTGTATTGAGCGAATGGTAATTTATTCTGCTTCTGAATCTCTTGTTTCCACGTTTAGTTGTCTCATGTTGTGGTTGCTTTGCAGGGTGAACGTGATGGAATCTGGGTGTGGCACCGGATAAACCGTTTATTCAATTGGCTACCTCTGGCTGCATCCATCGAGAAGAAAATTATCTGTATGCATGGGGGTATTGGTCGTTCTATAAACCATGTGGAACAAATAGAGAATATCCAACGCCCAATTACAATGGAAGCTGGCTCCATTGTGCTCATGGATTTGTTATGGTCAGTCCATGTCCTCTATATACTGTTCTGTTTTTTTTTGGTCTAAGTCTGACGAATTTGTTAATTTGGAATTCGTTAGGTCGGATCCGACTGAAAATGATAGTGTCGAAGGTTTACGGCCCAATGCTAGAGGCCCTGGATTGGTTACTTTTGGGGTGAGCGATTTCTTTTGTTTCTAATCCATACGTTTTCTGAATTTTGATTGTCCTCCCTTTAGAAAATCGGCTCGCTTCTTTCTTTTGTGGCAGTAATTTTGTGTGCAATGAGATGCTGCTATGGTTAAAAATGTTGGTCTCGGATAATTGTCTGGGTTATATATTATATAAAACGGAGGAATATTACCTAGTTTGCACCCATTAGCTTACCATATGAAGAAGTGTTAATTGCTTTGTGCAATTTCTTTTTACCTGTTTTGTTATTAACTAAGACTTGGCAATTGCAGCCTGACCGCGTCATGGAGTTCTGCAACAACAATGATCTTCAATTAATTGTACGTGCACACGAATGCGTGATGGATGGATTTGAACGTTTTGCTCAGGGGCATCTGATAACGCTCTTTTCCGCTACAAACTATTGTGGTATGTGCATGGACTCGAAAGTGCTACAACCTAGCTCGATAGTTTGGTGGGATTATTTTTTTGTTGGTTACTAATGATTATACTTGCTTCAGGTACTGCGAACAATGCTGGGGCTATATTGGTATTGGGGAGAGATCTTGTAGTGGTTCCTAAGCTGATTCATCCGTTACCTCCAGCAATTTCATCAACTGAAACTTCACCAGAACGACATGTAGAAGACACATGGATGCAGGTTCGTATTGATAAGTGAATCTTAGTCCGTAGTTTGAGCTGGAAAGTTTTGGTACTTAGCGGTAGTAATTCGCAATTTGCAGGAGCTGAACGCAAATAGACCAGCGACACCAACGAGAGGACGGCCACAAACTGCAAACGAGAAAGGAGGTTCTCTGGCGTGGATGTAAGGCACACAAAGAGGCACGTGTAACATCTGCCTCCAGGTGGTTTGTGTACAGAAAAGATGAGCGATAGACGAGAAACGACGAGGTTTGGAGATATCACGGGGGCTGTGTAAATTGAGATTACGAAAGCGTAGAGAAGTCAGTTTTGGTGGTGGTTTAGTAGTGATTTGTAGAGTTCATCCGTGTTCATTTTTATTCAGTCTGCTTTTTCTTTTCTTTTTTATTTTATAAATTATCTTTCTTTTCTTCCACTTCAATTGATTATTTACCTTCTCGTTTTGGTTTGTGGTATAGTTTTCATGGCGAGTGGGATACGAGTTCTTAGAATGGTAAAGGTCGACATACATGTCATCCGTAGTTGTGAGGGGGATGGTCTGCTGTCTTTTTATTCTGTATCATAGGACGTACGTTGGGGCTTTTGTGTATTCTTAATTTTTCTCTTTTCAGCTCTTACTTTTGAAACGTTTGTGCTGATATCACGATACGAGACATTTTACTCCCCTCCCTTTGGGTTGTCTAAGCTAAGACAGAACAAACAAACAAAACATAATTAGTTTAATTGTAAATGAAACTAATTTTAAAGTAAAGTTGCCTCGTACGATTGAGTGTGAAGCTTCCCTAGGCAGGAACACAGATCTTGAGGTTAGCTTTGAAGACGAAGGGATGATAAAAAACCATATGAACACTTCTTCCATCACTATGCTTTGCTAATATTTTGTAAAATAAACATATCATCTAATCACTTGACGACCACATCACAAGTTTTAAAGTTTTAAATTTGGTTTATGGCCCAACCCAAATTTGTCGAGCCCTCAATATACACCAAAAGAAACCAGTCATATTAAAGATGCGTCTTCAGTCTTTACATGTAAATCATTTTGTGGAACCAAAAATGTGAATGTAGAGATTATCATTTTTCATCAGTAAAAAAATATTCTTAGTTTTTAATTTTAACGTAAGTTTTCTTATTTTAAATAAAATAAAAATAATTAAGGAAAGGAACAAAAGAATGATAAAAATAAAAATAAAAGGTGCCTTGTACGATTGGGGTAATGGGTTCCGTACGTTGATCCCCCAACTTGGCAAGGCAAAGGCTGAAAGTAACTCTGTGCAAAAAGCACCATCTCATATCTACTTCCGCGTTCTAACCATGTTTTGTCTCTTAAACTTTTCAGATTAATATTATTATTTAAGAATACATAAATCTCATAATCAATATGTCGGTTTTCGTTCAGAAAAAAAGAGAATACTGGTGGTTGTCATTATACACAAATATAAATTAGACAATTGGTCAAATAAGCGAAGATAGGTCTAAAATTGGTTAAGCAACCTATTTGGTTGGACTTAACTCACCGAGGTGTGATTTGAGCAATGGACTTAAGTCACCGAGGTGTGATTTGAGCAAATGGACCGAATATCCCTTATTGAAAGACAGAAACCAAATGGGATAAATGACAAACCGATCTTTTTATTCCGAGTCTGTCATGATTAGTCGTGTCAACTGCCAATAACATAGACTAATATAATATTTATTTCATTACATTTTGTCTCTCCAAAAATGATAATAATTGGAAATAAGGTTGTAGTTTTTTATTTAGCAACACATTTGTAATTTATCTGTTTTACACTAGCTTTTAAAAAAAGGAGAGAAAATTGTATACATAGTATATTTTGCGATTATTATGTAATCTAACTAAATATATTTGTAATTTAAGCGTGAAAGTAATATCTATTCTAAATACTTTATGACTATTTCAATAACTTATTTTTGATCATCTTGACAATAATAAAATGTATAGGCCTTGAAACAAATGTTTTTTTATTTTTCTTAAATGAAAAAGTTGTGAATAACAATTTATAAAAAAAAAAATATAGTTTGATATTCAGTTTGTTGTAGACATATCACCTTTTAAAATAGTTATAGCAAATGCTGGAAAGCACTATTTATTTATTTTATATAAAGAACTTCTTTTGGACTTTGAACTTTTATTGGCAATTTTGGAAACAAATTAACAATGAAATATAAAGCATGCTACTAAAATGACTCTGCTTTTGAATATCGGATAAAATCAGCAAACAAAGTATCGAATTTGGTCACGTAAGTATACTCTGCCTCTAATTAATAATATACTCTACCTTCTAATTATAATAATATTCATTTTCAATTTGTTTAACCATCAGAGTTCGAAGTACAACAACGCACCACTGATTTTTTTTTTTAAATAATAAAATAGCATTTCAAGAGTCCCAATCATAAATAAGAGTCTCTCTTGCTCTTTATAAATAACATCAACCCATCGAGATATAACCACAAGGCGTTTTCTACTTCTTCGTCTCCTTCTGAAACTAATCATAGAGAATCAAAAACACTTAAGAGGGGTGAGTGATCATCAAAAGGTGTGTGTAATGGAGAAAGTGAGAGAGATAGTGAGAGAAGGGAGGAGAGTACGAAAAGAAGACCCGAGAAGAATAGTACATGCTTTCAAAGTGGGACTTGCTCTTGCTTTGGTCTCTTCCTTTTATTATTACCAACCTCTATACGATAACTTCGGTGTCAATGCAATGTGGGCTGTCATGACCGTCGTCGTCGTCTTTGAATTCTCAGTAGGTCAGTGAGACATTTGATGAACATCAGCCACTTTTCTAACATTTGAATATGTCTAATGTATCTAGGTGACTACATACAGACGGTTGCAAATGGTTTAGTTGTAATGGTGTATTGTTGCCAATAATTGTAGATATAATAACTTTGGTTTGGTGTGTATTTATAGGGGCTACACTTGGGAAAGGAATAAATAGAGCAGTGGCAACATTAGTAGCAGGAGGACTAGGAATCGGAGCTCATCATCTAGCAAGTTTGTCCGGTCCAACAATAGAACCTATTCTTCTCGCCATCTTTGTCTTTGTACAAGGTATCCCTCATATCTTATTAGTTTACAAATAAGTTTCGGGCTTCTGGTCCATAGTACTCTCTTTGGACTAGGACCAGAATATGTAAGTCTTGACTATATAACATGATCGAAACTCGAACTTGTGACCTAGAAACAGTACTCATATATTTTGCATTACATTACTACATATATCTTAGAAGAAAGAGCGAGGACTAATTAATCATGCATGGTAAATGAGTGCAGCTGCGTTGTCGACGTTCGTGAGGTTCTTCCCGAGGGTGAAGGCGAGATACGATTATGGGATATTGATATTCATATTGACCTTCTCGCTGATATCAGTGTCGGGGTTTAGAGAGGACGAGATATTGGAGTTGGCCCATAAGAGACTATCGACAGTGATAATGGGTGGAGTCAGTTGCGTCCTAATCTCTATCTTTGTATGTCCGGTCTGGGCTGGACAAGACCTCCATTCTCTTCTTGTCTCCAACTTTGACACTCTCTCCCACTTCCTTCAAGGTTTTTTTTTTCTTTCTTTCTTTGAGTTCATTATGTAAATAATATCTCAAAAATACCACTTCAACAAAAAAAACATTTACGAAAATACCACATCTTTCTATTAGAAAATCTTAAAGTGACATTTTGATAGTGTATGATTATGAACTAAAAAGTTGGAAACTGGCAGAATTTGGGGACGAATATTTTGAAGCGACAGAGGATGGGGACATCAAAGAGGTGGAGAAGAGGAGAAGGAATCTTGAAAAATATAAAAGTGTGCTCAACTCAAAAAGCAACGAAGAAGCTTTGGTGGGTACTCTCTCTTTCCCTTCTCGCTTCACTTCAATAATTAATCTATACCTTTTTTAAAAAAATAAATTGGACTCTATAATATATTAATGTAAAAAATGTGTTTAGGCTAATTTCGCAAAATGGGAACCGCGTCACGGCCAATTTAGATTTAGGCATCCATGGAACCAATACCTTTCCGTGGCTGCATTACTCCGGCAGTGTGCCTACCGGATTGATGCCTTGAATTCATACATCAATTCAGATTTTCAGGTATTGCTTTTTTTTTTTTCTGTAACCTTTGTTAAGTATTTGCATTTGAAATAGTATTTAAAAAAAAAATCATAAATATTTTTAATCTGAATAAAACATAATGGAAATTCTTTTGTCTATTTTTTTTTATATATATATATATATATAATTGATGGTTTTATGTTCCTGCTAACCCTTTATTTATTATCTTTTTTTTTTAATTATTAGATCCCAATGGACATCAAAAAGAAATTAGAAGAACCATTAAGAAGAATGAGCTCAGAGTCAGGAAAATCAATGAAAGAAGTGTCGATTTCATTAAAGAAAATGACAAAATCATCTTCTTCTGATATCCATGTCTTAAACTCACAATCTGCCTGCAAAGCGCTTTCTACTTTACTCAAATCTGGCATCTTGAACGATGTTGAGCCTCTACAAATGATTTCATTGATGACCACAATCTCCCTGCTCATCGATATTGTTAATTTAGCCGAAAAAATATCTGAAACCGTACACGAGCTTGCGTCCGCAGCAAGATTTAAGAACAAGATGAAGCGGACCGTGTCATTGGACAAGTCGGATTCTGGAAGCATCGGTCGTGCCATGCCAATTAAACCTCAAGATGATAATAATGATCATGTTGTCACAATCTTATGTGATGTTGATATTCCAAACACCGTTGATCAATCCCGTGGAGAGAGTTCAGTGGACTCTTGTCACCATGTCGCCATAAAGATTGATGATGATGATTCACTACATGGAAAACATGAAGATGGTGAAATACATGTACATACGAGTTGTGTATCATGTGGTCAGACTAATGCTAGTGATGTTTTAGGTAGTGATAAGAGAATTAGTAATAACTAACTATTTATTACAGGTTTTAGGGGTGACGGGGAAGGGACTAATCGTGAATATTAAATAAAGTTCATATGAACAAGATTTCGTTTTAGATCTAGCCTAATTCGACCTTGGTTTTTTTTTTTCCCCTGTTGTTCTATTCTTTTTTAAATATATTGTATCGAAATAATGTCATCAAATTTTATTAAAAAAATTGTGCGTATAGGATTAGTCAAAATAAAGTCTTATCAACTTATCGTTCCACAAAAAAGACAAAGGCACAATTAAAACAAATCAACTAAGGCATAACAATAAAGTTTTAAATTATATTAAAAAAATTGTTATCATGGACTTATCAATTATGTATATGACCAAAAGAAAAAAATAATATGGCCCAAATAATTTGTTACAAAATTGTTTTAGTGGGTTACGTTTGTTTTTGCAATTAGATAGTTAAACTTTAAGAAAAACAGAATTTGCAAGATGATGAATAAAATAATAAATTATTCAGAACATTGATTGTAAAACTAAGATGTAAAAGAAATATATGTAAGTGAAATACTTACAAAAGTGTTATACAGCATGTGGCACTTAAGATGATACGAATATCCTCATCCATAAAGAAAAGGTAGAATCCTTATATTTTCGATTATGATGATATGTGTATGCGTTTTGTCTTCCAGTTCCAGAGTTCAAGTAAATAAAGAGATTTTGTCTACGAGAATTTGATTGATAAGTGACTAAGCGCAAGATGTCATTATTAAACCCTACGAAATTTGTTAACGAAGGGGCCCGGCCATGTTCTCGTAAACTCACGGGTTTGTCTATTTCCCTTTTAATCTCCAACTGCTTTTTCAAACCTCTGGAACCAAATGGGAGGCAAATTAAAGTGGAGGGTAAGTTCATAAGTATTAGGTTTTTGTCTCCATTATTAAACCTTAGTTTTTTTTTTTTTGTTACCCTCGATTTTGTATGAAGATATGTTATTCATCCATTGAATAGAAAAGTATTCAATTGGAAAAAAACAATGTAGTTTACTATTTTACATGGTTTTAAATAACTCCTGAAAACCAAAACATTTAGTTTACTATAATCCATGGTTTTGCAAAAAAAAAAGTTATACTCTCTCCCTCCTTAATTAGCAACTATGGTGTATGACTGGATCAGCTGCCTAGTTTAGGAAAGTCCGAATCAAATCGGCCTCTTAGGTTTGAAAGGAATACAATCAGTCTCCATCAACTACAATCCAAACTAGCTCGAATAAATAAGTTAATGCAGTCATTGGATTCCAATGGCGTGTGTGTGTGTGTCACATTTATAAAAGTTATGGTTAACACTTTAATAGACAACTTCGCTTATCATGAGTGCTCCACTTACGTATCAAAAAGCTCTTTCAGATGCACCGTGCACCATCCCCTTCACGCTTTCCGCTATTAGTATTATATCAATTGAATAACTAATTCTATATTTAATTAAGTAAAATCCTTTGTTTTCTTATATTGCTAAGGACGTTCCAGATTAAACGAACCACTAAAGAACAAACACAAGAAAAGAAAAAAAAAGTCTATTGATAACGACTTTAATGCGTGTCGCGTCAGTTGAATTTTTCTACTTGCTAAAGTCTCGACCGATGTGATATGAACCGTACATTTCAAGTGGGAAAAGGTACACTTAACATTTGTGCCCAACATAAAAACGCGTTCAAACTTCTTTTTGACTTTCGCTTGCGTTTTCACCCCCAAAAAAGTTTATTACTACTATTACGTCTACTATTTACCATTATCGACGTAAAATAGCTGGATTACCTTCATAAATTAGGTAGAACAGCCAATGTAAAAAATTAGGTGGCCCATAAAATTTTCTTTTCTAATAAATATTAGTAATTTTTTTAAATTTTTTTTTAATATGTAGGCTTCAAAAACCTATACTTATTATTTTCTAATATATATGTGATCCATAAAAAAATTGATAAAACAGTGATCTTATTCCATCTGTGCTCTGGGCCGGGCCTGAGAACAGCACCTGACGAATGTACTAAACGAAATTTTATTATTCAATCTTCTTCAGTGTCCATCTTCGTTATGTAAACTAAAAACAATACCTATGGGCTATATTATATATACAGTAAGGGGTCCAACCCAAATTTCTTTTTTCTTTTCTTTTTTTATTAGACCTTAGGGCCATTCTTTTTGTTCTGGGCCCTTAAAAATTTTGGTGTCAAAATTTAGATGCGGTCTCAACTCTGGCAATTGGTTTATGAATATCCAAAGCATGGAACAATTTTATGCCAAAATGCATTACATGAATATGAATACCAACGGGCAACGGTTACATTTTACAATAAGGAAACAACAAATATACGAAAGATTACAGATTACAATCATTAAATAGTTTCCCAATGATTTCCATGAATACTTGCTTTTATTGGTTGTCATTGCCAAATGCCACCACTGCCCCTTACAGCTCGTCCTACATGAAATTCCGAATCATATAAATATTTACAGTTTTAGAACAATTAAAGATGAGATTCAGTACTAAAATAAACCATTTTCAGTGGTTGAGATAGAAAACCACTTAGTTTACTTACATGGTAATCGTCCATGTAATCACGTGGGTTTGGCTGCAAAACAAACCATTTCCAAATTATTCACTCACTCTTATTCCACACACAACTTACAGAACTCGTTTGGTCTCAACGTGTACGTACCCGTTTGTAACGCCTCCTCCTGTCTCCATACCGGTGGTCCCTCTCCTTCCGTCTACGTTCCCCTTCTTCTCGTGCTTTCCGTGCTTCCTGTAATCGGCGATTAGTATTGGCCATGCTCGTGATTATTATATACAGAGAAGATTTGATAAGTATAATCTACAAACCTCGTCTTCTCTAGCTTTTCTTTCTTTCTCAGCTTCCGCGAATAGCTCCTTCTCAGACTGGTGCGTAGGGTAGAGTACAAAGCATACACACAGTTGTCAGATGGGAAATACTTGTTTCGTTTTATCCAAAAAGAAGCAAAAAGGTATTCACAAATGCTTGGAAAATATATATACCTCCCTGTGCTGAGCAAAATAGTCATCCACGATGCTTCTTGCATATTGTGGGTCATCGGAGATCAAGATGTTGTCAAAGATTGAACCAGCCTTCACCTGCAGTATCAACATCAATGTGTTGTTCATCCAGTTGCACTATATTAAGCTTGGCTCCTTTTCTGTAATGAAGGCTTCGATCTGATCTCCTCTCTTTCCTTTTTCTATATTAAAAAGTTCTACACTAAAAAATTGCATGTTTATATGTAGAAGCTGCATATAATGGTGAACAAATTTGCAGTGACTACTAATGTCTGGTGATGGAGTGAGTATAAAGGTTAAGATTGGACAGCTTTATCCACCAGTTCAGAACAAAACCAACTTATGATGGAAATCTACTTCATAAAATTGACTTTCACAAAGATCGAGATCTTACCTGCCACACTTCAATGCCTGCATATTTTATAGGCTTGAGAACATAAAGATCTGGATCATCTTCGAATTCTGAGGAAAACCCAGAAGCTCAAGCTTAGTATTGACACGAAGAAATCCAGCACAAAACACAGAGATATACATTAAATGGACAGATACTTGCCTGGATTATCTATCCATTGGGCCTTCCATTTTCCCTTGTAATTCGGGTTCTTGATTTTCTGTCGGAAAAATAATATTTTCATATATTGTCAAATGGTGTAGAAGAAGAATTTGGTAATCTATATAACCATTGTTGAGGCTGTCAAATCAGTTACCTTTGCTTTCCAAGGACCTTTGTAGGCAGGATTTGGGATCTTTGGGGGTTCCCAGAGACCGTTTTCTTCCTCGTCCCAGTCCTCAGGCTATAAACAGGGAGAGAGAGATACAATGACATCCACAAACCAATGAGTTCCAAAACAAGATCATAATTTTATAACTCAAGGTGATAGAGGACGAAGAAAGAATGATGGATCTCTGAGACTACTACTAAAAACACAACTATAAAGCAATCACTTAAAGAATCCAGTCTAACAGTACATAATACCTCTTTAGCTTTCGGATCTGGAATTTCGCGCGGAATCGAATCAAAACCCTGTTTACAAAAGAAAAGAAGAACCAGTTGCCTGAATCAAACTAACAAACAACATAATGGGAACTGAATGAATAGCTTCCTCTCATTACAAATAGTATTTTCTATATTTCTAGTTGCTATCATGTTTACTAAACAAGTTACCTCGGGTTTGACATCATTCGGGTCATCAATATATTCTCTGTCATCCCAATCCACTGGCTGCAAAAAGTATAAAAACAGATGGCTAAAATCAATGAAGGTAAAGACGACAAGAATGTACTGTTAACGCATACTGTAATCCATTTTGTCGTCATAAGTCATAATAGCTAAGCTAAGTGTAATTATCTCAGAAAAAGACATAACCAACCTTGCAAATGTTTGGTTTAGCAATTCACATAGCATTTAAGAAAGACTCTTGGAAACCTTAAAAGCAGCCAAACAGTACCTTCTTTGCATTTTTAACCTTTATCTTCCTTGGAGGAAGGATGTCCCAGTCTGTGTACATACTGCCAAATTCTCTCTCTTTATTATCAACCAGAACGCTGTAAGAAGCGTCAGGCCGCAGAATAAATGTGTAGAAATGAGTCAATTTGTCTGTTTCACATTGCAAATCCTTTTTAATCGGATAATTCTGTCCCTGGTATGAAAGAATAACATGAAGCTTCTTCGTCTGCGTGCCACATATGTCTGGTCCAAACATCAGACTGCATAGGAAAAGAAGCACTAATGAGAACCCCCAAACACAACACCGTTTGTGAAGACCTTATAGTAAAAAAGCATGAACATTTAATCAATCATTCATTAGTTCACTGCATCCATAAAACATCTCCACTTTTTCGTGGGAGCAACTAAAAATCAACACTTTCATTGTTCTTCCCACCATGGCCTCATAGCAACAACGATATAACTAAACCTAAGTCAAATTGCAGATAACCTTCTAGGATCTGATTCACTAAATAAAAGCATTAATGTATAGCACAAGATTACCTGTAAGGAGTATCACCACCAAACTGCTTCTGGTTAACATAGCCAGAGAGGAGCTTGATATAAGCACCACCACACTCTATGTCTTGTTCAATTTTGACCGAGTACTGGACAACAAGAGTCCGGTTTTTGTTGCTAAACTCTGGGATCTTTGCAGAGATCGCATAATGTTTGGCATCATTGTAGGTCTGAATACCTAAACACAAGACGAAAATTCGAAAAGCATATTTCCTCAAGTCAATTTCAACGATCAAAGCCATTACACTATAGAGAACTCCACGCCTTTTTCCACAGAACAAAAGTCACGAATCGCTACAGCGACAAGAACATATCAAAGAACTAAAACAATGCAGCATAACGAAGAACACAGGACAAGGCATGAAAGCAGTAAGCAGAGATCACAGAAAGCTAATATTCTATTATTCTGAAAACGCAACTGGTACAGAGTTAACGGGTCGGCGAAAGGAATCACCTTTATCGTCAGGATCGCCGGGCCATTTTCCGGCAGTGTGCTTAAAGGTTCCGGCTTTTCCTTCGTTTCTTTTCCAATCAGATAAGACCCACCTGCTTTTCCATCCACCTGAACACATCTGACTAAGTCAATTGCATAAATCTATAAATAGAAACCCCAAACAAAAGAAGGAAAAATCCAGAATCATGGAATCGTTATATCAACCGGAAAAGGAAAGTTCTGATTGAGGATGGGTTTTGGCTTCACTGTCCTAAATAACTAAAAATCTAAAAAGCAATACTGTATATCCAAAAGGCAAACACGTACAACAAAGATCGCGTTTGTTTTTGTTTCTCCGGAAAACATAAAGAAAAGAAAGAGAGAAGAGTGTTGTTATTGTACTTCACCTTCGAAACGCTCCTCTAAGAAGATCTCGGAGAAAGCCAAGGGAGCAAGAGTGAGAAAGAGGAACAAGAGGGAGAAAGAGCTGAGCTTGTTATGGGGCAATCCCATTTTTCACAGAATAATCAATCTCTCACTTTGTCATTGCTGTGAAATTGTGCTTCGGCTTTATAGCAGGAAGAGAGGCAGAGTGAGAGAATTGACTCTGGTGTTTGCTTTAAATTACAACACTACCCCTAAAGGTTTGGATTATTCTTCTTCATGTTTTTAATCTTTTGGTCAAGTCGTCGCATGGTTGACTGGAGAATGTTCAAAGTCGTTTTTCCTGCGTAGAGAATGGTGCGAAAACCACATTGGTCCCAAACCATAATCGCTATGTTTTCTTCTTGCACTGATCTGCTTTTGCCATTAAGATATTGTACTTCTTAATTTGTAATGTTTCACGCCAAGATTTTAACCGAATTCAAAAGACATGTAGATCATTTCAAACTTATATATGTACGTATAATCAATGATCAAAAAGAAAGAGAGTGTCTACGTGGTGGGTACTAAAATCGTAAGACTCCAGCCACTAATAATATGCCATGTGAGCATCTCATTCTGCAGTCTAGAAGACTCCAGCCCAATGAACACGAAATGTGTCTCTATTTCTCCAAAACTTTCCACTTACAGTACCTCACACGTTAATTAGCAGTTAGGACTATCTATTTGTAAAGCGTTTCCTCTCTCTCCGGTTCGATTTATCTCTAAGTCGACAATAATAGCAATAGCATTGCTCAATGCTCATCCTGGAAAATCGATTTTCTTAAGTCGCGATTTAAAAAAAGAAACATGAGAAATAAACTCAAACCCCCAACCAATAACAGTATGCCATGTCAGCATCTTCATTGAACACGAAATGTCTCTTGTCCAAATCTTCCAAGTTCCCACCGACGACGTTCTAACCCAAACCCCAAAGCGATGGCCACCGCGCCCCCATGCCTCCCTCCCCCGTCGCCGGTGGACACCAGTCGCGTTGACGTCTTTTGGCACGAAGGAATGCTCCGACACGACGCCGTGGAAGGCGTCTTCGACATCGGACTCGATCCAGGATTCTTAGACGTATTGGAGAAACACCCGGAGAACGCCGACCGCGTCAGGAACATGGTCTCGATCCTCCGACGTGGTCCCATCTCTCCACATGTCCGTTGGTTTCCCGGCCGTCCCGCAATCGTGTCGGAGCTTCTAATGTTTCACACTTCAGGTAGATGATCGATCTAAGGTTCTTCGAATTAGGGCATAAAGGAAGGGACTTTGTGCGCAGAAAGGAAGGGACTTTATGGGACTCTGTTTCTGAAATTGGCACTTTTTCGACACCACCTTAATCGAATTCAACTTTGATGTGTGTGGCATCTTCTGCAGAATACATTGACAAGCTAGTGGAGGCAGACAAATCAGGAGAAAGGCGTGAAATCGCGGCAGGTACCTTCATGAGCTCAGGCTCGTGGGAGGCTGCTCTTCTTGCAGCTGGAACAACTCTATCAGCAATGCAACACGTTCTCGACTGCCATGGGAAGATAGCATATGCTCTGGTACGCCCACCAGGCCACCACTCACAGCCTACTCAAGCCGACGGGTATTGCTTCCTCAACAACGCGGCTCTTGCAGTGAAGCTGGCATTGAACTCGGGTTCTTGTTCCCGAGTTGCGGTTATTGACATCGATGTTCACTACGGAAATGGCACAGCTCAAGGGTTTTACAGCTCTGATAAGGTTCTTACGGTGTCCCTCCATATGAACCACGGGTCATGGGGATCGTCTCACCCGCAGAAAGGGTCGGTTGATGAGCTTGGCGAAGGCGTGGGGTTTGGTTATAACCTGAATGTCCCTTTACCTAATGGCACGGGTGACCGGGGTTATGAGTGTGCCATGACCGAGCTAGTGGTTCCTGCAGTTACAAGGTTTGGACCCGACATGGTTGTCCTGGTTGTTGGTCAAGACTCCAGCGCTGTAAGCTCTTTCTTCACCCCTCAAAAACATGTGTACATTTACTATCTAACCTAGTTGTACTTCCTCTAGCATGTAAATCCAATCAGCATTGTTATGTTAACAACCACACTTGAGTATATCGTCTTTGCACTTTGATTTAGCTCATTATCTACAGATTCTGCAGTTTCAGTATTCCATCAGACACAGTTTGGTATGTTGTTAATGGTTCATGTAAGTTATATCCCATCTAGAAATACTGTCTTGGTTATGGTAAATAACTTATGTAGGCTGGTATAGTGGCTATGCTGTGATCAGTCTAATCAAGAAGTTAGAAAAGTGCAGCTCTTGCATTAGCCACGTCATCTCTCCAACATTCCGTTAGCAAGGATAGATAAATTAATAAGTCTAATTGGAAGATAATTCAAAGTGGGAAAGGGTTGTTGAGGGAGTTGGGAATTGGTTTAGAACTGGAAGAGTTTTAGGGTGCTCTATAATTCACTCTAGGATTAATCTTTTAGTTCCTTTGCTTCAGTTTGTTCTTTGTTCTGCATTTGAATTCTGATTCAGAGTGGTTTAAAGGAATATATCGTCGTTTCTGAGTCTTATCACGCTACCTAACTGTATCCTTAACGAGCTTAGCTAGTGAATTCATTTTCAGCACTGAGTTGTTCACGTTTTGGCCCATGTTTATCGTCTGGTTCACAGAAAAAAAACTCTTTTTGAAAGTTCTTGGGGTGATTAGAGTGTCGTGGACTCACAGGTAACCCCCTTGTTACTGCAGTTTGATCCAAACGGGAGACAATGCCTGACGATGAATGGATACCGAAAGATCGGGCAGATAATGAGGGGAGTGGCAGAGGAGCACAGCCATGGAAGGTTGCTTATGGTGCAAGAAGGTGGCTATCATGTAACATATTCAGCCTACTGCCTCCACGCCATGCTCGAAGGCGTGCTGCAGATTCCAGAACTGCTTTTATCTGATCCCATCGCTTATTATCCTGAAGACGAAGCCATAGCTGTTGAAGCTGTCGAATCAATCAAAAGATACCACTCGGAGTTTGTTCCATTTCTCACATGAAGACGCTTGCCTTTGTTTGGTTTGATATATGCATTTGTGGAATGAAATGGATTCACAAGTTTGGTCTTTTCTGCCACTCCAAATCAATCAGGACAAACCGCTTATTATCAAAGTGTTTGGTGAGCAAACGTTTTTTTTTTTCCTGTTCGGACGACAGCTTAATCACACCATCCAACCATTTTTTCCAAAAAGTAGAGTTTACTCAAACAAAAAGCAATACTATTCAAAGTTTGATAACTGTTTATACCATTTTGTGATGTTTGCTCTTCTGCAACACTCTCTATCTTGAACTGTTTAGGGAAAGTGACGGAAAAAAAAGTATATATAAGATAAAAAACCAAAAAATATGGGTAGTTTGAAAAATCTAGCTAGGCTTTAAGAAAGAGGATTTTTTTTGTTTTGACGGAATATACACTACAAATTTTTATCAATTCAAGCGCCACATTCAGCAAAGTCGTACGGATAGTTGTAGAAAAAAGCAGCTTCTTGAACAATGCATGTCGAATTCTTGGGAATATGTCAGGTTAAGAAGATTAGTATTCTCATCACGAGATCGAATCGGATATTAAAGCAATATTGAGCCAACATGTGTATGAATTAATAATTCTACAATCTGAATTTATTTGGTAAAATACTGATGAGAATGTTTTAACAATTTTTTATTTAAAATTTAATTCACATTGTGGAATTCTTTTTAATTAATAACTGTGCATAATGGATCCCATATAAATCATTGTTATGATGTCATATATCATAGACACCTTCATCCGGTGAATGACAGTTCGTCAAAAATCAAAAGTTTATCAGTTTAAATATATACACATTTCGTTGACTTTCATATCTTTCATAAACTACGACTATCATGATGTCATATGCTTACGGACACCTCACTTGATGAATGGATACACATCAATCAATCTTCAAAAGGTTGATCAATTTACAACTATCAAATATGTGTATAGATAACAAAAAAAAAGAAGAAGTTATTTATCTTGTTTTTTTCTTGAACATAGTTACTACTAATATAAATATAATCAAATTTAGCTCTCGCCTAGTTATCTAAATTAACTGTAAGAATCAAATAAATAAAAAGAGAACATTGTAGTATAGTCCCCACTTGTCTCTATTCCTCTCCAAACAAACCCCATTAGTCTTTTCAGATTTTTTGTACACTTCCTCCACCCATCTCTCTCTCTCTCTCTCTATCCTTCTTCCTCTCTTCTTTGCTTGCCTTTTCTTTAATTTATTCTTCCAAGATCAAATAGTTCCTTCTTTGATCTCATTTGCATAACTACAAGTTTCATATAACCCAAGCAATAAGAAGGAGATCACTGAAGAGAACACACACAAAAATGTCTATAGATTTATCATCTGAGCGTGTTTGCTATGTCCACTGCAACTTCTGCACCACGATTTTAGCGGTAATCTCTCTCTTTTCCTGTTTTCTTATATTAAGATGGAAATCTTTCTCAAAAGAAAGAGTGTTCATGTGTTTACTCAAGAGCTAGATCTCCTTTTTCTAACTTAATTCAAACAGTTAAGATATTATCTTTCTATCAAACTTAATTGGTGATAAATATTTTATGATGAATTTTGCATCTGAGTCATGAACCAAACGTACTTTTTCCTGTGATTGTTGATGATATAGAGAGGGGAAGCTTCTTGATTTGAGAGAATAAAAGAAACCCTAAATTTTTTATTTTACTCCTTTTTTTTTTATTTGGAGAGGACTCTCTTTAACGCGTGATGAAATACCCAAAGAAGCAAAAGAAGTTCGGTAATTGAACCATAAATTTTAGTGCTCAAACAAAGTAAACTAAAATGAAACAGCCCCTGGTCAGATTTAGGGCTCTATGTGTAGGTTTATAGTCTATTTTCACAATTTTTGAAGGGTTTTTTTTGTCGTTTTCAAAGCCATATTTTTTTTTCTCTTAGGTGTCTCAGTAAATCCTTCAGTCTCTTGATTGTTTCTCAGAATTCCCTAAGTTCCTATCGCCATTAATGTTTCCTGTAAAAGGAATTGGTAGATAGAGAGTTGCTGCCTGCATCCATGTGATACAGGCTCAAAACTTTCACTAAGTTTTCCAGCTTTATAGTCTGACTTAATTCATATTATCTTTTGATATGTTTAACTGTAGTATGTGACACATGTATTCATATATCATATCAATCATAGATCTTTGATCTACAAAGCGTGGTCCATGTAACATATGTTTACATCACATCTGTTGATATTTTAAAAATCATTATTTTTTTTAATTTTTTCCTACAGTGAGGCGATGCCAGTTAATTTATTATATGTATATAATTTCACAATTATATTTAAATTTTACTATTTTCGATATGTATATAATATTATTTACTATTTAACGGTTTTATGTGACTATTTAATAGTACCCCCATACATTTGATGTGTGTATACATCTATCTGTATATATATGTAACATACAAATCATTATATGTAGATATATATATATATATAAGCAATCACGAAGTATAATGGCAAATGTCTTAACTCCGGTAGTTATATCATGTTTAGGTCCGGTCCGGTAGCTAATTTGTGAGTTATAAACGGGTTAAAAAAAATACAACCACGAGAAACTCTTTTAAGTTTATTATTTATAAACGTTATACTTCTTACTGCATATAAAAAAAATAGAGGAGATGTCGAACGAGTCTGATTAGGGACAAAAGCGGTCACATTTAAGAATTATGTTGAAGGTCCTCTTGCATAAAATAGGGGTTGTAGTGTAGTGGAAGTACATAAGATTTGTTCTACCCAGTTCGAGCAACAATTTCTTGATCTATACAAAAGCTGCAAAACTGTTAAATCGTGGCCGATCTTGATCATTTCGGATTGGATACATACACAAAAATAAAAGAGGATTATAATATAAGATGGTACCATCACATATCGTGTTAATGACTTTATGGGCTGTGGTTAAGGTCACGTCGTTTTCTAACATGACTGTCTTCTCCTTACAAGCTTCATCAACCATTCTTCATCTCTCTTTACTATCTTTTATCATGTTGCCTTGAGGCTTGTGTGTCAGACATATAAGTCATCAGAACCCACCATACACAAAAATACACCCATCTCGTATATATACAGATATATGTTATTAAGTTATCTTATTCACAATGTTTTTCCCATTATTAGTATATATCGAAAGTAGATGCACGACAATTTTCAGTGCTTTGGATCAGAGTAAAAAGGAGTTTTTAAACTTAAAATTACGTCTATAAATTTTTTTTTATTTTCTATCACGTGTAGGAAATAACTATAGGACTATCATTTACATACGGAAATATTATTTTTTATCACCTGAATATTTGCGTGGAATGCCTATTAAAAGAAATTATGTATTTTTTATAATTGAAAGACATATTAATATATACCAAGCAAATACTTTTTAGTTTATGAATGATTAATAAAACTACAAATCAATATCTTATGAAATAAACTGTAAATATTCACCAATTCAGTTGATCTAAAATGAATTTTCTCTGATTAATCTATTTGTAACTCAACAAAAAACCTATTATTTGCTTTATTCTGAAAAAATATAATTAAGTTTGGATATGTATTTGTCATATCAAGACACTGTAACTGTTCTATAAGTAACCAAAAGCATACTGTTCAACACTAGAATAGAATAGTTAACACACGTACTATATATATATATATATCTCAAGCGGTCAAATTAAATATTGCATGCATATGATAAAGTTCTGCCCTATGACATTAGAGATTGGTCTAACCAGCCAATCGAATTATAGAATATTGGTAAACAAGGCAATAACTTGTCCGTAAGTATTTAAGAGATCTTACAAATTAATATATATGATCAGGTAAGTGTTCCATACGCAAGTTTGTTCACACTTGTGACGGTGAGATGTGGCCATTGTACCAATTTGCTATCTCTCAACATTGGAGTTTCACTTCATCAAAACTCACCTCCTCCCATTCATCAAGAACTTCAGGTATCATATAATAGTCATTAGGATATCAACATTTTCTTTTGTTACATTCTGGCTGATATAACCTTTGCCATCATGAAGCAGCATAAGCAACACATAACCTCTTCGGTAACAAGGAAAGATTGTGGATCATCTTCAAGGAGCACCAACCATTTTTCCACCACATTGTCTGAAAATGTCGATCGAGAGACTCCTAGAATGCCTCCTATTCGTCGTAAGTCGCTCTTTCCTCTCACATCTAATGCACAACTATGTGTAATACATGCAATGAGTCCATAACTTAATTTTCATGGCAGCACCGGAGAAAAGACAACGCGTTCCGTCGGCCTACAACAGATTCATCAAGTAAGTGTTTTCTGCAACTTTTAGTTTCTTTTTTTTTTTTAATGAAATTTTCTCAACTCATTCACTACAATTTGTAAGAACTCTTTATTCTATAATTAATTAGAGAGGAAATCCAAAGGATCAAGGCTGGTAATCCAGAGATCAGCCACCGTGAGGCGTTTAGTACAGCTGCCAAAAATGTAAGCTTCCTTCTTTCTTTCACATATATACGAGAGATAGCTCAAAACAAAATTATTTATATAGCACCGACGATGTCAGAGTTATAGAGAAATATGAAGACGATGCAAATAAAATAATAATTTTAGGGCCGAGGAAAACATTATAAACCGTTCATGGTTTTTTTTTATATGTATAGAAAATCCTAGGGTTTTTTCTATGTCGTGATCGCTAGGATGAATTTCTTTTTGAAATATAAGTGTGTATACCAATAAGATAGTGGATTCTACTATGCACGATTGGTGGATTGTTGATTACAGTATATATTAAATTTGCATTTTATTTGTTTGTGTGTAGTGGGCACATTTTCCTCACATTCACTTTGGATTAAAGCTGGATGGCAACAAGAAAGGCAAGCAATTAGACCAGACAGTTGCAGGCCAAAAGTCTAATGGCTATTACTAAAGCCTTTACATATTAAGAATATGGTTATTATATATATAATATATATATATATGCATGTGTATGCAATTATGTTTATCTTTGTACGTCCGCGTTGATAAATGTTCAAGCAAAGCTGATGATGGAAGAGAGAAGGCGAAGGAAGAAGAAGATCATAACCTTACATATATATATACGTATATACATGTATGTATGTCCCTTTCTTTTTCTTGTGTGGGGTCCATCTATAACTTGGTTTCATTATCCTAATAAGTGAACTCCATATATGGTTTTCACATTTGAACCTAATTATTTAGGAAGAATCTCCTTTACGAAGATTGTAATATAAATTTCCTCTTTCCACGTTCTGAAAAGGTGTGGCTTTTTGTGTGGTCACAAATTTATCCAATGATCGAAGTTTAATTATACAATATAATACATGAGCTTAAAGGTGTGTGGAATTAGATTGATTCTATATCAATTTCAATCAATATATGGAATTTGAATACAAAGAAATTTATTAAGAAGATAAAATAAATAAAAGGAGTTTGGACTTTACATGCTCGTTTGTGTATGTATAGTCGATCTCTATATATACATAGAGTGGGTAATGAAGATAAATTCCATCTTGGGATGTGAAATGGTAACTTTTATGGTGCTGAGATAATTCTGAAAATCACTCATTCCAACGAAACATTCTTTACAAAAAGCAAAGGCTCCCAATGAATAGTGCAATTGGTTGTTTTTTAACAGTTGAAAAGAAAAAGGGAAAAAAAAAACAATTTCATGAGAGAAATCAATGCTCGTGTCTTCTCTTGTCAGTCACAATTGAAACTCAAAATCCGGTTATCATGACTAAAATTACTCACCCTTTTATTTTGCTGATCGGATCACTATTTTCTTTTAATATATGATCACTCATTGGCAACATTGAAACTTAGATTTTGAATCGTTGGGCGGATAAGACGAATGTTATTGAAAAGACAAAAAATTCCATTAAAATATTCCGTAGCTGACAAATTTTTGTACTAGTATATATTACTAGATGAGAGCAAACTTGTCTTCGATATTATAACATGGAAGATTTGACCCTTTCAACGCATATTCGTTTTGTGAAATTTGTGTAGTTATATATGGTCAACACACATATATATGTTAACGTATCGAATAAGAAAAAAACATCATCGTAGGTTAAAGTCTTTTAGTAACTATTACGAGAATTCCATTACAAATATTAACAAAAGCATTGTCTCTTTTTATTTGATTTAATGTAGTATACCATTAATAAAAGTAATGCTATAGATATTTTGAGTAGTTGTGGTCAACTTTTGCCAAAAGATGATGCCACTTTGGAAAAATGACTCAAGCATCGACCAAATTGCAATCAGTATAGTTTCCACGTCGACATCAATTTGCTATTCAAGAGTACTTATTAATTATAACTTCGATTTATACGAACTATGCTTGTGGCTATGTCTAATGAAAACCATCTCTCTTAATTGTATCGTCTCCAGTCTCCACCACTCGATCGATGATTTTCGCGACGAAGGTTAGAGATGTGGGGTCCTTTTTCAATGTGTGCAAACAGTATTAGAGACACTTACGTACACCTTCCATCGTCCATGCACACACACACACATTTTTATTCTTCTAGAGAAAATGAAGATATAAAAACATATAATAAGATATATATATATATATAGATGTATAACTATATATAAATGTAGGAATGAGAGATGAGATTTTTAATGAAAGGTCCAAAAGAAAAACAGAATCTGAAACGTCAAATCATGTTAGTTGGGGCCTTTGGATGTCTTTGGCTGTTTGTGCCTCTGACGGGTCTTGTCCACACACTTTAATGTTTCCTTTTCTTTCCTTTTTTTTCACCGCATTTTTTCTACCTTCATTATTATGTTTTTCAGTTTTCCTTTTCAATCTTCTTTTTTTTTCCTATTAGTTTTTTTCTTTTTTTTTTCTAAATGGTAACTGTAGTATATATTACAACTTGTTCAAATGTAGTAATCTTAATTGAAAATGTAAGACTTGTTCTATGTTGATGCATGATATATAGAAGATAATACATTTTCATCATCTTTTTATTATAGGTGAATTTTGACTTGCTTTCAAAATTTACATTTTGTTTTCTTCTACAACTTTCCCCATAGATATTAGGTGCAGGGAGAGACCGAGAGAGAGATAGAGGTAACATAATGTTTTTGCTTTTTGTTCTATACACATCATATAAGAGTAAAAGTTGTAATGTCATATTAATTTCTTAATTGATTTGGTCAAATATGTTATTTAGTGCAAGTGTACTCTATTACGTGAGTGTTGTTACTGTTTCATTGTTTTTTTTCATAGCAGCTGAGACAAACAGAAAATCATATGTCTACACACATAATTATAACTCAATCTTGTTACAAACCAGACTTAAATTTGTCAAAAAAAAACTTATTCTCATCATTTTTGTTATTAAGAAGAATTGAAGATTTAACCTAGACGTCGGAAGATATTTATGCTTTAATTTGAAAAATAAATCTGCTTAAAAGAAGTTTTCGTCGCCACAGACAATACAAGTCAAGTCTTTTTCGTCTATAAAAAGACTTGTAAATTGTGAAGCATGCCATATAATGCGAAGTACACTAATAACTAATCAAGCAGACAGAAATTAGGAAACAGACTTGTAAATTGTGAAGTTAGACAAATATTGCGAAACACAGCAATAATTTGGTCAAGGAGACAAAAATTAGGAAACAAAAAATGATCCAGCATGTATGGTGGTGCAATCTAACTAATGTAGTGCTATATATCCTGCAAAAGAAACTCAGAGGAAGAAAAAAAAAATTATGAACCAGAGGAATCATGACTTTTACATTAAAGACATAATGTAAAATGTAAATATATATAATTATTTTATTTTTTGCAGGAAAGACAGAGTTCGATTAAGAGAAGCATGGATTGCAATTCCGTGGCCCAACAAGAAATCAGAAAAAACAAAAAAACCCATCAAGTTTTGACTAAGACAAGTCATAAACTGCAATGAAAGACATCAATACGCTGCCCATCCAAAGCTTCCCATCTTTCTCCTCCACTTCACTCACTGCCTTCACCACTTTCCCTTGCTTATCCTCCAACACTTTAAGCACTTTCCCTTCTTCACTGTACTTGACAGCCACAGCATGTGGCCAACCTCCTACCTGCAGCAAGTACTGGAACTTGACCGTTATCGGCAGCTTCAAAAAGAACTTCCTCACACTCGGGTGATGCGCCATCACGTGCGTGAATATGTTGCGGTGGCAGTGCACCGCCACCCAGAAATCCCCGTCTTTGTTTGTGCGGATATTGTCTGGGAATCCATGTAGTAGCGCTACCACTTCCGATGTTCCGGCCTTTTCCCCTTTCAACCAGTATTTCCGTAATCTGAATGACGACCAAAAAAAGAACACGTACGTGAGGCTTAGACTCTTGGAACACTTGACAATGATGTGGAAGATGATGAAGGACTCACCTTCCGATTGATCCTTCACAAAAGATGAAGAAGGAGCCGTCTTTGCCAAGGGATAAGCCATTAGGGAACTGGAGATTTCTCAAGAGCGTGGTCGTCTCCTTTGTTTCTGGATTGTATTTCAACACCCTCCCAGTGTCTTCCCCCGAGACGATCAAGTGCATGAAGTTCCTGAAATGAAAACAAAAATCAAGAATGTCAATAGTAATACTGAGCATCAAAGGCTCATCGGAACATGTTATAGACTCTCAAAAGATAACATAATCAACATCAAAGAGCATCTGAAGGATTATCTGCAGTCAAATTTTTGAATTCAAATGGCTCTGGACTCTAACAGATATATCAACTGATACTTCATGGATTCTAAATCCTAATAGTTAAAGTAGTAAGAGAGTAAAGATCAAAACTTTAAGACGGATTTTCACTGAAAGTCAAGCTCAAGAACACACACGAACATCACTCCCTAAGTAGCACCAAGAAACCAACAAAAAGAAGACACATTTGAAAGTAATGCATACCTGCGTTGGAAAACAGAGCTGCTATCAGTGAAGTAAACGTTTCCTTGGTCATCTACGTCAAGATCATTGGTAAATCTCAAGGGCACTCCATCTGCCTCGGTTGTAAGAGAAGTAGCCAACCCTCCTTCAGGACCGACTTTCATGATCCCAAAATACGCATCTGCAATGTACAGTTCCCCAGTCTTCTTGTCGAACCGAAGACCCAAAGGCCGGCCACAGATGTGTTCGGTCTTCAAGTAATCCAACAGTGACGGCCTTGTATCACAAAGCTCTGATCTAAAACCAGAGCATTTCAAAGACACCTTAGTCGTAAACGAGACACATTCCACATCACGTAACAACTCTACTGGGAACGAATTAGCCAAATCGAGCTCCTGCAACGATTCTCTAATATAGTGAAAGTGCAATTGCAACTCACCGATTGTTGGAAGTGTAAGCGAAATCGGTCCAGCGGGTGCCATCCCAGAAGAGAATACGACCGTCGGCGACGCCGGTGTACGGACCGCGGCCAAGAGGGTCGAAGGCAACGCTCTCGGGTCCCTGAACCTCGTTTAAGAACCTGATCTCCGAGTTATGCAGCAGATTCTCATGGTCTCTCTCCTTGGGGAGTGCCGATAACGGCGGCATGTCAATCTTGTAAGTCTTAAAGTCCGGGAACTTGGAAATGGAACTGTGTTTGAAGGGATCGAGAGCGCAATAGATCGCGAAGACGAGGAAGACCTTCGCGACTTTGCTCATGACGGTGGTTGCCATTTTCGTTTGAAGAACTTTTTCTTCCGAGCTTCTTTCTGTATAAGGGAAAATTGGTTGGGAAATTGATGCTGCTAGCGACTCGAGAGGGAGAGTAGGTTGACGAATTAATTTGAGAGATTGAAATTTTAACTTTTCAACTAACAAAAAATAAATTCATTTGATGACGTGGCGATATAAGTATTATTAATTACTGGACCGATGATTTGAGCGCCGTGGAGGAGTGAAAAGCTCGCCGGGATATCGATCTGAGAAGGAAGGAGGAGTCAGAGATGGGAGATTCGAGCTCTGTATCGGGGTCGTATCTGGATGGATTCAAGGGTTTCTGGAGCGATAGGTTCTCGTTCCTGGAAAATTACACGAGGTTCACCAAACGCGACACGCCTCTTCCTTCTTGGTCTTCCTCCGACGTCGACGACTTCATTGCCTCTGATCCCGTTCATGGACCCACCGTATTTATCTCTCTCTCTCTCTCTCTCTCCATTGATTACCTTTGGAATTCTCATCGTGCCTTGTAATGATTGCTTCTCCCGTAACGTTCGCGTGGAGGGTCTGTTTGTTTTGTGAGATAATAATGTTCGTGTTTATGGTAAATCAACGATGCATAAGGGTATGATTTATTTGAGTTTGGCATTGATCCTAACAAAGATTTTCAATGCGAGTTGAATTATTATTCCGATCAAAAAGGTAAAATATATTTGATTGTATCATATGAAACTGGTGAAAGAGTAGGATGGAGAAGAGGCACTGTGAATTAAGTAGAATAGAGCAGAATGTGATAAGCATATTGGGAGAGTGTGGGAACCTCTACGATTAAACCTTAGTTCCGTGGTTAACTTCTTGCTTACTTTCAGACCGTGGGTGGTACACACGTGTATCCGGTATTCTTACTAAAGATATAGAGGATTTTTTTGGTCAGTTTGGGTAACATTGTTGAACATCCTTCTCCAGCTGAAAACGGCTAGGGAAGCTGTGATGTTTGCTGTCACCGGAACTGTACTTGGAGCTGTATCTACTGCTGCTATTGCCTGGAAATACTCCAGGAGTAGAAGACATTTTCTTGATAAAACTTGAAACAGTGTTTTAAAAGGTGATGCAGTTCTCATGGGGTTACATGTTACCAAATACCAAACTCCTGTGTTGGAATTTTTATCTGTGTATTTCTTGGTAGATTCTGACACCACTAAAAACCGATGTTGGTGCGACAGGTGCTGCGTTGTCATTCTTGGGAGGAGGTGTTTTTGGTTGGACGTTTGGGCAAGAAGTCGCAAACCACACGCTGCAGCTCCATAATTTGGACACAATGGCGGCCCAAGTTATGTTCTTGGAATGGTGGGAACGCAAGTCTCAAGGAAGGTCCTAAACCCAATGACAAAAATGAAATGGGCGTCTTGCTTTCTTATCCACAGTATCTTGCAAACAGAATGGAATTGAAGTGGTGATATAGTTAACCATTCTCAGACTTTCCTCTGAACCTTTTTAAGTTCTCTCACTCATGGAGCAATTTTTGCTTGTTCCCATGGGAAATTTGAATGAATTGAACGAAACCAACTGGTCTCTCATTTGAATTTGGATAAGCAATCATCCAATTTTGAGTACGAAAAAAAAGAGAGTAATGTTCCATTTAATGATAAATAAATGAAAATAGAAATCGAAAATGGGCCAAGTAAAAAGCCCAATGGAACCCAAATATTATGTACGAACCTGGACAAAGCCGACGAAGCAGTGAGTCGATTGATAATTTGATTTTGAGTGAGAAAAGCTTGAGAGCTCAGCTGGCTTGAGAACAAAGAAAAACCCCTTCCTCCGATACGAAGCTAAGAGGCAGAATCGAAGGAAAAAAAGGTTGAAGATGAGTAGCATTGGAACTGGGTATGATCTCTCCGTCACCACTTTCTCTCCCGATGGCCGCGTCTTCCAGATCGAGTACGCCGCCAAAGCTGTCGACAACAGTGGGTCAGTTCTTCTTCTCTCCTCTCCCTTTTCGATTCCTCTCTCTTGGATTCTTCTATATAGTTTTTTTATTGGTTTATTGCGCAGAACGGTTGTTGGAATCAAGTGCAAGGACGGGATTGTAATGGTATGATTCTTCCCTTCCTCGCGAATAGTTTTTCTTTGCTATGTTCTAGTTTAATAAGTCAGATTCAGATGACGCATCTCTGTTTATTTAAGAATCCTTTTTCTCCATCTTGAGGTTTTCAAATCCCTTAGAATTGAATATGGCTTCCCTGATTGGATGTGGCTTCGATGTAGGAATTGCCTAAAAGCTTTTAGCTTTAATTTCAGGGTGTGGAGAAGCTTATCGCGTCCAAGATGATGCTACCAGGTTCAAACCGGAGAATCCACTCTGTTCATCGTCATGCTGGCATGGTATATTCTCTTGTCTTATCTCTACCCCATTGGACATTAGTTTCTCTAGTTGTTTCAACTACCATTGTTGTGTATTTGCTTATCTTATGTACTTGTGTCCGTTCAGGCTGTTGCTGGACTAGCCGCCGATGGGAGGCAGATTGTAGCACGGGCTAAATCCGAAGCGAGAAGCTATGAGAGGTATCAACAAAAGGACGCATACACTGTATCTATTTTCACATCTCGTATTTGAAAGTTCTGCAGTATCTCCTTTTAGGCATAAGTAAACTCTTAGTAATCGTGCTGACGCTGTCCCTTTCTTCGTGTGATAATGTAGTGTCTATGGCGAAGCTGTCCCTGTGAACGAACTCTCTGAACGCGTTGCTAGTTACGTTCATTTGTGTACCCTCTATTGGTGGCTCAGGTTTGGTCATATTCCTCTACGGCTTTCATTATTACTCAAGCATCTCTCTTCCCCCTCTCTTTACTGAATTGCCTGGTTATATTTCTTCAAGGCCCTTTGGCTGTGGAGTCATTCTTGGAGGCTATGATAGAGATGGGCCGCAATTATACATGATTGAGCCTTCAGGCATATCTTATGTAAGTTATTTTCTCCCATATTATCCTCTTTTGTTATAGAAGATGCCTTTTAAGTCAAAACATTAAATCGTTATGCTTGATTTTCTCATATGAGGTTATTTTTCCATCCAGAAATATTTTGGTGCAGCAATTGGGAAAGGAAAGCAAGCTGCTAAAACGTAAGTTGCTTCTAAGATATATCTATAGTTTAATGCTCTGCATATGTGGAGTTAAAAAAAAAAACATATGTCAGAAAGCTATAAATAACGATTTGCGTATACTTTGCAGGGAAATAGAGAAGTTGAAACTTTCTGAGATGACATGCAGAGAAGGCGTAATTGAGGTGGCCAAAATGTAAGTCTTGAATATTTACGTATTTCTGTTTTGAGTATATCCAAATGCTTTGTTTGATCTAATTAGGAGTTTTCACTTGCAGCATTTACAAGCTACACGACGAAGCCAAAGACAAGGCGTTCGAGTTGGAGATGAGTTGGATATGCGAGGAGTCCAAGAGAGAGCATCAGAAGGTCCCTGAGGATCTCCTGGAAGAAGCAATGACAGCAGCTAAAACAGCACTTGAGGAGATGGATGCAGACTAAACGGATCTTTTATCAGTCTTATAAGTTTCAAATCTTTTTCTCGACTCTCTCTTTTGTAATTTCCACTATATTAACATCTGTTCAAACTTCTTCTACGACCCCTTTTTATTCGAAGAATTTGTAGAATCATACCACCAGAAAGTAGTTAACGACATCCCGATTTAGTCTAATATTTAATAAAAAAGCTTACAGAGTGCTAACTACAACACAATAGCCCTGCGGGACTTGAAGAACCAACATTCTCTCCCATTGATCATGTAATATAACACATTTTAAATAGCCACCTTACAACCAGCAGGAAGGTACGGTACTCCACATTATTTGAAAGAATTGAAGAAGCTCACAGTGTCTGCAAGTGCAACGATGAAGGAGTCAACGTCCTCCTTCGTGTTGTAGAAGTAGAGGCTGGCGCGCGCACTTGCATTCACTCCAAGATACCGGTGGAGTGGTTGTGCGCAGTGGTGTCCTGACCTTATCGCAACTCCATGCTGCAACATTCAATATTTGTTTTTCAGTTATTCATCCTACTATAGAGATATTCTAAGAAGATATGCCAGATGAATATGGTTCACTGAGAGAAAACCAGCATGTGGTTTGAATCAGAAGCTATAACAAACCTGTTGATCAAGAAAGGTTGCCAAATCAGTTGGGTGCAAGCCCTCCACATTGAAAGAACAAAGAGCAGCCCTGTCTACACTTTCAGAAGGCCTGGGCCCGTATATCCGGACATCAGGAAGTGAAGACAGTTTCTCGTACAAATACTTAGAAAGCTCTACCTGGATGACATAAGTAATTATAAATGATACAGTTAGAAAGAGAACATATAATTACTTACTATACATATACTTGATCAATAGTTAGTAGGAAAATCATATCAAACCTCATATTCATGGATATTCGGCATGCCAATTCCTGACAAGTAATCACATGCTGCTCCAAGAGCAATTGCTTCGCCTATTGCAGGTGTTCCAGCTTCAAATCTGGTACAAGAAAATGGAATCTAGTTATTTCCAAACTGTAGCATATATGCGACTTAGTAACTAATATAAGTACAACCCCAACCTGGATGGAGGTTCCGCATAAGTTGAATGATCAAGAAATACATCTGAGATCATTTCTCCACCACCTAAAAACAGCATGAAAACAAAAGGAAAAGTAAGTGCCGGGCTCAATCCAATCCTATCTTTGATCAAACAGATAAGATAGTTTTTTACATTGAACTATATACGGTAGACGGCTTACCTAAGAATGGGGGCATGGCAAGCAGAAGTTCACTCTTACCATATAAGAACCCAATGCCTGTAGGTCCACACATCTGAAGCATGATTATCATTTTTTTAACTCTAAGCTTGCCACAAGGCTTATTATGTATCTGAGGAAGAAAAGTAAACAATTCCAACCTTGTGAGAAGACGCAACTAGGAAATCAGCATTTAGCTTCTGGACATCAACCACCATGTGGGGAACACTTTGACAAGCATCCACAAGAACTTTCGCTCCAACATCGTGTGCCCAGACTACAATCTCTTCAATAGGAAGGGAAGATGCTAAACAGGAAGAAAAAAAAAGGTTAATTTATACCTACTTTTAGTGGGGGAAAAAAACACATACAAGCTTGATTATGATGAGAACTGAAAAAGGAATCTACCAAGAACATTTGATATATGATGAACAGCCACGAGTTTTGTCTTTCCAGAAATCATTTCTCTCAACATGTCTATGTCTGGGGTTTCATCTTCATTCAACGTCACAAACTTAAGAACTGCTCCAGTCTTTTGGGATACTATTTGCCAAGGAACAATGCAACTATGATGTTCGGCTACTGTAAGTATAACCTGAAAAGCTAGCATCATTCATACCTCATTTCCAATAGGTAAAAGACAAAATAAAATGAAAAACTTTGAGAGTGAAACAATGGACTTTGTGATGTGCAGAAAAACAATCCAGCCACATTGTCTCCCCATTTCAAAAGGGCACACACCTCGTCTCCTGGTTTTAGGTTAGAAAGACCCCATGAATAAGCTACAAGATTGATGGCTTCAGTTGCATTCCTTGTGAAAACAATCTCTCTACTATCCGAGGCATTGATGAAACGAGCTACCTTTTTCCTAGCCAACTCAAATTCATCTGTAGCCTTGGCACTACAATAAGTCAAACAGAAAATACCAAAAGAACCTTAATCAATCAAATGATCAAAATCATGATACTCGTTAAAAGAGAAACTTATAGACACCTTAGATAGTGGATTCCTCGATGAACGTTTGAATTATAGAATTCGTAATAATTCTGCAAGGCTTCCAATACAGCTGCAGGCTTCTGGGAAGTTGCAGCACTGTCCAAGTACACAAGCTTAGATCCATTCACTTCCTGAAACTCTCAATTTAAAGGTAAATGGTTACTTGAGTATGAACTAGCACTGTTCCCATCGATAGAACACAGAAATCGCCGTCATGTTCAAAATTTAATACCTGGTGTAGAATTTGGAAGTCTTTTCGAGCGCGATGGCCGAGAGAGACGGGTTCGGAATCGGCGGAGACGGTGGCGGTGGCGGAGAAAGAAGCGGCAGAATAGACGGATAGCGAAAAAGAGCGACGAAAGCGGGAGAAGCTACGGTATCCGGAGGCGATGGAGATGGCATTAGGGGCGAGAGATTTGAAAGACGGGAGTTTCATAGCCACACCTTCCATGGTGGAGAAGACGACGGAGGAGGAACGAGCGAGTGTGAAGGGCCACCGTTTAGACAGCGTGACACTGAAACGCCTACCGTAATGATAAATGGGCCGCCTTAGGCCTTTTACGCTGTTCATTTTGCGATACCCAAAAGCAAAACCCACCTTTTCATTATTAAACCAGTGTATAAGCTCAATCACTGGTTTACCGGTTAAACCGACCGAATAAGTCTGGACTTTATAGCACACTACACAACACGTCATCTAAAATTCCACCTATACAGAAAAGACAGTTGGCAGATATTTTTTTGAAAAAAGGAAAGTAGGGAAGCGAAGACAGCAAAAGTAAGGTGAGAGATCACGTGGGAAGAAGGAGAAGGCGTTCGCATTTTTATTGGACCAACCGGTTTGCGTCGCCTCATGTTCCTTCTTATTCCCAAACATCAAGACTTGTCCACATGCCGCCACACATGTCTTAGCGTTATGCAATGACGAGCTCATTACTTTATGTATAGTAGTAGTAGGGTCCTAATCTTTTTTTTATAGCAAAGAAAGATCATCAATAAAGAGAAATCAAGATATACAAGAAAAACGGAAGAGGAAAAGAAAGGAAGAGAGCAAGCGAGCGAGAGAGAGAGAGAGTTATGTTGTACAGTATGAGATCTTCTTCATCTTGTGTTGTGTTATTCATGTGCCTTATGCTTCTGAGTTCCTCGGTCGATGCGTACAAGAACTACACTGTGGGAGAGTCCACAGGGTGGTTCGATATTCAGGAGAGACCCTCTGCAAATTACCAGAGATGGGCTGATTCCAAATCCTTTTCGTTGGGTGATTTCCTCAGTAAGTTCAGATCAGAGATTTTACTTTTGGTTTTGTTTTCTTTAAGTTTTTTTGGTTTGGTAATCATATAGCAAATCTAATCAAAACACTTTAGTTTAAAAAGCGTTTTATTCTTTATAAGTTTCTCACAATTTTGTCTTTTGTGGCGTTTTCCGTTTCTGGTTTTCAGATATAGAAAAATTACAATATTCTAGCAAAATGTATATAATTTGAATCGACTTTTTTTTTTTTTTTTTGGTTATGTACTTATGTCTAGTTTAATTCGATTTATTCAGATTGAAGCCTCAACATAAAACGTCTTTGTGTTGTTGTTCAATGTAGTTTTTAACACAGACAGCAACCACTCGGTGGTCCAGACATATGATTACAAGACGTACAAAGAATGTGATTACAACAATGGTGAAGACAACAGTACAACAGAGTGGTCGGGTGCAAATCCTTCAGCAACATCTCCAGTTCCGGTCTCAGTAAATGTTCCTCTTGTTAAAGAAGGTTCCAATTATTTCTTCTCGGGGAATTATGATGGCGAGCAGTGCAAATTTGGACAGCATTTTATGATAAATGTGACACATGGTCAAGGCCTACCTGCTTTATCATCACCAGATGAAGACGATGCCCCTGGACCTGGCCAAGCATCTCAATCCGGTGATGATGAAGTTGCTCCAGACACCATAGTTCCCGCCAATTTTGACCATCCTAAAGATATTGAGAGTGATGACGATGATGATAATTTGGTCAAGGGTCGTAAAAATTCGTCTTCCATAACAAAATATAATTTGTTATGTTTATTTTTTATGGGGCTCTTGGCATCATTCTTTTAATCAAATCATCTTCTGTTTCGATACTTTTGTATGTATAATAAGCATTCTGTCTTTTGGAGATCATCTAATGATTACAATGTGTTTGTGGAGGTATAATAGTTATCCTTGTGAAGAAACGAAACCATCCACAAATGATTAGTTTGAATGGAAAAAAGACAAAGATGCAGTTAACTTTTATTCCCAAAACTACTCAGAAAGGAAGACGGTACAAATTGTAATCATTGAATTTTGTGATCCCGATATTAATTATGATATTAGTGGGAGATAAGCAAAATAAAAAATTTGCAACATCCCACTAATATATATGGTATGTGATGAAGATATTGATGACGCTTCGTGTCAAACCATCATCACAGATAACTATATCAAAAGATGGCCCTCATGTTTAAGACGACTTTCGAAGACAGAACATGGCAAAGATTTTCACTAATTTTATATTAGATCCTCTAGATTGTTCAATATTCTTCTATACAATCTAAGAAGCAGTCGAATTCAAATATATGACATTTTACTTCAGATGCATCACTTGACTTGATTGACTTGGCAAATATTATAATCAACGATATTTTTTCTGGTATATATAATCAAAGATATTACATTCATCGTCTCTACCTCATAACTCGTCGTCGTCGTATTTATTCATCGTCTCTTTATGGGATTTAATAACTCATTCTTGATTTTATATTTTACTTTCCAGATTATATGCTTTATATGACTTTATTTTGATAATGATTGCATTATGGCTTTTGTGATGCCATTCAGGTGGTGGACAACAAACCGTTAAAGTTGCTCGTGTCTATTTAATAGCCGTTCAATAATTTTGACATGACAGATACAAGGCATCAAACTCTTTACAAGTACATTCGTCCATGTGTTTGTTTGGCTGGAAACAGCTACAAAATTAAAGGAAAATACAATAAATTTAGGGATAAGAAGAAAGTTATTGCCTTGTCTGGCGCTGGGCACATGGTTACATAATAACACAATCGTAATGAGAGACGACACCCATTTCCCATTAGAAACAAAAATTAAATAGAAAGATTAAATAAATATAATAAATCTCCATCGAAGGAAAATAAAAAACAAAAAGAAGAGGAAGAAGAAGAAATATACAAAGGTGGCCCAAACTTTTGAGAGGAAACGAAATGGTGGTGGGGAGTTGCAAGCAGATAGCAGATAGCAGCAGCAGCAGGAGGAGGAGGAGGAGGAGGAGGTATAGTTTACAAAGGACCCATGTTGTGGTGTTTTACGTTGCAGTGCCCCAAGTCGTTGTTGGTGTCTTGCAACTCCACTCTGTTCTTCCTCTCACCACTTCGGCTCCATCCTGGAGTCGGAGCAAATGCTGACATTCAACCTCCCCCGCTGTCCCGAGATTACCGACATCGCATCCCGAAACCGCGGTGAGGGACTGAAGCACGCTGTCTCTCCCGCACTCCCTCCGGTACTCCAGAGTCATGCTTTTCAGCTTCTGCCTCTCCATCATTCCCACCGGAGCACTCTCGAGGATCCACCCGATGTACTTCACATTGTTAACATGCTGGTTAACATCTAGGTCACTCCATCGCGGCTGAAATGGTTAATTACCAAACCATAAGTAAGATTCTCAGAGTTTTACAGGCTTGTTGAAACCAAGAGCAGAGAGATTATACTTACAGTGAGACCAGATCGAACATAGTCAGCAGTCTTGTCATCCAGTTTTGTTAACTTTCTGCCGTCCTCGGCAAGGACTGGATCAGAATTCACAAAATAAGGCTCTATTTCCCCTCGAACCTCTTCAGGAATCTTTGATAATCTCCTTGTCAGTTTATTCATCATCACCCACACACTGCAAAATAACGTTTTGCAATACGGAGATGATTATAACTCTATTATCAAATATCTAACCCAAGATGCATATACTCATGAGACTGTTTTTGAATTCACGGCACCAGTAAACAGCAAAACCAGAGAGCAAAGACAATAAATGGTCACGCATGCATAAAATGATAATAGCTGGAGTAAACCAAAATAATAAAAATCTAACCTTGATGCTCGCGTTAAAATTTCCCCACTATTGCAATCCCGAACCAGCCAATCACGACGCATACCATTCTTTCCAGACTGACTAACCCAGGTATCCACTTCAACAACATCTCCCCTGCGAGGCAAATATTGGATAAGCAAATGATTTATGCACTAAAATATGCATGCACAGCAGCATGTAATCATGGGTGCAAAAAGCCACTAGTTATATGATCATATTTGTCGTATTGTAAAAGAAACATCAACTGAGCATAAAACATGTAGAATGGTGACTGATTTTTCAAAGGAAACAAGCAAAATACACATCATTTTTCCCAAACCTGGTAAAAACAAGCGAGAGCATGGACCTGCATACTCAAGTTTATGCAAGATAATCTGGATAAACAGTGATTCTCAGCGATGTTTAAAGAAACGTGCTAAGACCAAGAATAGCTTACCAAGTAGGATATTTATCAACGACAACCTGCATACGAGTGACGACCCATATCAGGTTCTTCTTAAACATCTCAGGGGTGGAACCAAACCCATCTCCCAGCAGTCCAGCAGACTTAACATGGTTGAGGGCCGTTTCCTGTCATGAGCACAAGAGCTAAGTCATGCATACAAATCAGACTAGTGACAACATGGCGACTATAATAAAAAAAAATCAAGTAGTACCTGCAAATGATTCATGACTGTTTCTATAGATGCAGAGCGATCAGCACCAATTTCATAAGACCTAATGGAGAAATTCTGACGGAAGACAAGGCCGTCCTGAACGATTCTCCCCAAACCGAAAGGATCCATAATCATGTCAGAACGCCTGGGTTTCCAGTCAAGCATCATCCACTGTTTCTCAGCAGCTAAGAAAATCGTTGTGATGGCAGCAAGAAGCATGCTCCAGTCAGGTAGCTGGTTGATGAAGGTTCTAGGTGCGGGATGTGAGGTCTCAGTGTCAGTCTTCAAGAGCTCTACTGAACCTGGCAAACCAACCTTCTTCCCATTTATCTTGGGTGGAGCCTGGGCGTTCGGTTTAACCTTCATCCTGCCAGAGTTTGGTGTCGAACCGAGTCCGGCGAAATTCGTGGAGCCAACCTTGTTGCCCTTTCCATTAGGATCAAGCGAGGGAGATGGTACAGGAAAGAAGGACGACGTAGCAGAGGTGGCCACCATGACGAGGAGAAGAGCGCTCAAAGACACTGCCACCCAAAAAAAAGCTTATTCAGTGAGTTCCTTTTTATTTAGCATGATTTATCACAAAGTAATCTCCAGTTAACCAGCAAGTTCCCATAAACGAACTTAATCAACACAAAAATCAATCTCTCTCACACACACACCAAATTAAATAAATAAAACATTTTCTCCTTGACAAAAAGAAGATACATACGCGAATTCTGAGCTAATCTAGCTCAGACACTGCCACATCCGAGACACGAGACAAATAACTAGAGGTTGAAACGAAATTCTAGTTTGTCAGCTACTCGAATCCTAATTGCAGAAAACAAGCCGTAGAGAGCCTTTTCACAATATTCGCCAGCTTGTCCTCAAAATCGCTATTTCATTTCAACCATTCAACATTCAGGAAACCTAATTTGACGCAGGCAAAAAAAAAAAAAAAAATGCAGATCTGAATTCAAAACAACAGAGAAGAGAAGGAAAGTAACACCGATAGAATCAGATCGTAGAAACCCACTAAACACAAATTTAAAAATAAAAATGGTAATCGAACATCATTCTTCCTATCAAGCATCAAATGAAAGCAATCAGATGACGACTGCAAATCAGCGATGAACAGATTCAGATGAAGACGAACCTGAAAAAAAACAAAAAAAAAAAGGCGAGAGAGAGAGAGAGAGAGAGAGAGAGAGAGAGAGAGAGAGATCCTACCAGGTGTAAGATGAAGGAAGAAATTACAAAAGGTAACGCCAATTTGTCCGGAGTCTCCAAACCCTAAATTCTCCTTCTTCGGCTGTGCCTCCCTGGCTCACGATCTCCTTTCTTTTTGTTTAAAACTTTTTTTTTTTCAATAATTTTTCCCAATTCAGATTTTTTTGGCGATTCTCAATACTTTTTGGGGGAATAAATGATTAAAATACAAAATTGAGCGTAGAGAGAATAGAGAAAAAAGGGCGAGGAAGTCTGTAGGGTGGGTGAGAGAGAAATGTGGATGAGATGGCCGTTTTATATATTAGTATTTGCATTTGCCTTTCCTCCTCCCTTCTTCTCTCGTAGCACTTTCAAAACTACATTTCGTTTTTTTCTATATTCCCCATTTTGCCCTTTTCTTGTTACAAGATTGTTAACCTAATCAGGCAAATCTATTAATTTTTAATATATTTATTCACATGGACTCAAAAGTTCCTTCTTACAAATCCTAGCACGCAAAACTTGATTGATTGGCCTCCGTGGAAATTTCACTGGATTTGATTTCCCTCAAAATTGGCTAATCATATACAACAATTTTTGTGGAGAAAGAGACACATATCAGAATGTGTTAGCAGAGAATTGTCAATTTTGGCACCGACGCTTTGTAATAAGGAAGGAGTGGGCAGAGACAACAAGGTACATGTGCATCAATCTCTTTCTTACTTGTATTTATTAAAGCTGAAAGAAACAACATTTATACAAAACCTAACGTTACACTTTCTTAAGAGTTTTTTTCTTTTTTTCGTTTAACCATAAATAAACTTTGTACAGCGTTGAGTCAACGATCGGACTTTTAAATTCATTTCACCGAAAACATGACATAAATATTACGTATACATTAACATTTTAAAAACTACATATATACCCATCTTACCAGTTAATTCGTAAAAACGTTTAACAAAACAAGTAATTCATAAAAACAAAAACAAAAACAAAAAGTCGTGTAAGAAACAAATTATATCCGTTCGTAAGCCATAAAGAAATTCAGATACATAAGGCACTAAGAAACTTAAAATGAATCTAACATAACAATAGAACCAAATATTAGATTCACACTTTTAAGTTTTAACGCAGCATGAATGTGATTATGGGAATTTTTAGTTAGAACCGATATGAGCACAAAAGCAGAGAAACATTTGGAGAATAATATATACCAAGACCACACCACCTGGAAATACAAGCCTGGAGAATATAACTCAGTCTTGAGATATGCTCTACATGATGTTACGGGACCCCGTTATGCATAATTTATGCTGTCATTATCTACGTAATGCAATACGATACTTTAAAATTGTCTAAGGATACTAATGCTAATAAAAAGATTCAGTCCAGCAGGTTGTAGTTCCTTTTTAATTGTTTTTTTTTGGTTAAATAATATTTCTACAAAATTATTAAAAAATTATTTTCTCGAACAATATCGATCTTATTAATTATGTAAAAATGTAACTTCGAAATTCGTGATAAATTATCGACGTTAAAAAGTAAAAAAAAGAAGTAAATTATTGACATGTAAGTAAAATCTTAATATTTGCTGCGCCAATCAGGAAGGAGATGAGGAGGACAGAGGATAGAAGCGAAATGAGCTGATAAGGTCCAAATAGTGGAAAAATACAGTGAGTGAACCTTTCTTCCTTCCTATCTTCAAAAATGGCGATGACTCCTGTTGCCGCATCTTCTCCAGTCTCAACGTACAGTCTATTTCGCTCCGATCTCATATTTAAGCCACCGTTTCTCTCCTTCACCACCAAACGGAACAGAGTAGCGTCGTATCGGTTCACGGTACGTGCCTCCGCGAATGCTACCGTCGAATCCCCAAATGGTGTCGCTGCGTCGACCTCGGAGACGGAAAACTCCTCCTCCTACGGCCGACAGTTTTTCCCTTTGGCCGCAGTCGTTGGGCAGGTCAGAGAAATTGCTCATCGTACTAAATAAACTCTTGTTTGCTTCAATTTTATCTCAATTTGCTCTATCAAGTGCAGCTATGAATGTGATTTTTCCGGTCAGGTCACATTTTGGTGTTGTTTTTTTAGGAAGGCATAAAAACTGCTCTTCTACTTGGCGCGGTTGATCGTGAAATCGGAGGGATTGCTATATCAGGTCGAAGAGGGACTGCAAAGACAATCATGGCTCGAGGGCTACATGCGATCCTTCCCCCTATTGAAGTTGTTGTAGGCTCAATATCAAATGCTGACCCGGCCTGCCCAGATGAGTAAGCATCTTACAACCTGAAAACCAAACTGAATCTAGTTGCATATGGCTGCAGCAGTGTGATGCATTAATCCCAATCCTCTTCTCACTTCATACATTGCTGGCTTGTAGGTGGGAAGACGACTTAGCGGAGAGAATAGAGTACAATGCTGATAAAAGCATTAAGACTGAGATTGTCAAATCTCCTTTCATTCAGGTACATTTAGTTTCGGGAGCCATTGCAACATTACTGAAATAGTTTTATTATACTTAATACTTTTGTCATTCGTGTTATTCAGATTCCTCTAGGGGTCACAGAAGACAGACTCATTGGGTCTGTTGATGTTGAGGAGTCTGTGAAAAGGGGAACAACTGTTTTCCAGCCTGGTCTCTTGGCTGAAGCCCACAGGGGAGTGTTGTATGTTGATGAAATCAATCTCTTAGATGAGGGCATTAGTAATTTGCTTCTCAATGTATTGACGGATGGTGTTAATATAGTTGAAAGGGAAGGAATTAGCTTTAGGCATCCATGTAAGCCACTTTTGATTGCAACCTATAACCCTGAAGAAGGTGCTGTTCGAGAGCACTTGCTAGACCGTGTTGCCATTAACTTAAGGTATTTCTCGAGCTTTTGAATCAAGAGTTTGAAAATGTGGTATGTTTCCTTTGGGTAGCTAGTTCCTAGTTCTTTCTCTTTTTACATCACGATGTTAACTTTTGCAGTGCAGACCTTCCTATGAGTTTTGAAGATCGTGTCGCAGCAGTTGGAATTGCCACACGGTTTCAGGAACACAGTAATGAGGTTTTTAGAATGGTTGATGAAGAGACAGAAACAGCAAAGACGCAGGTATGTTCAAATTAGTTACTAGAGAAAGTGCCGGTACAACGCCCCATTAGCAAAAGTTGGATTGGGTGCTACAGCCTCTTATCAAAAAAATTACGGTCATAAGCCAGTGCATTTACTTTGACTGCAGATTATATTGGCTAGAGAATATCTGAAAGATGTCAAGATAACTAGAGATCAATTGAAGTACCTGGTTTTGGAAGCTGTCCGAGGTGGTTGTCAGGTGCTGTGCAAATTCTCAGTTACTTGTGTTTATGGAATAATTACTCTGTAGTAACGTATGCCTGGACGAATAAAGATTAACACGAAGAGAGGTTAAGATGCATGTAAGATAATGTCACGAAACAGGGATAGAAATTGGCTCACCGCAGGCAGAAAGATAATAATCCACTTTATGATCATATCACTATAATATGTCGAGTTTGGAGTACTTGGTACTCAATACTAATTGCTTACCTTTTTTTCTTTCTCGATGACTACTACATGGAAATTAATACTTCGTCCTCCAATAACAATTTTTTGATACAGGGACACCGCGCCGAATTATATGCAGCCCGTGTGGCGAAGTGCTTAGCTGCACTTGAAGGGAGAGAAAAAGTCACCATTGATGACCTCAGAAAGGCCGTTAAGTACTTTTATTTGGCTCATTTATTTATTGTTTCTTTTTTTTTTTCAAAACGATCAAACAAGCCATATATGTTTATATTTCTTGCTAACGTTTTAGTTGCCAACTTAGTTTCTGACCTGAATTGAGGTGCTTTTCTTGTGGCTAATTCCTACTACTTATCCTCAAACCTGTTCATTTTGGATCTTCTTTGATAACTTGAATTTCGCTATAATCTGTTACATTGAAGTGATATTCCCTCTGATTGACAGTGAGTTTCGTCTTTAACAGAAACTATAGTTGAACATCTTAACAGAAACTTTAACTGGCATTGCGGAATGACACTTTTTAATGATTTAGATGGAATATTTATTCTCCAGATGTTGATTAGCAAATGTGGTTCATTTTTAATAGGTGGAACTGGTCATTCTTCCTCGTTCAGACGTAGTTGAGACTCCACCTGATCAACAAAACCAACCACCACCTCCTCCACCTCCCCCACAGAGTAATGATTCTGGAGAAGAAGAAAATGAAGAAGATCAAGAAGAGGAAGAGGTCAGTGAATTAGGTATACATTATTGTCTCTTGTTGGACACACGAACTAGGCTCTCTAATCCTTAACCAATGTAGGATGAAAGCAATGAAGAAAATGAAAATGAGCAGCAAGAGGACCAAATACCTGATGAGTTTATATTTGACGCTGAGGGTGGTTTGGTGGATGAGAAACTCCTCTTCTTTGCTCAACAAGCCCAGAGACGCCGGGGTAAAGCGGGAAGAGCGAAGAATGTCATATTCTCGGAAGATAGAGGACGCTATATAAAGCCAATGCTTCCAAAGGTATGCACTCGAGGCCAATCTTAATCTGGATAGTTGAATTAATTGCAGAGAGATACGTTGATTTAGCCTTGGCTCCTTACTTGAGTCACTATATGCATATATCCTTTTTACTACCTTCTATGGAAGATCTCTATTCACACCTGAGTAGTAAGGCTCTCAAATGGCTACTTGAGTCTCGGTAGGGTCCAGTAACAAATTTTACAAATTTTCTTCTGACAGGGTCCAGTAAAAAGATTAGCTGTGGATGCAACCCTTAGAGCAGCTGCACCATACCAGAAATTGCGCCGAGAGAAGGACATTTCAGGAACTAGGAAAGTCTTTGTCGAGAAAACAGATATGAGGGCGAAAAGAATGGCAAGGAAAGCTGGGGCCCTGGTATTGAATCTTGTCCATGCATTCTTCTGAATTGTTTCTAACATACAGTACAGGCTTCAGTGAAAACAGAGATAATATCTGATTTGCTTCTGGCTTACCATTGTTGTATGGCAGGTTATTTTCGTGGTTGACGCAAGTGGTAGCATGGCGTTAAATCGTATGCAAAACGCCAAAGGTGCTACACTCAAACTGCTGGCAGAGAGTTATACTAGCAGGGATCAGGTAAAGCTTACTGTAATTGAACAGTAAACGTGCTTGTTGATAGTTTGAATGAATCCTTTGGGCCTTCTGATGAGACTCATACTCCAGTGATTGGTATAGGTTGCGATTATTCCTTTCAGAGGAGATGCTGCGGAAGTGCTGTTGCCCCCTTCTAGATCAATTGCAATGGCAAGAAATCGTCTTGAGAGGCTTCCCTGTGGTGGTGGTTCTCCTCTTGCCCATGGTTTAACAACGGTATGTCAAATATTATGGTGTTTTTCATCATTCTTGTGGGTCAGCATAATAATAACATCTAAGTTGTTCATAGGCTGTAAGAGTGGGACTTAACGCAGAGAAGAGTGGGGATGTCGGGCGTATAATGATTGTTGCAATAACGGATGGTCGAGCTAACATTACACTGAAAAGATCAACTGATCCCGAGGGTATTGCACCAGATGCTCCTAGACCCTCGTCCCAAGAATTGAAGGTACTAATAAACAAATTTTTCTGCAGAAAACACAAAGCACACAGATAAAAAAGAAAAAAGAAGCTTTCTAGAGGCAGTGATTACAACAGCTGATATTTGTGTTGTGATTTAGGATGAGATCCTGGAAGTTGCTGCGAAGATTTACAAGGCTGGGATGTCTCTTCTAGTGATTGATACTGAGAACAAGTTTGTTTCGACTGGTTTTGCCAAGGAGATCGCAAGAGTTGCTCAAGGTTGGTATCTGCAAGTTGATATCTTTTGTTCTTTATTTAAAGCAGACTAATCACAATGGACTGTCCCACCGTTTGTTCCTCTCAGGAAAATATTACTACTTACCAAATGCTTCGGATGCTGTCATATCGGCCACCACTAAGGATGCGCTATCGGAACTGAAGAATTCTTGACCTCATTTGTATGCTCTATGATTCTGGATCACACTGTATATTCTAATTGTTTTTTTGCCCTCAACAAATTTCATTCATTAAAATGATCATATGAAATGATGATATGTGTGTTTCGTGACTGATTAAACGAGCGAGCGACGATCACCGTTACATTGTACAATTGAATGAATTTTAGAGAAACTACGAGTCGTCACTATTTCTTCGGTCGTTAATTTTGTGGCGGTTAAACCGGCCTAGACCGAAGTAATAACAAAACCGGGATTTTTTGGACTCAGACTCGGCTACTCGGAGGAGAGAGAAGAGACGAACTGTGGCAGTAGGAAACCAAATTGAGGTTTCCGACTCCAAAGAGAAGAGATGAAATCACTTGGCTTATTTTCCACATCTCCACGGATTCGTTCGTCTCCATTTCTTTCTCTTTCTCGAACAAGTTTGAGTCGCGTTGCCCTAAAGATTCCACCTTCGCTCTACTTATCCCCTCCAAAGAGATGCGGTGGTTTTGTCCGTACGTATTTTTCAAATTCAGTGAAGAGCTCGAGTTCTGAGGGTTTATCGAATTCACATGGTGGAATCATGTCTAGTGCATCGATCAGTGTCTTGGAAGGTGAATCGATTAACAATTTCAAAGTACAAGTGGGCAGTCCTATCTCTCCGCGTTCTATCAATCCGTTGGCCAAGATGAGTCCAAGCGATCAAGCATTTCTTCTCTTGGCCTTCATCGTTTGCACGGTAAAGAAGATGACTGTGTCCGACTACTTGATATTGGTTAATTCGGACAATTTGCGGTCTAGCCTTCCTTTTGTTGATTCGTTGATAAATGACCGTGTCTTGTTTGTTCATCTCTTGATGGTCACTGTGTTGCAGGTTTCTGTGGCTTTTACAAGTTTTGTGATCGCAGCAGTTCCCACACTTGTGGTAAGTCTCCACATTTTCGCTTATTGTCTCAGTCCTTTTGCTATACTTTATTGCTTTCATCACTCATTTTTTATAAACTGTTTCAATTAGCTAGCTAAAAGAGAGTGTGCATGTAAATGGATTGAGTATTTGTAATATGCTATCAACATTTGCTGTTAGCACCAACTGAGAAAAGCTAAAGATTAACACCGAAAGGAAATATAACTAATGAGCAGCACAATGTAACAGATGTATCATTGAACTAAACTTCACTCACTCTTCTTTATATGTGTCATAGCTTAGGTTCAGCTATATGATTGGTTCCTTTTTTGGACTTTGGCTTTATTCAACAAAGAATGTGTAAATTTCAGCTCAATGTGTTTCTTGAATTCAGAATCTATTCAAAACCATTGTTTTTTATTATCCTGTCATATTCAGGCCATAGGTAGAGCTGCATCTTCCTTTGCTAAGTTAGCCGACACAGCTCGCCAGGAACTCCCTAGTACCTTGGCAGCCATAAGGCTCTCCGGCATGGAAATAAGCGACCTTACTCTCGAGTTGAGCGATCTAAGGTGATCACTAAAGCTTTCTTCCGGATCAACCTTAAGAAATTTTGGACGATATCATGATTTATGGTATGAGAAAATGGTTTCAGCCAAGAAATAACTGATGGGGTAAACAAATCAGCTCAAGCGGTCCAAGCAGCTGAAGCTGGAATCCGGCAGATTGGAACACTTGCACACCAGCAAACTCTCTGTAAGCTTCTCTCTCTCTCTCTGTTATTGGTGGCGACATTTAAGTTTGGTCAAAAATAAGCACGATCTAATGGTGAACCTTTTGATCATGGTTCAGCAATGATTGAAGAGAGAGCAAGCTTACCTGAAATATCGCTGCAACCTCTTGTGGCTGGTGCAGCCGAGAAGGCTTCTCAAGCAGTAGGCAGAGCAACCAAGACATTAATGAACACTATAACCGGAGGAGACAAGGATGAAGATTCCTTACATCTTTAGAAGCTTTCGCTTTAATTTTTGTTTTCTTTTTCTTTGTAAGTTATGAGAATTTTAAAGAAATAACGTGCGAGTTTGTTTCACCTTAGAACTTTCTTTTACAAGTGACAACATGGTATATCCTCTTGTTGTCGTGTAATTTTTTTTCAATTCGTTGATCATTGGTATTTGCTAGGCTTCCTTTTGTTTTTCAAGCAAAAAAAAAAAAAGAGAAGATTAATTCCAACTAATTTCCACGTAATTAGAGTGGCTGACAATGCAAATATTGGAAAAAGTGAGATGGCATTGGGCCAAGTTTAGGCCCAATCAACAGAAAGGTAGAACAATGTCAGCAGAGAGTCAATCCTTTTGAGAAGCTTTATCCGTTTCTCTCGTCTTCTTCATCCGCCATCACCAGTTTTCTCTTACACCTCTCTCTATCTCTACAATCTCATCAACGGCTTCCACTTCCGCCTTCAATGGTCAGACTTAGCTTTCGAATTTAGCCGAAAACGAGGATGTCTTCTTGTCTTCTTCCTCAGTTCAAGTGCCAACCTGATTCTTTCTCTATCCACTTCAGAACCTCTTACTCCGTCTGTAAGTATTCTCTTCTCATGTTGAATTTTTTTTTTTTTAATCCAGAATCTTCCTCCAACTTCCGCTTCCTGATTGGTTTATCTAAATTTTGTTGGATAATGTATTTGTTAGATGTGAGTTTAGATGCTTTAGCTTGTAATTCGTTCAATGTTGCAATTAGATGTGTCCAAGTATATCTTGTGTCCGGTCGATATTGTTATCGAAATCAGTGAATAGATTCATAATAATTTGAAGAATGTAGCAGTGAAAAATCCAAAATTATGGGTTAAGAGCTACGACACAAGCTGATACTAGGGATTTTGTAGACCCAACAACACCCAGTGTAAATTGTTAAATGTTCAGACCAGTACGAAATTGTAAGTTAGACTTGACTAGGAACAGGTTTTCAGGAAAGTGCACGCATATTTTTTGTTACAAATATATGGATGTGATGATGTGACACACTTGTTGGAACTTGCAGCAAAACACAATAAGGGTCCGGTCTTCTTCCAGCCCCAATGTGCAGTATCCACTTCACCGCCGTTATTAACTTCTATGCTTGATGTGACGAAGCTTAGACTACCCTCTTTCGATACTGATTCAGACTCCCGATTATCAGACAGGCAATGGACTTATACAGGAACCATCGAACCTTCCACTGAAGTAAGTAATACTCTATGTCATCACGTCTAATGATGCCTCGCAAAGGTTCAGTGAGATTATCGATCACTTCTTTGTAATTTTGTAGGCAAAATATTTAGAAGCTTTAGCCTCTGAAACACTTCTCACAAGCGATGAAGCAGTAGTTGCGGCAGCAGCAGCTGAAGCAGTCGCCCTTGCGAGAGCCGCTGTCAAAGTTGCGAAAGATGCCACCTTATTTAAAAACAGTTACAACACGAAGCTATTAATTTCATCATCGGCCGACAAACGCTCCAAGTGGGACCAGTTCACCGAGAAGGAACGTGCTGGCATATTGGGACATCTAGCGGTTTCAGACACTGGAATTGTGAGTGATAAAAGCACTGCACCTGCACCTGCGCCTGCACCCGCACCTGAGTGTAACAACGAGTTGTCTGGTGATTTGAAACCAGAAAAACAAGAAGTTGAGCTTCTGGAGGAGCAACTCTCAGTGAGTTCAGCAGTGAGATCGACACGCCAAACTGAAAGGAAAGCACGGAGGGCAAAAGGGCTAGAGAAAACTGCATCAGGTTTGCAATCTGTGAAGACTAGTTCGAGCTCTAGAAAGAAACGTGCTCCTACACAAGAAGTTGACCATAATGATCCTTTGCGTTATCTAAGAATGACAACAAGCAGTTCCAAGCTTCTCACTGCCAGAGAAGAACAAGAGCTGTCTGAAGGAATACAGGTTTGTCACTTATACTCCAAATTCTTAATTCTACTTCCTTTTTCTCCACATCGCTCCTAATAGGTAAATAAGAACTCACCCTTCTTAGGTTTCTAGATTCTGGGGAAAACGATGTTTGAAAATGATGAAATTCTATGTAAATTTTCTTATCTTCATTATTGTGATTTCTTGATCACAAACTTTGGGTCTTTCATTTAGGACCTGCTGAAGTTGGAAAGGCTTCAAGCAGAGCTTACTGAGCGTTCTGGCCATCAGCCAACCTTTGCACAGTGGGCTTCTGCTGCTGGAGTTGATCAAAAATCTTTAAGGAAACGTATACATCATGGCACACTATGCAAGGACAGGATGATCAAAAGCAACATTCGTCTCGTCATTTCGATTGCCAAGAATTATCAAGGAGCTGGGATGAACCTCCAAGATCTTGTCCAGGTTTGAGTTTCTCGCTCCTTATTTTTTTTTTAAGAATCACATCTGTTACACCACTGAGGAAAAGTGATAAAAAAAGTGAACATTTTACTAACAAAAGAAACAGTGAACCATCATCTTAAATCGAAAATGCTCACAGGAAGGGTGCAGAGGGCTTGTGAGGGGAGCAGAGAAGTTTGATGCTACAAAAGGTTTTAAATTTTCAACTTATGCTCATTGGTGGATCAAGCAAGCAGTGCGGAAGTCTCTCTCTGATCAGTCCAGAATGATAAGATTGCCTGTAAGTCATCCCAAAATGTTTTGTTGGTCTCTGTGAAACATTTTGAAACAAATGTTGAGGATTTTGCCTGATGATATAGATTTTGATGGGATGATTGGCAGTTTCACATGGTGGAGGCAACGTATCGGGTGAAAGAGGCAAGAAAGCAACTGTACAGTGAAACGGGTAAGCAACCAGAGAATGAAGAAGTTGCAGAGGCGACAGGACTGTCGATGAAGAGGCTCATGGCGGTTCTACTCTCTCCTAAGCCTCCGAGGTCGCTAGACCAGAAAATCGGAATCAATCTAAACCTCAAACCTTCGGTTTGTCCTCTTGTCAAAATGCACCATAGTCTTCTGCTTGTTTGTTCAAAAAAAAATAGTAATTGTGAGATGGGTGTGTGAAATGCAGGAAGTGATAGCAGACCCTGAAGCAGAAACCTCGGAAGATATTCTGATAAAGCAGTTCATGAGACAGGACTTGGACAAGGTGTTGGACTCGCTGAGTACGAGGGAGAAGCAGGTGATACGTTGGAGGTTTGGGATGGAGGATGGGAGGATGAAGACGTTGCAAGAGATAGGAGAGACGATGGGTGTGAGCCGAGAGAGAGTGAGGCAGATCGAGTCCTCTGCTTTCAGGAAACTCAAGAACAAGAAGAGAAACAACCAATTGCAGCAATACTTGGTTGCATAACCAAACCAATAATATTTATCATTTGCTGAGGAATGTTTTGTGCATAGAACCCGAGTATAATCATTTCACAAGCCAGTAATTAATTTTTTTTTAGCATTTACTATCTTTGTGGCGACCAGATTGGACCTTTTCTTTCCAAACCAGGCGAAATCATCTGTGTACTATGAAGGCAAAAAGAAACAATTTATTTGCACTTAAAAAGTATAAACAAATAGACATGAAAATTAGATGTTACCCACAAATATAAAGCCGATTTTGTTTATATAACCAAACCATTGGCACTAGTCTCCAGAAATCTAAATATGTTTTATAATCGAGTTTTTAAAGCTGTAAAACTTGAATTAATTTGTTTCATAAATTTTAGCTTTCATATTTGTTATACATATATTTATAGTGTAAAATTATAACAACTATATAATTTTTGAAATATAATAAGTTATTTATAGTGTAATTATATAACAACTATATAATTTGTTTGAAAAACTTTAAGAAAATAAATTTCTTAAACTTACGGGATATTTGGCTTAATTTCCCACACGGAAGACTCTCGGAGTCTTATCCGAATCAATTCCTCACATCCTTATATCTCTCTTTCTCTCTCTCTCTATCTCAGCTTCCCGCGGAGCTTTCAATCTTCGGTAACAATCGTCTCTCTCTCTATCTCTAATAATCTCTCCGATCTCATTTCTTCAGTTGAAATGACAGTGTTCAGCTTTTTTTTTTAGTATTTCCTGGGTTCGGAATTGTATACTTTCCCTATGTCGATGACCTGAAATCACGAATTGTGGCAACGTTTTACGATTCTTGGCTCCGTCTATTATATACCAGTTGCTTTTGATTTTTCACAGTTGATTTGTAGATTCTTTCTGAAAATTTTCAAATTTAGGAATTGGGATAGTAATGAGCATTTTCTGTGTTCAGGTATTGCCTCAGGAAGAGTAGAAGATACTGAGAAAGGCATGGCAGTAGCTACACATTGTTTCACCTCACCTTGTTATGACCGTATTCGATTTTTCTCTCGAGTCACAAGTTGTGATGGTAGTAGGCTTCTTCTAAGAAAGAGGATCAATACCACATTCTTGGTTAAGATTTTACCCTCTTCCCAAATCGCTGATCTAAAAACAACTGAGAGATCCTCACGTCCCGTATCTGGATTCAGGTCAGGAATCTCTTCTAAGGTAATCAATCAATTGGGTTTCTTTTTTTTGTTATCTCAAAACAAAAATCGTTTCTTTCCATGATTTCAACTCATGCTTTTCGCCATTCCTTTCATCTCAGCGAGTATTTGATATTGTGGCATTAACATCGAAGAATGCACTGAAAGAGCTGAGCACTCCACTGATGTTAAAGGTCGTTGGTGTTTTAGCCTGCGCGTTCCTCATTGTTCCATCCGCAGACGCAGTTGACGCACTCAAAACTTGTGCATGCTTATTAAAGGAATGCAGGTGAATTTCCTTACTTTGGATTCTCTTTTTTTTCCCATTTAAACAGACTGTCTGAACATATTGTGATGATGTGGATGTTGAATTCAGATTCTACCATTTGAATTGTTGAGAATGTGCCGGTTGTGTATGAATCTAGATGAAGCTGATTTGAGCTGATTATATCTCTCTGCCATAAGTTTATGTGTCTCACATTTTTCTGACCATATATAATATGTTAGGATAGAACTCGCAAAGTGCATTGCCAACCCTTCCTGCGCAGCCAACGTCGCTTGCCTCCAGACCTGTAACAACCGTCCAGATGAAACCGAGTGCCAGGTTTTGTTTTTAACTTTTTTTGTAATTTATCATTCTTAGGCAGAGATGTATATCTGCTTATGATCAGAGAAGAGACCAATGATTGTGCTTATTTCAGATTAAATGTGGAGATCTATTCGAGAACAGAGTTGTCGATGAGTTCAACGAGTGTGCTGTGTCGAGGAAGAAATGTGTTCCTAGAAAATCTGATCTCGGTGAATTTCCTGCACCTGATCCTTCTGTTCTTGTCAAGAACTTCAACATCGGAGACTTCAACGGCAAGTGGTACATTACAAGTGGCTTGAATCCAACTTTTGATACCTTTGACTGCCAGCTTCATGAGTTCCACGCAGAAGATGGCAAGCTTGTTGGAAACATCTCGTGGAGGATAAAGACCCCAGACAGTGGTTTCTTTACTCGGTCAGCCGTACAAAAGTTCGTGCAAGATCCTAACCAGCCTGCTGTTTTCTACAATCATGACAACGAGTACCTTCACTATCAAGATGACTGGTAACAACAACATCTTGTACACTTCCCTCCCACAAAGGGAAAGAGTCTTGCATTCTCTTCTTTAGAGCCTAAGAAGTTTTCTACATGAATCTTTCAGGTATATCCTGTCATCGAAGATAGAGAATAAACCTGACGACTATATTTTCGTGTACTACCGTGGGAGAAACGATGCTTGGGATGGGTATGGTGGTGCGGTTGTGTACACGAGAAGTGCTGTATTACCCAATAGCATTGTACCAGAACTTGAAAGAGCAGCGAAAAGCATAGGCAGGGACTTCAGCACATTCGTGAGAACAAATAACACCTGTGGCCCTGAACCTCCGCTCGTGGAGAGACTTGAGAAGACAGTGGAAGAAGGGGAAAAGATAATCGTAAAAGAGGTTGAAGAGATAGAAGAGGAAGTGGAGAGGGAAGTGGAGAAAGTCGGTAAGACTGAGATGACATTGTTCCAGAGATTAGCTGAAGGATTTAACGAACTTAAACAAGACGAGGAGAATTTCTTGAGAGGGTTGAGTGAAGAAGAGATGGAGTTGTTGAATGAGCTAAAAATGGAAGCAGGTGAAGTTGAAAAATTGTTTGGAAAATCTTTGCCGATTAGGAAGTTCAGGTAGAGAGAAACCCCCACACATTGTTGTCGAAAACTATATTATACATACCGTTTGTTCAGTTCATATAAGGTAATATATATCTTTGTAAAAACATTCATCAAATTCCATAACAATTTGGATACAGAACACAAAAGGATTGAGACATCCTTTACACTCAAGAAGAGGTGAAACTGGTAATGATGGGGATGACAACGATAAGGATAATCAAGAGCAGCACAATGATACCAATGCACATCCATTTCCTGCTGTTTTTCTGATGTTTCTTTGCGGTACTGAGCTCTTTAGCACCATCCTTGACGTAATGGCTCGCGTTCATCACATGATGCTCGATCTCATCCATCTGTTCACCTTGTGCTTCCACCATCACAGCCATATCCAGAAACACCTGATGAAGCTCTAACAAGCTCTTCTCTATCTCCTTAGCCGCATCGTACCTTCAGTGTTTAAACAAGTCAACAACAGCAAAAGCATTTTGGAATCAACGAATCACACTGTTTGTAAAGAAACAGTACCTGTCTTGAATCTCAACCACGGTTTCCAAGACTTTTCCTCTTCCGTGCTCCTGGATCGCTCGTGTGAGAAACTCTTCCCCTCCTGTGTTATCAGTGATGATCTTCTCAATCATCTCCTCATCTGGATACTCTCCAGTGACAGTGAAGTACCTTCTCTCAACAGTTTCCTTGTATTCACTCATCATCTTCTGCCTCAGCCCTTGGAACTCCATCATCACTTCCTTTAACTTCTTCCTCAGCCCGTTTGTCACGGCGATTCTACTCCTGTAAACCGGAGTTCCAGAGAGCCTTTTGATCTCCCTGTTCGCTCTATCCATCTCTTCCAGCTTCGATTTTATCGATTTCGCCTTCCTTAGACCGGACACAATCTCATTGGAGATCTTGTTACGCAGGGACTTCACCGACTCGGCCTTGTGCACACCTTTGCTCTCGTCGTTGTACTGCTCGATCCGAGCCAGCGTCTCGCCGATCAATCCCATTTCTGCTTTCACGTTCTCCGCTTCTTCTAAGAAAGAAGACAGATTCTCGTCCGTCTTGTTCGCCATCTCGAGATCAAGGTCATGTCCTGCTTCCAAATCCTTTATCGCTGCCTTTTTTAGGTCAACGTAACTCATGAACGATTTCGTCATTAGGTCGTTCATTTTATTCACCTGAAAAAAACTCAAATCCGTTATCTCAGATTTCAATTGACCAAAACAGATGTACGATTTTACTAGAATCAGAGACAATCGAGAAAAGTATCGGGAGAAATCAAATGAAACAAACAACATACCTGTGTGTGTGTGAGTGTTCTAGATCCAAAGTTCTCTGCCCAGAAGAATGTGAGAGTTTGAGAGAAAGAGAGAGAGAGGAGTGTGGTGATGAAGCTGGGTGAGTGAAGGATTTCGATTAGCGAATTTATCAATGCGGAGGAAGGAGAAAAGCTCTATAATAAACCCAAAAGGAAAATTAGCCGTTACAGTCTCTCTTCCTCCCCAACGGCTATATTTGCCGATGTATCCGTTAGATCGTACACTTGTCCATCGGCTTCTGTTCTTCAAATCTAATATGTTTCTTTTTTTCAATCAATCAATTCTTTCGTGAAGTATTTGAAATGGAAAAAGAATTTAGGGGTTAGATTGTAAATAAGTGATTTTGGCCGACTTGAGATTGAGACAGCATTTTTAATTTCGAAACTGGGGAAAAAATTAGGGGCTAAACTGTATTTACATATTACACAGCGCTTTTTGGCCGACTTGACATTGAGGCCACATTATTTTCTATACACACATTTGTCCATTGGCGATGACATTCACAAAAGATAAAGAGTTGCATTTGTCACCATTTATGAAAAATGTGGCTCTTGTGCTGTGTTGTTCATATTGGAAATCATATTGTATAGCTCTTTTTTTGTTAAATTTTTCTAAACTTTATTTGAGCCATCCAAATGAGGACATCAATAAATAAATATGTCTGTTTCAAATTTCAACCAGAGAAACTATCTTCAAAACAAATCTCTTAATTTTTTTTAATCTAAACTAAGGAGCTAATAAAACGGCCGTAATGAAGCGGTCGTTTAAAGAATCGATTTTTTCTCAATTTGTTAAAAAGTTTTGTATTCAACACTATATATTATGTTACTTTCGTTCCACGATATATTTTCGTTTCTCAACACTCCGACTTTGTTTTTAGCTACCGCTACGTGGAACATTAACTTTTGGTTTTTTCAAACACTCATATATAGTCCTCTTTCGATTTTGTTGTTTAGCTACAATTAAATATCTCTCTCTGAACGTTCTGCTTATTGTCATGAAGTAAGTGTATAGCTGTAAACAATAAGCTTAAAAAGGTGGGCTTTATGTAAATATATTAGGTTAGGATTCAAAAAAATGAATAAAGGGGGAAATGTGGTGGAGATAGTGAGGCCCACGTGGGTGATGATGTGTTGGCAAAATGGGTTCCTCAAAATCCAAATCCAAATATTCATCACTACTTTATGTTACATGTCGTTACACTCTCATTACATACGCAACACAACTTATTTCACGAGGCGGATAACCTTTTCATTTCTCTGCCATTCGTTCCTTGCTTTTTTTGTTTCTGGATAGAACATAATTGTACATAAATTAGTTTCTCTAATAACACTTTTGATTTCAGTTTAGATGAATTTTCGTATCACAAAAGTAACATTTTTTATAACAAAAAGTATTAGGAAACACTAACATCAGTTTGTTTTCCTACCAACAACATAACGAATTTACGACTTTGAAGTAAAGTAACTTACAGTATTGGTATCATCTTTTTAATATTAATATAGTAAATGATGATGCATTAGGACGTATACCGAAAAGACCAATGAACATTTGAAGTAAAAACGTTAGAATAGTTGGTTGGCTATCATCTTTTACCCATATTAATATAGTAAATTCTGAATTCTGTAAAGAAATTTCATAAGAGTAACTCCTCTTTTAATTAAATTCTTTTTTTTAAGTTTGTATTTGCACAAAACATGGTAAAAAAAACTTAATATCCGATTCCAAGTTTAGAGAAAATTTCGCAACCTTTTAATATAATCCGCGAGAAGTCGTGAACCTTATCCATTATTAGTTTTTTTTCTGACCGACTCCAACTCCTATCACTAATCCACCGTCAGATCCGCAATTTCCATATCCTAATCGAACGGCCAAGATCTCATAGCGTCAAGGAAAACAGTTTGTCCAGAAATGTCTCTTCACATCTTTCCCTTTCCTTTTCTTCATTTTTGTTTATAAATTTTCTAGTGGAAGAGAAAAAAAAAAAGCGAAACTTTGCTGGCGATTAAAGATTGCGGAGAGGACACGTCGTCTGTGTGAGAGAGCTGCCTTTTTCTTTTCCTTCTGGTAATTTTGGGTCTTTTCTCTCGTTCACGATTTTAGACTTCTCTTCTAATGGCGGAGGTGATTAGCAGAACGAGTTTGTTCTTCGGAGCTTGTGGGAATCACCACGTAGATGATTCCTCTGTTTCCCCTGTGAATTTTGCTGGGTTTGCTTTGAAAAACAGTTTCTCATCTCTCAAGCAGAAGCCTCTTAAAAGTGAATTCCATGGAAAACAGATCCTTCTGAGAGATGTTCAAGCCGAGAGCCTCAAAAGTAGCTTCCGATCATCATCAATCACAGCTCAGGTAATTTTCATATGCGCAGATGTTATAATAACTCGGACATGCGAGATCTAATTTCAAAGATGTCGAGAGCTAATTTATGAAACACTGTAGATAATAGTTTAAAAAAAAAGGATTTTCCTTTAATTTATGGGAATTTATTAGTGAAGTATCGATTCAATCTTGTTTAATCATGGCCATATGAGAGAATGCTATTGGTTTAAGGTTCCGATTCCGTTCATCTGTTTTCAATTTGATCAGTTGGGTTTTTCTTGGATCTGTCAAAAATGATCTGACATGTGTAAATGAATTCTTTCAGACAACGCTGAGGATTGGGACATCTCAAAAGTGGTGGGAGAAGGGTCTGCAAGAAAACATGAGAGAGATCTCTTCAGCGCAAGAACTCGTTGTCTCTCTCACCAACGCCGGCGATAAGCTCGTCGTGGTTGATTTCTTCTCCCCTGGCTGCGGCGGCTGCAAGGCTCTTCATCCTAAGGTATATATAATAAACCCACTTGTTGGATTCAAGATTACTTTTGAGATTTTGGAAACCAACAACTTTGATTCTTACCGTAATAGTTTATGAATTGTATCGCAGATATGTCAGCTGGCAGAGCAGAACCCTGATGTTCAGTTTCTTCAGGTGAATTACGAGGAGCACAAGTCCATGTGTTACAGTCTCGGTGTCCATGTCCTCCCGTTTTTCCGATTCTACCGAGGCGCTCATGGTCGTGTTTGCAGCTTTAGCTGTACCAATGCTACGGTTCGTTCTCATCCCCATTAGATCAAAAGACAACCGACCTATACCACCACCATGTTAGGTCTGATCTTGATCGTGGTTTGTTTTGTTTTTTTTTAGATCAAGAAATTCAGAGACGCATTGGCGAAGCATAGCCCAGATAGGTGCAGCCTCGGTCCGACCAAAGGGCTTGAAGAGAAAGAGCTTGTGGCACTTGCAGCCAACAAAGAACTCAACTTTAGTTACACACCAAAGGCTGCACCAGTTGAGAAAGAAGCAGCCATCCCCACTCCAAACCCAGGTCTCCCTGTTCCTCATCCATCGATGACTGCCAGTGACGAAAAGACATTGGTCTCCGCAGGGAGATGATGGTCTGGTTCTGAGAGCTAATAAACGTTTCTCTGTACAGTTTGCGTGATAGTAGTACTAGCAACTGGATATGTTGTTGCAGTACCTAAAGATGTCTGTTCTTGGAGCAGCCGGTTTAAATGGGGTTTTGTTTTTTTGTGTCACCCTGAGCAAAACCGGTTTGATGGGTTTTCATAGAGCAAGACCAGTGCCGATGGTTCTCGAGTTTTGCTCAGTTTCTTATGGATTGAGAGTGGAAAGGTCGTTTGGGCGCCGTGGAAGCTTTCTACTACAATCAGCTTCATTAGCATTTTGGTTTCTTTGTTTGTTTTTTTATTCCTAAGGTTTTTCTATGCATTCTGTGTATATCCAGTGAGGATTATTATGATATAATGTCATTATGGTTTCTCTATGGATGATGGTATCATATATAATGTTCTAAGGTATCATATATAATATTCTAAGGTCTTTTCTAAATCTCTTCTTTTACAATTTCTCAGTTGTATAATATTATGTGGTAAGGGTTGAATTGTATTGGTTACTTGATTCGAGCAATTTATTGGTTTAGGCTTTTTGTGAATTTAGGGCTCTCTAGAACAAACACTAGGTTATTGGTTTCTGTTGGTAGTCTCTATAACTATTGTCGTTTTTTCGTTGATAAGTTGAAAATGTTAGCGACGTTGAACAGAGTTTTCGATCCGAGAGAGAATTGAAAATTTGATGAAACGACAACCGTATTCGGAGACTGGGATAGCGATATCGCAAATGTGATATACCACATTTTTTTTTTTTTTGACAGAACCAAATCACCAGCATCGTCAGATTACAAAATTGAGAGATCTCTTTGAACGACAAAACACATAAGATTTCTATAAGAAGATTCGGAAAACTGGTAAAAACAAAATCCTATCAAAACCCTCCCAATCTTCATTAAGTTCATCCAAAACACACGTTGAAGGAATATAACCAGACATAGATAAAGCTTTGTATATTACCATGTCTTCGATTGTTAGATGAAAAGGGTTTCAAGGTTTATGATACAACACTCATTCTAGCATCTGATCAGCAGATCCTTTGCCAACGGCTTTCTGGCTTTTCTTCATCTTGCCTGCGCTTACATGTAGGCAATATCTTGTTACTTCCATGATCGGCTAAATTTTGCATCAAGTAAATAATAGGCTTTGAGATGATATGAGCATTTTTGCCAAATGCACAAGGATTAGTTACCTTTCTTTAGTTTATTGAGTTTCAAGGTCTTCTTCACGCTAAATTTTCTGGGGGGTTTCTTAGAGTCTTCCGATGCAGCTGAAACCAGAAAGAAGAGCTTAGCTTCTAGTTAAGCAAAAAGGTCAAATTAAAATAAAAGTCACAAAGTGCAAAATGAACAGTTTCATGGAACATACCAAAACAATCTAGAAAATTAAGACATATCAAAAAGCAGCACAAGGTTAAAAGAGATATAGGCACATAACAGGCAAAATGATCTTCAGATTTTAAGTGTATATAGTCCACATTGAAGAAGAAGCAACAGAGTTTCAGCTCAAAGTTTGTTCCAAACTAAGTGATAGTTCACCAATCGAATCAAACAAACTTAGTTGAAGTCGAGATATCAAATTAGCACAAGAAAAAACTCAGTCAGGATGGGAATTTACCGTCAGCAGAAGCCATCTCCACATCATCCATGGTAACAAGACCCTTCTCCACCATATCTTTCTGCTCCTGTTTTCAATCAATAAGGACTCTCTACTTAATTATGGAAACTAAATCAACATAAGCTCTAATGGCCATGAAAGAGAAGAGACGATAGAGAAGGAAATTCGTACTCGGCGCCATTTTCGAAGGAGTTTTCTCTGACGTTTTCCGGAGACGGAGACAACCGGAGCTCTGGTCTTCAATTTATTGGTGAGGGGATCGCCGTGAATAGCTCGCTTTCTGTTCGCTTTCGCCTCTCTCTTCTGCTTAGCTATCTCGTTGAATTTCGCCATCTCACCAGAAGCTCGCTCTCTCGCTTCAACGCCACCCACTAGTTTAAACCTAAAACAACTACTCCTAAAACCCTAAACTCCATTTTTGGGCTTTTTTCCATGCCGGCTCTTAGTAACATTCACTTGGGCTTTTTCACTATCTTTTATCTATTGTCGAACCGCCTATTTATTAAAACTTGGACAAAATCATCATTTGTGTCGTCAATTCATACGTGAGGTGGGGGTTAATATCTAGTAATAGTTGTCTCAAACCAGTTTTTTTTTTTTTTTCTTTTGACTAATTATTAATCATCTTTAAAATGAAAATAGTTAAAGTGAGACATTCTCTGCCCATGTTTCACTGTCCCATTAATCCCTAATGAGGACAAAGCTTTACAAGTCACTCAGTGTCTTATGATTAGCTTTATATAAACCTCAAGATCCCAGATTTCTTCACTATTATTTTAATCTCATATCGGCACTTAGTTGTTTGATGTTACACAGGTCAGCAAAAATAATTTTTATAAAACTTTTAGGATATGGTTAGAAATTACTGCTTCTCGAGTTTTCGGCTTCGACTTTATGCTACAGTTTGGATTTGGGTTTGTTAATAAACAAACTTAGCACCTAATTTAGTTCAGATGCGGAAGTAAATAAAAGGATGCTGTATACAATTCACACGAACATATATGAAAAACATCAAAATAAAAACAACATTCGCATTGAACAAAAAGAAATCATATCATTTCTTGTATTTCTTATATTTACATATATTTACATATATTTACTTATTACACATACTGTAATTCTTTTGCTAATGGAATTGGTTATATTATTCCACCGATAGAAAGAAACACAATCATGATAAAATAATTAAGAGCAATTAAAATAAATATAAGATTCTAACTAATCATTGTTTTTTAGTTTTTGCTTTCCACTCTTCTATTATCATCTTCGCTTCAGGATCTTCAATCTCAGTTGCATCATTTCGTTTTTGAAAATGTCATACTATTAGTCAAAAGTAAACAACCAGAAGAGAAAATGGCGATTCCTCCTCAACTTTTCTTCCTCTTCTGTTGCATTGGTTTCTCTCTTGGCCCTTTTGTTTCTTCTGAAACACTTCAAAGTTATGAACAAGAGATCTTATTAGCCATTAAGTCAGACCTGTTTGATCATTCAAATAATCTCAACGATTAGAAGAGACCTCAATATGCCACAGCATTTACGGCGCCGGTTCATTGTAACTGGACCGAAGTTCACTGCGATTCAAATGGTGCCGTGGCTAAGCTTCTTCTCCCCAACATGAATCTCAGCGGAAACATCTCAAATCAGATTCAGAGTTTCGCTTCTCTTCAAGTCCTTAATCTCAGCAACAACGGATTTGAGTCTTCTCTTCCCAAGTCTCTTTCTAATCTCATTTCATTGAAAGTCTTCGACGTGAGTGTGAACTGCTTTTTTGGAAGCTTCCCTTATGGTTTAGGAAGGGCCACTGGTCTTACACACGTCAATGCCTCGAGCAACAATTTTTCTGGGTTTCTCCTACGCAACTACACTTGAGGTTTTGGACTTTCGTGGAGGTTACCTCGAGGACTCGGTGCCTTCTTCTTTCAGGAATCTCAAGAATCTCAAGTTTCTCGGTCTTTCGGGTAATAACTTCGGCAGAAAGCTACCAAAGGTGATTGGTGAGCTCTCTTCATTGGAGACCATCATTCTTGGTTACAATGGCTTCACAGGCGAGATTCCAGAAGAGTTTGGGAAGCTGACGCGGCTTCGGTACCTCGATATGGCTGTCGGGAACCTTACGGGTCAGATTCCATCTTCTTTGGGGCAGCTGAAACAGCTTACAACAATTTATCTCTACCAGAACTGTCTCACAGGGAAGATTCCTCGAGAAGTTGGTAATATGACTTCGCTTGTGTATCTGGATCTGTCTGATAACCAGATCACAGGAGAAATACCTATGGAAGTAGCTGAGTTGAAGAATCTGCAGCTTCTGAATTTGATGAGGAATCAACTCACGGGAATCATTCCATCAAAGATTGTTGAATTACCAAATCTTGAGGTTCTTGAGCTGTGGCAAAACTCTCTTATGGGTTCCTTACCGGTGCATTTGGGCAAGAGTTCGCCATTGAAATGGTTAGATGTCTCATCAAACAAGCTAACAGGCGAAATCCCATCGGGATTGTGCTACTCTAGAAACCTCACAAAGCTCATTCTCTTCAACAACTCATTCTCAGGTCAGATCCCGGAGGAAATCTTCTCATGTCCGACTTTAGTTCGTGTTCGAGTTCAAAAAATCTCATTTCCGGAATGATACCAGCCGGTTCAGGTGACTTACCAATGCTTCAGCATCTAGAACTAGCAAAAAACAACCTCACCGGTCAAATTTCAGATGATATAGCATCATCTACCTCACTCTCATTCATAGACATATCCTTTAATCATCTCTCATCCCTACCATCAGCCATTTTCTCAAGTCCTAATCTACAAACCTTCATCGCCACGCATGACAGTTTGGCCGGAAAAATACCAAACCAGATTCAGGATCGTCCATCTTTGTCTGTCCTCGACCTTTCCTTCAACCATTTCTCAGGCGAAATCCCAGAAAGGATTGCTTCTTTTGAAAAACTTGTGAGTCTAAATCTTAAGAGCAACCATTTGGTTGGAGAAATCCCAGAGGCATTAGCTGGGATGCACATGTTAGCTGTTCTTGACCTCTCAAACAACTCTCTAACGGGGAATATACCACATAACTTGGGAGCTTCTCCAACACTGGAGATGCTAAACGTGTCATTCAACAAACTCGCAGGACCCGTTCCTTCAAACGGGCTGTTTGCAGCTATAAACCCAAACGATCTCGTGGGTAACGATGGTTTATGTGGTGGAGTTCTACCTCCTTGCTCCAAGAGCCTAGCTTTGTCAGGAAGAGGGAGAAATTCAGGGAGGATTCACGTGAATCATGCAATCTTCGGGTTCATTGTTGGAACTGCAGTTATCTTGTCTCTGGGAATGATTTTTTTGGCAGGGAGATGGGTCTACAAAAGGTGGGATCTTTACAGCAACTTAGCCATAGAGTATCTATTCTGCAAACAACCACATGAGGAGTGGCCGTGGAGACTCGTGGCTTTCCAGAGACGGTGTTTCACTGCAGGAGACATCTTATCACATATCAAAGAACCAAACATCATTGGAATGGGAGCCATGGGGATTGTTTACAAAGCAGAAGTCATGAGACGGCCATTACTCACAGTAGCAGTGAAGAAACTCTGGAGATCATCATCACCACCGAGCGATATCGAAGATCATCATCATCATCATCAAGAAGAAGAAGAAGAGGACATACTCAGAGAAGTGAACCTGCTTAGTGGTCTCCGACACAGAAACATTGTGAAGATTCTTGGTTACGTTCACAATGAGAGAGAAGTGATGATGGTGTACGAGTAGATGCCCAACGGGAACTTGAGAACTGCTCTACATTCGAAAGACGAGAAATTTTTACTAAGGGATTGGGTCTCGCGATACAACGTCGCCGTCAGAGTCGTTCAAGGGCTCAATTACTTGCACAACGATTGCTATCCGCCGATCATTCACAGGGACATCAAATCTAACAACATACTACTCGATTCAAACCTCGAGGCGAGGATAGCGGACTTCGGATTGGCGAAGATGATGATCCACAAGAACGAGATGGTTTCTATGGTGGCCGGATCCTACGGGTATATAGCTCCAGAGTACGAATACACACTGAAGATTGACGAGAAGAGCAACATATACAGCTTGGGGGTGGTGCTTATGGAATTGGTGACTGGGAAAATGCCGATAGATCCTTCGTTCGAGGAATCGATTGACGTCGTGGAGTGGATTCGGAGAAAAATGAAGAAGAACGAGAGCTTGGAAGAAGTGCTAGACCCGAGCATCGCCGGGGAGTGTAAACACGTGATCGAAGAGATGCTTCTGGTACTGCGAATCGCTCTTCTCTGCACTGCGAAGCTCCTGAAGGACAGACCATCGATTAGAGACGTCATCACGATGCTCACGGAGGCGAAACCACGATGGAAAAGTGTTTGCCACGGCGCCGGAGATATGCCGATTTTCAAAAATTCTCCGATGGTAGGACTGATTTAGAAAGACAGAGACGTAAGGGTATTTTTGTCATTCCAGCAGCCGAGGCCGAATTTTAACCTTTGGTTGCAAGAGGTTGGGTCAAAATCCCGTAACATCATCATCATCGACTCCATTCCAATGTATTTCATTACTTCCATTCCAATCCCATGTTTCCTTTTCATAACTAATGGGGATAAATCCAGGAGGTATTGAATTTTTTACAGGAGCAAATAATATTCAAGGGAATAAACTAAATTTGTAAATAAATCATTTTAAAATAATATTGGATAATCGATCTCTTTGGTCAAATTTTATAAATCATCTTAAAATAATAGTTCTGAACAAATTTGCTTGTATTGTTCTATATTAAAAACAATATTAGTTACTTTTATTTGTTTTACATATAATGTTGTCATCCGTCTTCATATAATAAAATTTTGCTTTTCGTAGAAATGATAGAATAGACACATTATTTTAGGAATATGATTTTCATGTGAAACTGTGAATTACTAAATTTTATAATAAATAATATAGTATGATATCTTTTTATTCTATAAAACGAGAGTCAGCCTCATGACCCATTTCTTTTACTGACCCTTTCTGTATTTGCGAATAGATAAAAAAAAAAAAAAAGGCTGTAATTTTTTGTTTCCAAAGCCGTCGCGTGACTCGCGTCCCATGGGTGTGTATTTTAAACATCTGAAACCAAACAATCTCGACACGTCTCACCGCGGTGAACCGTTTCGATCCCGACCCTCCGTTGCCGCCGATTCCGCTCCCTAACCAAACCCTAGCAAAATTCTTCTCTGATTTCTCCCTCTCCCTCTCTCTCTCCCTCTGCACCGGAGAGTTTCTGCCTTCGCACTAGGATTCCCCCACTGTTGGTAAGCCTCTTCGCCGCAGCCTTAATTTTGTCGTCCTTTCGACTCGTGGCTTTCGTTTCGCGCACTCCTTTCTTCTTCATTTACGCTTTTTGTTCCGTGCTAATTCAGTTCCGTTTTGCCACAAAAGAAATGTCTGTCCCGCTTCTGCTATCAGAGTGGAGTGGGTGGTAGATCTTTGGAGTATTTAATCTTCTCAGTCTTTAGATTATTGGGCATAACCTGATCAGACCTTGTGAACAATACCTGTCCACTGAATTTATTACTTCCTTTATTACATTTCGGTTTTCCTTCGTAATTTCAAACTTTCTGTGGTAGGAGTTATATGAATTTATGTTCCGGTCTTAGGTTTCAACTAGAATCCGGTGATTTGGTGATATCCTCTTCACAAATAATTGTCTGAGGCGGTTATGCAAACTGTATATATACCTTTGACAATATCTTGTTCTCGATTTTGGCAGACTTATGACTTAATTAATCAGGAGGTGTGCTTAATGTTTTGATTATTAATGCTGATTCTGTAGGTAGTGAAGGCAATTCTCAGATATGGAGGCAAGAGAGGAGAGTGCCAAGGATAAAGATGAAAAGCTAGAGGAAAACGAGCATCCGATGGATATTGATGAAGAAAAAATGGAGGCAGAACAGGAGGTGATAGAGGCGGAGCTTGAGAAGGTGGATGCAGTTGTTGGAAGAGGGGAGCAAAATGATGAACGGATGGAAGACAAGAACAATCAAGATGAGCAAAAAGATGAGGAGGTGCTAGATGCCGATATTAGATCTGAAAGTTCTGTTTCTGTTTCAGATGAAGAGGAAGAATATCTTTCCGGACATGATGATGAGTTGGATCGTGAGGTAAACAACTTGGATATCTCTTGGTCATTTTTCTATTGTGGCAGCATGACGGAGAAAGAGCGTATGTTTATCTGATATAGCTTTTAACAATTATTATGCAGAAACCTCTGAGTGAGGAAGAAATAGACGAGTTAATTTCAGATCTTGTGGGAGTAGAGAGTAAGGTACTTCATCTCTTTCTTTTCTTCAGTGGAGATCTTGATACGGCCGATTTAACTTCCACCTCCAAATCTCACTCTCTGTGATTCCGCATTGGTCTTAAGGCTGCAGAAGCTCAGGAAGCACTTGAAAAGGAGTCTCTTACTAAAGTAGAGAGTGAAGTTAGGGAGGAATTAGCACAGACACTCCACGGTGATGAGGTTAATTACTTTTTTCTCACTATTATAGCTCCGGATTCCTTTGTTCTCTCCTATTAAACTTCTTAGAGTGCGCCTGTTTTAGCTTGAGAAAGCCGTAGCGGCCGAAATGATGACTTTTAAAGACGAATGGGAGGCAACTCTAGATGAGCTTGAAATCGAAAGTGCAAACTTGTTGGTATGTTCGCTTTTTCGTCCCCATTCTCCACAAAATTCAATCGAAAGGTTTATTTATCATTCAAAAGGAACTTACGCATTTTGCCCCCCTGTTGTTTCTTTCTCAAAGGAGCAACTTGATGGTGCTGGAATCGAACTTCCAAAATTGTACGAAATGATCGAACGTCAAGCCCCTAGTGGTTGCTACACTGAAGCTTGGAAACAAAGAGCGCACTGGGTTGGGACTCAAGCAACAAAAGAAACTGTGGAATCATTGGCTAACGCAGAGAATTTTCTTCACACTCACCGGCCTGTTCGAAAGTAGGGTTTGTTTATCTTCAGTAAGTGCAATTACTTCCAGTGTCATGGATGGTATATCTAAACATTTCCTGATGTAGACGACATGGAAAACTTTTGGAGGAGGGAGCTAGTGGGTTTCTGGAGAAAAAGCTTGCTGATGATGCTGTTAAAAAGTGTATTGCTGGAACATCTGAGATTGACTGGCCGTCTCTCAACAAAGTTTTTTCGGAAAAAAGGGACGACGCTATTTCCTTTGGTAGTAAACATTGGGCTTCTGTTTACTTGGCAAGCACTCCACAACAAGCTGCAGCCATGGGATTAGAATTTCCGGGAGTCAATGAGGTTAAAATTTTATGTCTTTATTTTTCCTGATAGTTCTGATGATGCTGATGATGATTTGCATGTGTTTCATCTGATGAATTTTCTTCACTTCACGTAAAAAGCGTTAGCATGACATCTCCTCCATTGACGATTTTACTTGGGCTACTTACTTTTCAGGTCGAGGAAATTGAAGAGATTGATCCAAGCTTGGCAGACCCTTTTCTTGCTGATGCAATAGAAAATGAAAGAGAACTTGCCCTTACTGAAGAACAAAAGAAAAATTATACAAGGGTAAATCTTTTGACTTATGTTCTTCGATTTCTGTGAATTTACATTCTACTTTTGAACGTATTACCTTTTTCTGGCTGCTCTTTATGTTCCTGCTTTTGTAGAGTTTGCAATGAAATCTATATATTTTTTATACTATATAATACTACTCCCAACTCCCACCTTACCATTCATCAGCTTGAGTATGACGTTAAATCACCAACAGGTCAAAGAAGAGGATGATATAAATATTGATCGTGAACTTCAACTTCGTTTGAAACGGAAGAGGCGCAATAAAAGATCTAAACAGGTCTGTTTTGCATGTTCTTTCAGTTTCTTTTGGTAATGTAGCATATATTTGACTGAAGACGTCTTGGTGTTACAAGAGTTTCATCAGTTATTATCTTTAGGGGAAACCATTCTCAGTGAGCCTAGTTCTTCTACAATTTAGTCTCATATAGTTTACGTTCTGCTGTAACTTTCTTCTAGTTAATATTAATGGTTTCTGGAAACTGCCTGTTATTTGGTTTTTACATCTTTTTGCTCGATTGTCAAGTGATGGTCTGTCTTATGTTAAAACCGAGATTTTGAAGCCTAAGATTAGATTACTAGTGAGGCCTGCGGTGCCATGGGTTTTGTTGGTCGGGCTCACGTTGCAGTCTTTATTTGGTTTTATTTCAGGTTATCAGGCCCGCGGCAGAGAATATGGATGATGATTCTTTGTATTTGGATGGGAATTTTAAAGACCAAGTTAAAAGCCCGGAGACTAGCACTCAGTTTCATAATAATGAAGTCAACAAAGAGGAAAACGGGAGTTTGTCTAATACAGATGTAGATAAGATGGTACCCATCACAGATTTAAACGCAGATACCATCAGGGATGACCCACAGAATCCAGCAAGCAATTTTAGGTGTACTGCCTGTAATAACGTAGCTGTGGAAGTGCATAGTCATCCTCTTTTAGAAGTAATAGTTTGCATGGATTGCAAACGTTTAATTGAAGACAGAGTTGCTAAGGTATGTTTTTCGTCCTCCAATTTTATGGGACTTACAATGTATTTGCGTATCTGTCAGAATTTAGCTAAATATTCGTTCCATATATTTCCCTTTCTAACTAAAACGTCGACTGCTACCAACAGGTTGATGACTCTTTGGAAAGTCACTGTGAGTGGTGTGGTCACATTGCTGACTTAATAAATTGTAGGTCATGCGAAAGATTTTTCTGTGCATCATGCATAAAGAGGAATATTGGTGAAGAATACTTGTCTGAAGTTCAATCTTATGGTTGGGATTGTTGTTGTTGCGCTCCAATTCCCTTGCAAAGATTGACACTGGAACTGGAGAAAGCCTTGGGAGTTAAGAAATCAATAGAGTCCAGCTCTGATTCCAGCTCTGATTCCAGCTCTGATTCTAGCTCTGATTCCAGCTCTGATAACAACTCCGTTGATACAGATGCTGATGACAACGTACCAATAAGGTATTATTATATACATATTTAGCGGATATAAAGTACCGCATGTTTCCAACTAATTTTGATTTTTATTTATTTATTTTAGCTCGAAGAAGAAATCGAAAAAGAGAATTCGGCGGATAATTGATGATGCTGAACTAGGGAAAGATACGAGAAGAAAAATCGCAATTGAGAAGGTGTTAACTTGTCAACAGTTTTTTTTTTTTTGATACATTGGTATACGAACTTTGAAAATGTCTTTAATGTTGCTCATTGTACATTTGGTTCTGTCTTTTTGTAGGAACGACAGGAGCGCCTTAAGTCCTTGCAGTTTTCTGCCAGATACAAAACAAGCTCTATGGGAGACGTGAAAACTATTCCACAAGGTGCGGAAATTGAGGTTCTTGGTGATGCTCACAGTGGTTACATAGTGAATGTGGCTAGGGAGATTGGTGAAGAAGCTGTGAGAGTTCCTCGTAGCACATCTGCCAAGCTGAAAGTCCATCAGGTTAGCACTAACATATGTGCATTCGTTGCTGAGCCCATCCATCTTCATAACATACTTCCATCTCTCTTGTCACCTGTACTATTGGCCATTAAACATACCCATTTCGACTAGAAGTGCTTATTATGAAAATAACTTTTAAGTTGGGTGGCTTCTATTTCAGGTTACAGGGATTAGATTTATGTGGGAAAATATTATTCAGTCTATCAGCAGAGTGAAGTCTGGTGATAAAGGTCTTGGGTGCATTCTAGCACATACAATGGGCCTGGGGAAAACTTTTCAGGTGTTTAATTCTTTTTCATGCACGATTCTGTTGTGTGCCTCTATCTTATGATCGTCCTATTTTACTAAGCATACTACTAATGGCATATTGTTAAAACTGGCTCATTATCTCTTTTTCCTCTTAAATCTGTTAGGTTATAGCATTCCTGTACACCGCAATGAGATGTGTTGATTTGGGGTTGAAAACTGCTCTTATTGTGACTCCTGTTAATGTGTTGCACAATTGGCGAAGTGAGTTTATGAAGTGGATGCCTGCAGAAGTGAAACCACTTCGCATTTTCATGCTTGAAGATGTCTCAAGGTATAGATTCTTCTAATGAAAGAAGCTTTTGGTTGCAGATTTTCTATGTTTCCAACTTTGCTCACAAGACTGAATGGATCTAGTCGCTTATAAGAGAATATAGGTGCAAGCTGTCTCGTCCATCAGTCTCTTACTGTCAAAATGCTTCCTACCAATTTGTCAAAATGGTCCATATTGTCAAATAAATTTTGTTTGGCCTATGTAAGCTGTATTTTTGGTGACAGTTTGTCAACTCACTTCCTGCACGAATGTTTTTATTTAAAGGGAGAGGAGATTGGACTTGCTAACGAAATGGCGAAATAAGGGTGGAGTCTTCTTGATGGGATATGCCGCTTTCAGAAATCTTTCTTTTGGGAGGGGGGTGAAGGATTTAAATGCGGCCAGAGATATCTGTAATGCCTTGAGGGTGAGACTAATTTCACTAGCAAATTTATTTATTTGTATGTTAAGGCATTTGTTTTTTTCCATGTCCTTCCGCTTGCAATTCTCTGAACCTATGTGGCTGCAGGATGGACCTGATATACTTGTTTGCGACGAGGCTCACATTATCAAGAACACCAGGGCTGACACAACACAAGCATTGAAGCAAGTTAAATGCCAGAGAAGAATTGCCTTAACCGGGTCACCCCTTCAAAACAATCTCATGGAATATTATTGTGTAAGTTACTGAAGGACCATAGAAACTTGTGAAGTAACTTCTTTTTAGCCCCAGTTTCTTATGTTATGTCTTTACTGCAACAGATGGTTGATTTTGTACGAGAAGGATTCCTGGGAAGTAGCCCTGAGTTTAGAAATCGGTTAGTCTTTACTACCAGTGGTTTATTATATGGCTATCTGCCTGTGATCATGTGATATTTCTGGAGTTTTAATCGTGCATCTCCATGCCTGCAGCTTCCAGAATCCAATAGAAAACGGACAGCATATGAATTCAACTGCGGAGGACGTTAAAATTATGAACCAGAGATCACACATCCTGTATGAGCAATTGAAAGGATTTGTGCAAAGAATGGATATGAACGTTGTGAAAAAGGATCTGCCACCTAAAACAGTCTTCGTAATATCTGTCAAGCTATCGCCCTTGCAGCGGAAACTGTATAAGAGATTTCTTAAGCTGTATGGGTTCAGCGATGGAAGAACAGATGAAAAGATGAGAAAGAACTTTTTTGCTGCTTACCAGGTCTTGGCTCAGGTACAAATGTATAAATGCCTTCCTTTTTTTCCAGCTTAGATGCTAACTGATTTGAGAGAAATAAATATTGATAATCCTCTTCGGCGATTTTATTTGGTATCCGTTTTCGTCTTCTGATTCCTCTCTGGTTTTGCGTTTTCCAGATTTTGAATCATCCAGGGATTCCGCAATTAAGAAGAGAAGATAGCAAATACGGGCGCCGTGGTAGCATTGTTGATATCCCAGATGACTGTTCAAGTGATGAAAATATAGACTGCAACATGGTTGTGGGAGGTAACTCTTAATTCTCACTGCTCACATTTGAAGTTCTGTTAAAATAGTTCGAAGAACAGAAAAAGAAATAGAAAACGTTGGATTGTGCCATGGGCATGCGCATGATATATATTTTTGTAACAACAACAATCTCTGCACGCAATAGCTTAGTGAACACTGATTCCAGCACCGTGTATGTTTTCAAGCTTCATCATATTTGACTGAGCATGCTGGAGTGTTCTTTGTTGATTTACATCTATAACAAGTTCAATAACTCGTGTCATTGTTGTTGTTTTGGATGGCAGAGAAAGAGAGAAGTATGAGTGATTTGCAAGATAAAGTTGATGGCTACCTCCAGAAGGTAACTATAGTCTAGTCAGTTTGACTCAGTTAGTAATTACGATTTACTGGCAACAACTTCAAAGTAAACAGCATAATAATGCTCTCGTGCTCTGATTCTAAACCTGTCGTTGTGCCAGGATTGGTGGGTCGACTTACTTCACAAAAGTAATTATAAGGTGTCGAACTATAGTGGCAAAATGATTTTGCTGTTGGATATTTTATCCATGTGTGCTGATGTGGGTGATAAGGCGCTCGTGTTTAGCCAGAGTATCCCGACATTGGATCTCATAGAACTTTATCTTTCGAGAGTACCTCGTCATGGGAAAAAAGGAAAGTTCTGGAAAAAAGGAAAAGACTGGTATAGGTTGGTATCTAGTTCTTTCTTCTTAGCATGGTTGTGGTTTGAACAACTATGACGGCTCTAACTTCCCTTGCATGGTTGCAGAATTGATGGAAAAACCGAAAGTTCAGAACGCCAGAAGTTGGTTGATAAGTTCAACGAGCCTGAAAACAAAAGGGTGAAATGCACTCTAATCTCAACCAGAGCGGGATCCCTTGGAATTAATCTTTATGCTGCTAACCGTGTGATCATCGTTGATGGTTCATGGAATCCAACCTACGATCTTCAAGCTATATATCGAGCTTGGAGGTATTTCTTAGACTACTGATTGAATTAAACTTTGTGAACATAGCAATAAGAAATGTGGCTTAGCATCATGTCGACTTGTTGTTTGCAGGTATGGCCAAAAGAAGCCAGTATATGCGTACAGGTTGATGGCACTTGGAACTATTGAAGAAAAAATTTACAAACGACAGGTATTTGGAAGATCTAAAACATTTTTTTCCTTTCAGTATTTCGTTCTTTTAAGGGGACATTGATGAATTCAGATATGTCAATGTGATTAGGTGACCAAGGAGGGGCTCGCTGCGAGAGTGGTGGACAGACAACAAGTGCACAGGACTATCTCCAAAGAAGAGATGTTACATCTTTTTGAATTTGAGGATGATGATGATGAAAAATCTGACGCCGTAACTGAGACAAGCAAGCAAAAAGAAGCGGCAGATAGCCCAAACACAAGAGTCGTGATGGAGAAGAATTCACAGAAAGACAAGGCCACTTCATCTCGTGTCGGTTACTGCTCTGACAAATTGATGGAGAAGTTACTACAGAGACATAACCCCGAGTAAGTTTGCAAGAGTAAAACCATATTCACAATCTGTGGTTTTCTACGCTACTTGCTTTTATGACACTCGTATCCTTTTCTTTTTTCTAGATGGATTTCGAGCTTCCATGAGCACGAGACACTGCTACAAGAGAATGAAGAAGAAAGATTGACAAAGGAAGAAAAAGACATGGCCTGGGAAGTATTCAGGAGAGGGCTTGCGTGGGAAGAAGTTCAGAGGGTTTCACTCAGCGAAGCTCCAGTGCTCCAAAAACCTTCGCCGTCCGCACAGGTAGACCCACTACGCCATCCAAGGAGTTGGAACAGAAGTCGTTTTGCACCAAACCGCAACTGCACTAGGACCGCGCATCAGCTTACACTCATAAGCCAAGGAATAAGAGTCGGTAGGAGCACGGTCTGCGGGGAGTGTGGGCGCGTCGTTAGGTGGGAAGACGTTGTACCTCCATCCCAATTTTCAGAGGTTAACCAAATGAAAGGGATTAGTACCAGTTGAATTTCCTTATAGGTTATAGATGATTCAGATTATAGTTCCATTGCCGAGATCAAATCAGGTTATAGTTCCATTGCCGAGATCAAATCAGTGCGTTTAGGGTTTTAATTGTAATCATGCGGAAACTTGTGTCCTGTAAATGTCAAGTGATTTAACATTTTGCTGAAATGTTATTGAATTTTGGTGGGCCATACGCAACTGCAAGGTTTTGTTTGTCCATTTTGAATTTGTGAAGCACTATTAAAAAAAAAAATGGATAACCAGAAGAAATGTGACAAAGACACTGAGACCTGCTTGTGCAATTGGAGAGGCCTAAGCTAATGTAATTGTACCATTGCGACATATAGAAAACTTAGTTTCCTGTACAAAAGGCCAAAAAGAAAAAGAAGTAACAAAAGAAAAAGGCTTCGAATACGTTTCTACATTTCTCTCAAGAGTATCCATTGCTTCAGCTTATCACGCAACTGATGAGCCTCGATTCCCATCTCTTCCACGCCTTCAACTATTGCGGTACATATCGCCTCATCAGGCTTACATCCACTTGTTAGCATGATCTCAACAACCTGTATCGCCATTTCCATCTCTTTCTTCTTGCATAGCCCTTGGATCACCAACTTGTAAGTGCTCCCTCTGATCCCATTCCCTCTGTTGCTTGTCTCCTTCAAAACTTGACTCGCTTCTTCCACTAGGTTTGCCCTGCAGAAACCATATATCAAAGATCGACGGGTTATATCATCCGGAGAGATCCCAGCCTCCACCATCTGATTGTACAGCTCTAATGCTCTCTCCATCAGACCTTTTCTCGCCAACCCATCGATTACAGAGTTGTAACTGATCAATCCTGGAGAACACCTCGTGTTCCTTAGCAGTCCAAGTAACTCCACCGCCTCGTTGACCATCCCCTCTTTGGACATTGCCCCTAGAACCGTATTGTAAGTGACAATGTCAGGGGAGCACTTCTGTTCCAGCATCTGGTAGAAGAAACCGATCGCACGGCCCAAAAGCCCGGCTTTGCACAAACCGTTGATCAGGATGTTGTAAGTGATAACCGTGGGAGAGTAGCACGTCCGGTACATGATGTTCAGGATCTCGTCCACTTCATCCCAGTACCCGTGGGAACAAAGGGAATGTAGAAGAGTGTTGTAAGTCACGGTGTTCAGCTCCAACCCATGGGATACAATATGCTGAATAACCAGAGCCACCTCCTCTAGATTCCCTCGCCTGCAGTTATAGTTGACCAGCGAATTATACGTGACAATATCAGGATAACAACCTTCCACCGCCATGTCCTCTAAAACCTCCATAGCTCGAGCGCTTCCACAGTACCTGCACACGAGCTCCACCAAAACCGTGTATGTAATCATATATGGAGGGCAGCCATTACGCAGCTGATCCTTCCAGAACCTAATGGCTTGCTCTGCATTCCCATTGTCGAACATACACCGAATCACTGTATTGTATGTGATCACATCTGGAGGGCTCCCACTCAGACTCATGTCCTGTAAGAGGATCAAGGCAGATCTCAAATCCCTTTTCTTGCAAAGATTTCCGATGACCATGTTGTAGGTAATAGTATCTGGAACCCCACCAGACATCACCATGATTCTCAGGATACCCATTGCTTTATCCATGTGGTCGATCCTGACCAGACCACGGACTAAGTTTGTGCAAGAAGGAAAATGAGGAACCTGGTTGTGACGTGCCATCACCTCGACAAGTTTGCACGCGTCTGTTAACTTCCCGTAGCTGCACAGGTTATGAAGTATCTCATTGTTTGTCTCTTCTTCGTTCTCGGTTAGTGGCCCATCACATGATAGAACCGAGGAACCTAAATGCTTCCTCGATCTCACTTTGTCTCTGAAGTTATTACCGACACCATTGTGATGGAGTTCTGAGCTTCTCTCCGCAAGATCATCAACATGGTCAATGCACACAGTGCTCTGCAAGCCGCGGCATCTCATTTTAGCATCCCTTTTCAGGCCAATTGCTTTCTTCCAGTCTAAAGATGACAACTTTCCGCAAGATAAGGGATTCACCAAACGGACTCCATAACAGAGATTCGTCTGCTTTGGAGACGAATTTGGAATATGAAAGAAGTGAACCTCAAGTAGCAAGTTTGATGAAGCCATCTTCTAAGAATCCAGAAAACCAGGTTAACAAAGCAGAGATTTTTCCTTTCACGAAAGCTTTGTTATGCTCAGTGATGAAGAAGTTGGACTCAGAAAGCTTTGCTGTTAGGATGTTGAATGTTTATAACACAAATTAGTCTTGAGTGGAGAAACCAAACCTGTGAAATCCAAAAACCAAACAGAATTGGTATAAACAATCCAAAAGAAATGCACACAATTTTCAGAGACTGAGAAGAAGAAGAAGAAGAAGAAGAAACAGATTCGAACAAAAAGAAGCAGGATATCCTCAAATTTGAGCAGGCATCTTCAGAGAAACTTGTTTTTGCATAACTAATCTGGAGAAATGAAATAGACGAGTGTAAGAAACTCACCGTTTGCTCTTCTTCGATTTCGGGACAAGGCTGTGCGGGTTTTTTTGGGGTTTGATATGATAAGTAGGGTTTATCCTTAATTTATAAACTACACCCTCTATCTCTCTACATTTTTCAATTGCTTCCCAATACTTTTTTAATGTGTACTTGGTACCACTATTTCCGTCAGTTCAGATTTTGGATTGGGTTATTTAAAGTTTCGGGTCGAGTCAAATTCTAAAACTAATTAAAACCAAACAAATTATGATTTAGTTATTAGATTTTACTTTGGATTTAAATTTATTTAATCATATTCAATAATTTACCAAATAGGTTGATACCGTTCACAGAGTAAATTCACTAGACTTACAATGGGTGAGAGCTTCATTTCTATTTTTAATAATAAGGTAATTTCCATAAAATTTTATTATTTATTAAACATTTCTAAAAATTGGTTTTAGACTAATTTAGTATAAAATTATACTTGTATGCCCGCAAATCTTAATCTGCTATATATGAAATATATTACATATTATCTAAATTAGTAGTGATTTCCTTCTTTCATAAGTATATGTTAGAAAAATATGTGTGGAGGATATCCGGTAATGTCCACCCGTGAATAAAAATGTCAGCCAACAAGTGATAAACAAACCCAAATTATATAAAGCCACAATTATCTTTATTAACTTGTTTAAGAGATTTAATGCTTTTATAATTTATTTGGTTACCCTTTTTATGGTTGAAACAAAATTGCATAGGAAATTGCATCTGCTTGCTTTTGAAGCGTTATAACTTATAAGAAGACATCTCATACAGCAGAAGTTAGGAAACCCAGAAAATTATCAAAGCCATCAAGCCACATGTTTCCTCTCATATGATCTTAAATTTTATTGAAAAGAAAAGAAAAAAAAAAGGTGATATAAGTTAATCTAACATTAACCAGTGAAAAAAGTTATCCTTTCTGCTTGTTTTTGTTGTTCTTATTGTTTCTTCAGAGATTTAATATCACAATACCAAACATGGACCTGTAGATTTTAATTCCCAATTTACCCTTTTCTTCTTCCTTCATCTGATTTTGTGGCTTTTTTTTTTCTGGGAATATGGAAAAAGGTTGGTTTCATATTTGGACTTTTGTGGGTGTACCTTTGATGTTTTTTATATTTTTTATGCAAATATGGAAAAGGACATGCGATGTTTCTTCATCAATTTCGTAGTAATCCGAATCTTTGGTCGAAGTTAGGATAGATCTGATGAAACTGGATTATTTTATAAAAGGTGCACTAATTGCAATTACTAGGGTTCTCTAGATCTTTGATTCCTGCTTGATTTTGTACCGATTCTGAGTTCTGATTTGCTGAATCTGGGTGCACTTGATGGAGCTCCAGCTGTTTTGACCATCTAATTCAAGGAACCCTAAATTCAAGACAAAGGCTATGTAAGCAATTATCCTCCTTTTCTATGGGTCTTTCTTAAATTTTGATTGAGATATTTAGCGATGAAACGTATATATTTTTATGGAATCCTCTACTTTGTCCTTAAAATCCGTATTATTATTGTCATTTGTTTTTTTTTTTTTAAATATTGGTTGTGTGATAGATATTCTTGAGGCATGATCCTTGAATTGCTATTGTTGGCACAGTAAGTAATGGGGACAGAGCTAATGAGAATCTGTGTGAAAGAAGAAAGTGATGAATTACCATCTGTGCCTCCTGGGTTTGAATCATATGCAACCTTCACCTTAAAAAGGGTAGTCCCTTCTCCTGGTGGTGATAAAACCAAGACTGCTGTTTCTGTTTCCGAGCTTGCTAAGATGGACATCGAATCCGACGAAGCCAGTGCTGCTCGCTGTCTACGGCGTAGGCCTTGGATCAATTATGGCGGATGTGATGATGATGATGCAAACAATGACAATGCCGCTTCTCAAGATCTTGATCAAGTTTGTTCTTCGTTTTGCTTTTTCTTTCTTATTGCCTAGCAGCTTGTGTTTCTTTGCCTTTTTTTTGTTTCTCATACATGGCGTCGTCGCTGCAGAACTGTGCTGCGAAGCCTTCCCTGCCAAAAGGTGTGACCCGGGGATGTGAAGACTGTAAAGACTGCCAAAAGGTTAATGCTTACTTCAAAGGCGTTGGATGTCTTACCTTTTCTTGTAATGTTGTTGTTGCATAACCACGCTCTAACGTCATATTCACAGGTAACTGCGAGGTGGCATCCAGATGAAGCTCGTAGGCCTGACCTTGAAGACGCCCCTATATTCTACCCGAGCGAAGAGGTCTTGTCTTGTTTACATTCTATACTGTACTTCCACCTTTTAAATGCATTTCTGCATGGATTGATCCATATTTTTGCTGACATAAACTGCAAACCTGTTTCTAGGAGTTTGAAGACACTCTGAGTTATATAGCTAAAATAAGACCGAAGGCTGAACAGTATGGAATCTGTCGCATTGTTCCTCCTCCTTCCTGGAAACCCCCGTGCCCGCTGAAAGAAAAGCAAGTATGGGAGGGTTCTAAATTCTCGACGCGTGTCCAAAGAGTTGATAAACTTCAGAACCGGAGTTCAATGAAGAAGATTTCAAAGCTTTCTAATCAGATGAGGAGGAAGAAAAGAAAGTGCATGAAAATGGGAACGGATTCTGTCACTAATGGCAAGAGCGATCCTTGTTCTGCAAGCCCCGAAATGAGTGAACTTGAGACGTTTGGATTTGAAGCTGGTCCAGGGTTCACTCTAAAAGACTTCAAAATATATGCTGATGAGTTCAAGGCTCAGTACTTTAAAAAGAGTGAAACTTCTACAGACAATGAACGTAAAATTGATAACTCCATAGACTCCTGGGAGCCAGCAGTTGAGGATGTTGAAGGCGAATATTGGCGGATAGTAGATCAAGCAACTGAAGAGATTGAGGTGAAGTTTTGTTCCCCGTTTTCCCTTTTATATGAAACTTTTATGGTCTATTATGGCCTATATATTTCCTGACTGCTGCGTTGATTCTTCCTGTAGGTGCTATATGGTGCCGATCTTGAGACGGGGGTATTTGGTAGCGGATTCCCCAAGTTATCATCAAGTCGCGAGGCTTCTTCTTCAGACGAAAAATATGCAAAATCAGGCTGGAACTTAAATAACTTTTCAAGGCTTCCGGGATCTCTCCTTTCGTATGAGGGCAGTGATATTTCTGGTGTCCTTGTACCATGGTTGTATATTGGGATGTGCTTTTCTTCTTTCTGCTGGGTAAGATTGATCTCTGCGAGTTGCATTGCATGTTAAAGCATATACTTAGTTGCGTTACCTCCGTTTTACTGAGACCATACATAGGCTCATAATGAAATTTACACACACTGTATACCTGTTCACAGATGGTAGATGATCTTGGTTAAATGTTGTGTTATCCTTTTTCCCTGTTTCGTAAAGCTAGACTAGTATTTTTTGACTGAATTTCCGAAATTAGTAAGGTTGAAGATACTTTTACCATATGAATATTCTGAATGAAACTGAAAGTATTGCCATGTCAATACATTCCGCATATGGGGTTCTTCCTAAATGCTTTAGTGTCTTCTTATCATACAATTTTGTTACTCCAGTTAACGTATTTTTCATTACCCTTATTAATATTTTCCATTACTGACATACCTTTTGTTACTGCTTTTGTTTTTGTTTCCCCGAAACAGCATGTTGAAGATCACCACTTGTATTCGTTGAATTATATGCACTGGGGTGCACCAAAATTGTGGTATGGTGTTGGGGGGAAGGATGCTGTTAAACTTGAGGAGGCGATGAGAAAGCATTTGCCTGACCTTTTCGAAGAACAGCCTGATTTGCTTCATAAGCTAGTAAGTCTTATATATTTGATGAACTGAATCATAGCTTTGCTGCTCTATAATCACACAACGGGACGTATACAATTTCTTATTTTGAATACCTCACGGAATATAGGAATTTTACTTGTGCTAGCAGCCTATTGATCCTGGCTCAATCATGTCGATGTTTTTACTCAATTCTTATATTAGAATATGTCAGATATTAGCATATTCTGTGGCTACCCTATAGGAACATATAGATCATTTTTTTTCTCCTCGAGTTTAATGCATTGCTTTTACGTCACTGAGTTGTTTCAGTATGGTTACATAACATAATTCCTTTGATGCTCTTTTATGTAGGTTACGCAACTCTCCCCGTCAAAACTGAAAACTGCAGGAGTACCTGTGCACCGTTGTGTCCAGCATGCTGGAGAGTTTGTCTTGACTTTTCCTCGGGCATATCATGCTGGGTTTAATTGTGGTTTCAACTGTGCTGAAGCTGTGAATGTAGCACCAGTTGATTGGTTGCCTCATGGGCAGATTGCCATAGAGTTATATTGTCAACAGGGTAGAAAAACGTCCATCTCGCATGATAAATTATTGCTTGGGGCAGCAAGAGAAGTAGTGAAAGCCGACTGGGAGCTGAACTTACTAAAGAAAAATACTTCAGAAAACTTAAGATGGAAAGTATTTAGTGGCAAGGATGGAATTTTGGCAAAAACGCTCAAGGTATATATATATAGCCTATCTCTTGTTTCTTGAAGTTAAGATCAACAGCTTATAAATGTGAATGACCTGAAAATCTGAAGTCATTGTTATTTGTACAGTTAGCACCAAGGCAGAATATAAATAACTCTTGATCTGTCAAATTGGGTAATTAATTGACTTTGTCTTGATTTTATATAGGCACGCGTTGACATGGAGCGTACAAGAAGAGAATTTCTCTGCAACTCTTCACTTGCATTGAAGATGCACAGTAATTTTGATGCTACCAACGAGAGAGAGTGTTGTATATGCTTCTTTGATTTACACCTGTCCGCTGCTGGTTGCCGTTGTTCCCCAGAGAAGTATTCATGTTTGACTCACGTGAAGCAGTTGTGTTCGTGTCCGTGGGTTTCTAAATATTTTCTATTTCGCTATGATATCGATGAACTGAATGTTCTTGTTGAGGCCGTGGAAGGAAAACTTAGTTCTGTATATAGATGGGCGCGTCAAGATTTAGGATTGGCATTAAGCGAACACCTCTTAGGAAGCAAGACGGAGATGGATGAGGAAATAAAGGTGCACAAGGACCTGAGTCCACAAGCAGTTGCACTTTCAGGGGAAGATTTGCAGCTGAAAGTAACATCCAGTAAAGATGTAAGTAAAGGGTTGGAAAAGACGAGTAAATTACCAGATGTTGATTTACTTCTGGAAGACAAGGAAGGGGAATTAATACCAAGCCACTGTATGAAGCCTGTCAAAGAAGAAACTGTTCATGATTCTTCCGTGTCAAAAGTTTCAGTTTGCCAACCATCTGAAGGAGGCATGCTCTCTGTGAAAGCTGTCAAGTCTGCAAGTGGTAAAAAGAATTCACAGAGTCTACCCGATGATGTGATACACCTCAGTGATGATGAGCATGGCAGACCTCGGAAACGAGGTTCTGTGAGAAGAGATGCAGTTTCTTGTGGGAAAAAATTGGAACTACGAGACAGACCAACCCACGTTTTAGCTTTAGAAGCTTCTAATAAAATTGCAGCTCCAAATTGCCGAAGGGAAAGAGATTCTTTGCCTGATACACGAAGCACTAAATCATTAGCTACTAATGAACAAAGAGCAACGGGAGGGGATGTACCAAGTTCTGCATTGCACGCGGAAGTTAGTGCCGTGGCTGATGGGCTTGCTCAGGATATATGTAATAAAAGGGACTCTAACAACCACAGTGGTGGAAAACCGACTAGCTGTAAATCCAAAAACACTGGAGGTTTGGCTATAACGGATGTGGCTGATGGGGCAAGAAGTAATTCAGGTACACCATCTTGTTCGCAAAATAATAGTCCGGATAGGGTCATCCGCCAAAAGGGTCCCCGTATTGCAAAGGTCGTGAGGAGAATCAATTGCAATGTAGAGCCTTTAAGTTATGGATGTGTGCTTTCTGAAAAATCATGGTGCAACCGCCGAGCGATTTTTCCTAAAGGTGAGCGTTGGTGGTCAAGTAGTTTTTGCAACAACGTAAACAGATATATATATTTCGCTGGTGCTTAATCTTTATTCTTCTTTGGTGCAGGATTTCGTAGCCGGGTTAGGTACATAAATATTTTAGATCCAACAAACATGTGCTTCTACATTTCAGAAATTCTGGATGCTGGACGCAACAGTCCGTTATTCATGGTAAATTGATTTCTTCTTTGCTTCTACTCAGTTGGTTTATTGATGCTGATCTAATTTTAAGAATGATATCAACCAAAATCGGAATTGTGCATTGCCTTGATGATTGTGCAGTTCAGAAAATCTTTCTTACTAACAAAACTGTATGGTATGTTCTTGTTGTCAGGTTTACTTGGAGAGTAGTCCCAGTGAGGTGTTCGCTCACTTGTCGCCTACAAGATGCTGGGAGATGGTAAGAGATAGAGTAAACCAAGAGATAAGTAAGCAGCACAAAGCCGGAAAATTAGATCTTCCTCCTTTGCAGCCCTCTGGGAGTCCTGATGGTTTTGAAATGTTTGGATATTCGTCACCCGCGATCGTACAGGTAAACCCATTTTTGGGATTTTCTCGTCTTCTATGATACCTAGAAAGAGTCTGATTTGAAAATGTAAAGCTTCATTTGTAAATCTAGTTGACAGATATGTATTCTACTCTGATTGTGATAAACAGGCTATCGAAGCATTAGACGTGAATAGAGTTTGCACAGAGTATTGGGATTCCAGGCCTTATTCGCGGCCACAAGTTCAATTCCCGGCAAATCCTCTTCACAGAGAATCCAACACAAGCGTCCATGTGAGGAATCTCCAGAAAGCCACCGGACAGGGTCTATTGCATGCTGGAACAAAATCTACTCTCAAAGTTCTGCTCAAGAAAGCCAACATGGAGGAACTAAGCTCACTTGAACAGGTATTAAGTGAGTCTAACAAAGATTTGGTGACGGAACTTGTTAAGGAAGAGATCCAGAACCGTAGCTGATCTGATTCGAAGGGGGGGTTGATTTTAGTGTGTACATACAGAGTTGATGTGGCTCCCCCTGCTCATTCTTTTTGGACACCCTTACAGAGGAAGGATACATATATAACTAAAAGCCCTGTTTCTCTTCTTCTGTCTCCAAACCCAAACCAACAAAAAAAAAGGAGAAAGGATGAAGATTTTAGGGTTCTTGAAACCATTAGTTTTTGGTTACCTAGTCGGACTTAAAGGATGATCATGTGTGGCCGTGGGGGGTGGGGGGTTGGTTTCTACATCACTTCACTAGTATTGACATCTGTTTTGAAAGCCCTAAGAACTTTGGATTTAAAGAGAATTAAATATCAACGCCTCTTAATGACCATGTTTTGTTTCATCTCTCACTTGAGCATCTGGATACTTTTAATTTTTTTAAGTGCAGTTTTTTTACTGCACCACAAGTAGACTAATCACTTTTCTTGTGACAGCGAGTGTTAAATCCATTCCACTCATATCCGCCTTTTCTCAATCATCTTCATACCATGGCTTATGTTATGTGTAAGATGTAAAACAAGAAACGATGATAAAATGGATGAAACGAGGGTGGCAAATCCATTGAGATCCTTATGATTATAATTTAAAATTACATAGACGAACAATATTTATAAAAAAAACAAAAGAAGGAGAAAACGCAACAGGTTTGGCCACTTTAGTTTCAGCTTGGTTCCTGGATTGTTTGCACTAAAGGCAGAATTTTGAAGCACGGTCTTTTCAAGAAGCTCAATAAGCTCATGCGGCAAATCAGCAGTCATGAATGCTTTAACAGCTGCAGAAACTTGATCTGGGCTCTTGCTTTTGGGTAAAGCAGTAGACACAACTTGGTCAATAAGTTGTCTTCTATATTCATTTTCTTCCGTAAGAACCTTCTCCCAGAGGGCACCATTCATCCTCTCCACTACATACCTGCAGTTGGGAAAACCACGTATAAGCAATCTACAGAGTAACCACTATGGAATAAGTGAGAAGTTTGGTAAGTAATAAGCAAATACCTGGCTTGTAACTTGAACAAAGAGTTCTTGTTGGTGACATTGATGAGTTCCTCATCACATTGACCTCTTCGGTACGCCACAACAGCCAGAGTAGGATCACGTTTCTCGCAGTACTTATTTAGAGTCGTAGTAAGGGGTTGGTGGTCAGGAAATGCTCAGGGTTGTTGTTAACTTGTTACTGTCTATGATAATTTCTGAGAAGGAAAATACATATTAGAGCTTTCAAGAACAAAGGGGCATACTTATGAAAGAAAATCAAGATAACTAAAAGGATTCACACCTCTTCTCACATTCCTCAACAAGGGGTTCAACCGGTAGCAATGAGCCAACAGAGAGAATGAGGCCTTTTATATAATCTTCAGGGCATTCATCATTGCCCCACAACTAAGGGAGCATTCCCAGGGTTCACCTTCATAAGAGATCACACGTTAAAAAAATTAATGCAAAAAATTGTCAGACTTTCAGGCATTAACAAGTATTCCAAAGAAACTTCATACCTTCTCGACGTAACCTTCAATATAACGAAGCATGTTGTTCGTTCAGGCACAAAGCCAAAACGATCGCAGACATTTATCAAAGGTCGCGCATCAGGAAGCTCAGCTTCCATCAATATGCCAAAACCATAAATAATATATTTCTCACCAAAATTATAAAATTTTGTTTTCTTATAAAAACCTCAAAATCAAATTTTCTTTCCATAACCACCGGAAACCAGAGCTTTCCTGCCAAAATAAAAAAAAATTGCAGTTTTCCATCATATCTGCAAAATCATAAAATTACATTTCTTACAAAACGTCATTTTTCGTTGATGTCGCAAAAATGAGTTTTCTCACCAAAATTGTATTTTTCCTCAAAATTATTTTTCGTCAAATTTTGTTTCCAAAAAGTCTGTTAATTTGTACTATGTTAGAAAAAATTATTTTGATTATAACTTGAAAAAAATCTTTGATTATAACTTTGAACAACAAATTGCAACCAAAAATTGCAACTTGAACAAAAAAACCAAAAATAAATACAATTAAAAAAAAAATTCTTTGTATAACGTATTTGTTGAGACAACTTTAACCTGAAACAAAAAAAACATTACATTCAAATTTCATTTAATGTTTGTTATTATTATTATTATCATTTTTCTAATAAAAAATCGATTAATCTACATTAGTTGTGAAAATAAATTGAACATAAGCAATCTCTAACGACCAAATGAATTTAAATGGCTGGATATTTAGCCGGTTAGTTTCACAACTAATGTAAATTTAATCGATTTTTAAACTAATCTAAATTTTAATGTGAATTAATTATTAAAAAAAAAGAAAAAACGGAAAATATATCTTTCTTTCCAAGTTTTCTTTTCTCGGCATTTCTTGCTTTCTGAGTTTCTTTTTATAGAATAAATTTTAACCTGAAATAATACAAAAAATAACATTAAATTCCATGTTTGAGTTAGATTCAAATTTCATTTAGTATTACAATTATTATTATTATTATTTTCTTTTATAATAACAAATTGATTGATCTACGTTAATTGTGAAAACAAATTGAACATAGATAATCTCTAACGACCAAATGAATTCAAATGGTTGGATACTATGTCCGGTTAGTTTCACAGCTAATATAAATCTAATCGATTTTAAACTAATCCAAATTTTAAAGCGAATGAATAAAAAAAAGAATAGAAGACATATCCTTTTTAGTTTTTTTTTCTCAGAATCTATGCTTTCTGAATTTCATTTTGTCAATAAAATTTTAAGATTCCATGTTTGAGTTAGATTCAATTTTCATTTAATGTTCAATTATTATTACTATTATCATTTTATCCTAATAAAAACTGATTGATCTGTATTAGATATGATACAAATTGAACATATGTAATCTCTAACGACCAAATGAATTCAAATGGCTGGAAGTATGTCCGGTTAGTTTCACAACTAATATAATCCAATCAGTTTTAAACTAATTAATGTTTTAATGTTTAAAAAAAACAAAGAGAGAAATAAAACACTTATCTTTTTTTCCTGAGTTTCCCTCGACAGTTGTAAAGTTTGCTTGGCACTCGTTTGCTATAACTTTGGCTAACAGGGTTTTCCCATATCCTAAGGAACAAAAACACCAAAAAATGGCCGAATTAGCATTTATAGTTGACATCAATCTCGCTTCACGAGCTAAAAGAAAAGAAATATCTAACCTTTTCAAATTTCTCTGGATGCTCCATAGGGTATTGAACAAGTCTGCATTGCATAGATCATGGATTAGTTCTAAGATACTGAAACAATTTGGATCGAAAGCAAAAGATGTAGTAACAATTTTACCTCCTGTAGCTCTCTCTTAACATTCTCAAGACCTCCGATATCCTCCCATGAGACATTTGGAACCTCCACAACCTGTTAAATGAAATTATTAGAATCGAAACAATGTGAAGAAATAGGTTCTGATTCATATACAAGCAAAGGAACAACACTTACAGTTTCACGAAGTGCAGATGGGTTGATGTTTCCAAGAGCAGTCTGAAAGTGTTCATTAGACACCGCCATGGAGTTGAGGATCTCAGCATCAATTTCGTCATCTTCCAAGACAATCAAAACCATCTTCTCTCTGATACATTGAAGGGCAGCTTCAGTGCATAGAGCTGCAAGATCGGCACCAACATATCCATGTGTGTCCTTGGAGATTCTTTCTAGATCCACCTGTTAAAAAAAAGCAGTTCTTTAATAAACATTGCAACTAGAGAAACATTAACAAAACATGTAAAAATGCTATATTTACTTACATCTTCAGAAAGCGTCATGTTCTTCGTGTGGATCCTAAGAACTTCAAGACGTCCGATTTCATTAGGAACACCGATATCAATATCCCAAACCTTCTCAAAGCCGGGTCGATACTTTTGGGGCGATTAGTTGCTCCCATGACAATAACATGGGCACGCGATTTGAGTTCGTCAGCAAGGGCAATGCACACAGTGTTCTTCCTTCTCTTACTCTGTAAAGGCAGAAGCGGAATCAAGTAAGAAATCACCGAGATATAAAAGATCAGTTTTAAAGACAGAACAAGTTTAGATTTCGACCCCTGACTCAATGCGTTTACAAGATCATAACGAGTAAAAGTGAACAAGTACAATCACGTAAGAATCCATCGGCCAAGCAAGAAAAAAACCCTAATTTGGTAACAATCGTCAATTAAGAAACCAGAAAAAAAAAATTGATTCCAGCGATACAGATTTTTGAATTAGTAAAAATCAAACCTTGAAGAGAATCGTATCGCCACGGAAAACCTTGATGAATCTTTTCCATGGTGGTGGGATGAAGAGAGACGACAGAGTTGTCATCGTTAATGGCTTCGTCGACAACAAGTCGGTTCGGAGACTTCTTCCTTTCGAGAATAGCAGTACTGAAATCCTTCTTCGATTTACTGAAACAAACAAAAGAGAATAAACAAAACTCGGCAGATTAAAGAAGAAATCAACTTTAAAACCCTGATCGGAACCTCAAAAACACAGGGTAGAAGATCAAAACTTGATGATCGGAAAACGAAAATCGGAGATCTAGGTACTTACGAGTCGGGAGATTCAGGTTATTTTGACATGGTGATTGCTGAAAATTGACCAGAGAGTTGCGAAATTGATTTCTAGAGAGATCGATTGATGAGTCTTTGTGAATTATGATTATGGGATCGGCAGATTTCAGGATTTATATCTCTTCTTCTTGTTGGAAAACAGGAAAAAAAAGCCGTTGTATCAGACCGGGTTAATGGAAGCAGATTTTTTACAAAATGCGGTTATTAACCAAACCGGTTTTATGTTTGACAACAAAAAGAAACGGGACTTTTTTTTTTTTTTGCTAATCGGTAGAAAAAAAAAGACTGTTGTTTCTGATTTCTCCTAAAATGTTCCCATACTTTAGTTATCTTACTAATTATTTCAGTTAACCAACTTATCTTCTTTTGATTTATCAAACATTCAATAAAAATATATTAAATAATTTACTTAAAAACAAATGTGCATATTAATTCGTCTAATTGAAACTCAACTAATTGACATCTGTTTTGAAAGTCCTAAGAACATTGGATTTAAAGAGAATTAAATATCAACGCCCTCTTAATGAGAACTTTGGATGTTTTGTTTCATCTCTCACTTGAGCATCTGGATACTTTTAATTTTTTAAGTGCAGTTTTTTTACTGCACCACAAGTAGACTAATTACTTTTCTTGTGACAGCGAGAGTTAAATCCATTCCACTCATATCCGCCTTTTCTCAATCATTTTCATACCATGGCTTATGTTATGTGTAAGATGTAAAACAAGAAACGATGATAAAATGGATGAAACGAGTGCGGCAAATCCATTGAGATCCTTATGATTATAATTTAAAATTACATAGACGAACAATATTTATAAAAAAAAAAAAAAAAAAAAAAAGGAGAAAACGCAATTCAGGTTTGGCCAATTTAGTTTCGGCTTGGTTCCTGGATTGTTTGCACAGCTTGCTGCAAAAGAAAACATATTAAGTTCATATAAATTGTTTACTGATGGTTTCACTGTTAGAAAGTAAAAATATGATATTCTTACTTGTAAGCAAGACAATGTGTAATGCACATCACTTGCTGTTATGTGGTGGTGTATAACCATTCTGATCCTGAAACAACATCCCACGTTAATCGGTATATGACTCACGCTCACAAAAATTAAAACAAAACGAATGTTAGTGTTTACATGTTTTATAGGTTAATAATATTTGTCCAAATGAAATTACAACATTTTTTGCATGTTCATCAAATTTTATTCTTTCACAATTTGCAAAAAATATTTCATTTTATACTTGTTGGTGTTTGCTTTCACAATTTGCGAAATTATTTTATATTTCTTAAATATATATAAGTTTTGAAAAAACTTTTTTCTTGGCATGTAAACGCAAATGCCACGTTTGAAACAATGACTTGCGGAGACATACCGGGATGAGTTTTCCGGGATGACGAGAATGCCATACTCCGTTAGACTCTTGCGTAGTTTCTCAGCGGTGAGTTTTGATCCATCCTCCATATCCATGAAAATCTGAATTAGAGGCATAAATTATTCAACATATAGCTATTCCTTTTTAATTATTATCGTTGATAACAAACAACATTTAGCTGTGACAATACGTACCATGTTGGTCTCCACGGCTGCAACGTTTACTCTAATCCCTTTCATTTTATTCAACCCTTCTGCAAATATATATTTATACCTAATGAGTTTTTCTTCTTTTTGCGGTTAATTATTATAGTGATTTGAGGTAAAATAAGCGGTGCGGTACGTACCAGCTAACAACTTGGCCTTCTTGTGGTCAAATTGTAGCTTAGGGAGATTCTCTTGCAGTGCGACCAAAGCGGCTGCGCACAGAACGCCTATCTGTCTCATTCCTCCACCTAATGTTTTCCTTAACGTTTTCGCCTTTTCTACGAAACTCTGTGAGCCAACGATTACAGATCCTATCGGAGCTCCAAGACCTTTAGAGAGGCACACCTGAAACAGAGTGTGTGTGTGTGTGTGTGTGAGTCTCAATTATCTTTTAGCTAAAAATTTCAAAGGTTAGAGAAGAGAAAGAGAGAAAACGGCACCGAAACAGAGTCAGCAGCCTTTACAAGCCTATGGACTGGAACTCCAAGTGCCTACGAAAAATTAGTCTTGTGGATTATAAACAAAATTAGAGAAGAACAAATGAACAAAGATTGAGAAAGTAGATGAGTGATATTACAATGGAAGCATTAAAAAGGCGAGCTCCATCGATATGAAGCTTAATTCCATGTCTCCTCGCAATCTCACCGACAGAATCTGTGTATTCCGCGCTCAAACATCTCCCGCCAGAGCTGTATCAAATCCCTCATAAGAGACACACACTTACTTGGGAGAAACCATGGATGAAGCGAGCGAGTGAAACTTACTTGGCGTGTGTGTTCTCCAAGCAAATCAACCTTGTCGATGGATAAAACGTGCTTCCTTTAGGGTCTCTAATGGCTGCTTCTATGGCCGCCAAGTCCATCGTCCCGTCTTCTTCGTTCCTGATTGTCTTGGGATGCACGCCTCCGATTGTCGATATCCCTCCATTCTCGTAGACATGGATGTGGCAGGTGTCGCCAAGAATCACCTCGCTGCCTCTTACGTCGCAGTGAACCATCACGCATATAAGGTTCCCCATCGTACCAGACGGCACGAACAGAGCCGCCTCTTTCCCCATCATCTTAGCCATCTCCTCTTCTAGACGTCGAGCGGTTGGGTCGTAGCCGAGAACATCATCGTCGACCTCTGCACTAGCCATCGCTTCCCGCATCGCAGAAGTCGGCCTTGTCACGGTGTCTGATCGTAGATCCACACTCTTCATCACCATCTTTATACCACCAACCTAATACCTACACCACGTTGTTTTTGTCTTCTTTTGGTTAGAAAGCCATAGGAACAACAGTGATGCAGAGGAAGCACTAATTAAAAGGAACCTTGAACTCGTGAGAATTTCCAGGAAAGACGAATCCTAATGAGATTAGGAAACGTAATCCAAAAAGAAAAGAAAGTGTAAAACACAAGAACTATAGGAAAAAAAAAAAAATCAAACCCTTAACAAACTCAAAAGCCCTAACGTGTTAGATAAGGTAAATATGCGCTGCATCAAACACATGGAGTAGAAAGAAAATTCATTTTTTATTAGCTTCGAAATTAGTCTAAAGTTTCAACCTAAAATCACCTGTCAAAAAAAAAAAAAAAAAAAAAGGAGGGAGACAATTTTACCTAATAACACTGAATACTACATTTTCGATCTATCTGCTGCTATCTAATGAAAAGAGAGTCTCCTCGCTCAATTGTTTATAATTTGTGTATCTTACGAATTTGATTCAACATTTGAACTGGTCTTTGGGGACAGCACAATTGACTCTCCTATTAAATTGCAAACCTCCGTACGAATCTCACACATTACTGTCTTAAAAATATAAGAATCTCAGGTGGCGGTTATTAAAATATCCCCTTCCTTCTCAACATCAATCATTACGAGGAAAAATCTTCAGATTCTTCACCTCAACGTGATGTATAATAAAATAGTACTATTATCAAGGAATGAGAAATCAAAAATATTAAAATACAAAAACGAGAGTAGTACAGTAGTAATAAAAGTATTAAGAACAAATTAAATATTGTGTTGAGAATGATCACGCATTGAAATCACCGAGTAACAAGTTTATTTTATTCACTAACAGAGAATGTTTAGGCTTTGAATAAATAAAACGATACAGAATAGCCATTACGAAAGGGTTTGAATATTTAGGACAATGATTAATTGAGACAAATTGTTAAAACAAATTAAGAGAAAACATAAACAAGTTGATAAATAAAACTAGAGGAGTACCTGTGTAAATGAAGGAGGAGGCTCTTGTTTCTGATTCCAATCTGGCCTAAAATCAAATAATTAAATCATAAAAAGCTTCATGAAGCTAAGAGAAAAAAAGTTTCAGATTTGTCTATGGAAGAAATAAATAACAAGAAAGAGCGATAATGAAACACTGAATCTGTGAAGAGGTACTTGGATGGGTGAGGGAAATTGGAAGATCTTTATATTATCAGAATCTGAATCAAAGTCTTTCGGTCTCCTGACTATTAAATAAAGCTGGTGAATTAACCAGGTTCGAAGAGTGCCACGTGGATAATTTACGTGGATTTGATACATACAATCAGGCCAAATTGACCACTTTGGCTATTAGGAGAAAGAAAGCCATAGGAATTATAAGAGCCGTTGGCACTGAAACTTGAAGAAAGAAAATGACAATTTTTTTGTTCGGTAACGTTCACGAGAAAAGGATGAAGTTATGTTTCATATTGGAAGCACACGTACATACGTGTCCAAGGCAGAAAGCAATTCACGAGATAGTTGTCGTCTTCTTATCCTCGGAGGTATCGATGAACCAAACTTATAGTAAAAGTTTTTAGTGTTTATTTTCTTCAGTTGACCTAAATTAAGGCCGTGTCTTTCGTAATTGTTAAAGTCTGATATTTTAATTCTGCCTATAATATTGTAATGATCTATGTTTTAAACCTTATGTTCTTTTTTTTAGAGAAACCGTATGATTCATTATGTCATATTTATTTCTCTCGGTCGAGAACCTCTCTATTATTATACGAGAGAAAAAACACTTAAACGATCATTAGAATTTTTGTTAGGATTACAACTATTTTAATCTAGAATTTATGGATTGGTTTCACCTCGGATATATGGAGTTGGATACGATGGGAATCTGGTGTGGATAAAATATGTTGGGTCATTTGATTCTGATCACACACATATTTACGTATGACTACAAACGTGATGAAACTATAAAGAAAGAAAGAAAAAAAAAAAAGCCAAACATGATTTTGTAATGGGAGTACACACACATAAGTAACACATATAACATGTTAGAAATCCCCAATATAGACATAAACACAGAGAGAAAATGAGAAATATTATAAAAACAAACCTTCATAAACTAACGGTAACCTCTAACTCAGAGTAAGCATCCACCTAAAATCGCATATATATTCTCTATTGTTGAATATCATGGTAAACATTGAATATGTTACTACAAAATGAGTCAACTATATTTATATACTACCAATTATAATTTTATGCCAAGATCATTATGAATATATTCTTACAAAAAGTTACCCCTCCGTTTCAAAATAAATATCGTTTTAAAGTTTTATTTTTGTTTCACAAAAAGTGTTGTTTTGTATTTCCAATACAATTTTTTAAACAAAAATCATGTTTTAACCTTGTTATATGAATGTATTAATTAGAAAGAAAATATTATTTTATGTGTGAACAAAGGGTAAAACATAACTTTTAATATTTTTCTTAATTTGTGTGAAAAGTGTCAAAATGATACTTATTTTGAAACAGAGGAAGTATATAACTAGCAACTATATAGCCAGTAGTACCCTTAATCGTTGGTGTTTATTTATTATCACCTATCAACGTTTCAGACTTTTTTTACAGTTTACTATTCATCATTTCCATGTTGTATTATATAAATCTTGCATTGTCCTTTTTTCGTTTCTCTTTTCTGTTATCTTCTTTTTCTGATATATATTCTCTTATTTTGTCTGTACCAGTTTCCTTTATATTGTTACAATCTCAAATGTTCATGATATGATATTTAACATAATACATTTTATTTTATAAAACATGGGACATATTATAATCTCGTGAACGTTATAATATCACACGTAATTTTTACTATTCTTTAACCGGAAAAACTTTCTTACTAATTTTTTTTTTTAAACTGTTCGTGATATAAAACTTCATACGCACTTAAATTTTTCATTTGATGATGTTAGATATGGAAGTAAATTGTTAAATCGGTACAAAAAGGTAGTAGGTATACGACAGTGATTTTAACCGTGTATGCTTATCAGAACAGAAATATCAAATACAGAGACAAATTATTGGTCAAAAATATAATTGAAGCACCATGTAAGTTGGTTAGTACGTCGTCTAAAAATCTGTTTACCATAAATTAGAGGAGTAACTAAATGTGTTTATATGTTTAAAAGGAGGAGAAGAAGAAGAAGATGAAAAATGAGAGAGAGAAAAGGAACGTACCACTTTAGAAGTAAGAAAGGCGTTGGAAATAGAAGACGAAACTCAAAGAACTCTTTGCTTTTCAAAAGTGTCTTTTAGTGTGGAGCAGCTGTAACTACGTACTCTCATGTCTCTCTCTCTATTTATAGAGATGTGACTATGTGAGTATGAGATATAGAGATGGTGTCAGCTCCAACGTGTCATTTATACTCATGGATCTTGGCGTCTCCGTCTTTATCGTATCTTCCAGCTTTCAAATTCAATTATGCAATCGTTATACGCGTGACACCAAATTATGAAATATTTTTGTATTTTCTGTGGAATTCTCTATAATCTAGTGTTGTTGGGACTACAATAATAATCTATTATTATAATTAGTTAATCGATAACTAGTCAAATAAATTTCCTTAAAAATCTATATATTATAGAAAGAGATTTTACTACGACATTTCTCACTCTAGCCGCCTAACAGTTTTTCTAAGCCGAACCAATCCGATCTAGTGTGTGACACATCTATTTTGCTTAAAACTCTTTGTATATCCATTTGAGATTCTGACCGTCGTGAGTCTTTTCACTGAACAAGACTGATATTGTTTTTCTTTGTTGTATACATGAACAGTCGATATACTAACTTCAAATGATTTTATCAACAGCATTATATATAGAATCACAATCGAAACTTTTGTTTTTCTCAAGCATTTTATTTGTCTTTGGGCTTATGAACTCCACGTCCATTATCATCAATGCCTACATCCAATTTCAATAACATTCCAACAACATTCATCAAAGCCACTAATTAAAAACTTTTATACAAACATCCAGTTACCATAATGTACATGAATGAAGCAGTGGTGGCCTTGCAATAGACTTACATGCTTATTCTTAGTTTGATATATTCAGCTTTTTAATTAATGTTCAGATGGAAAATGTAAATATGTATGGCTTTTAATCAGCCCGCATTTCAGTGTATTTGAATTGATCCACAAACAAGTGAAAGGGATTTTAGTTATACCTAGGTTAAACATGAATGTATACAAAAATGTATGCATGATTTTCTTAGGTGTAAATTTTTATTTTAATAAAGTAAGATCCCGAGAGTGGTTCCATTTGCATTTTGGGTTATGATATTAATATTATACACAAAAAACGAGGGTTGACCCAATTATTAGAAATTAAATACCACTATATATAAATTTCTGTCAACAATTTATTTAGTAGTATTCTAGTTAAAAACGTTTATGTAGCGCGTTTTAAAATCGCAATATAATTATTTGAATTCAGTAACGTGCTACGATCATAAAAGTACGCAGCATGTGTTCGCTTAACACGCCAGTGATTGATCACATCATTTTCAACAAATGATTTGTAATTTCGAACGAATTGATAGATGATGTTTTTCCTTATCATTTATTCTAAAACTTCGAATTACTAATTCCACTAAAATTTGTCAATTGAAATCAAACGTAGATGTATTTGGACAAACCACCAAAATTAGTGATCTATTTTATCCCGATCATCAATCTTGAAAAAGTTGGAGCTACAGTATTACTAACATATTATTTCTGATAATCAAAAGCAAAATCATTATGATTAAAGAGCATTTAGTGCAGCAGTATACCTCGACATATTATTTTTTAGAAATCGTCGACCAAGGTCCATACTTCAACATGCGATTCTAAGGGTTTTTCTCTAATGGTAAATTAACTTGATTTTCTAGAAAACATATTCAATCTCCCAAGAAAATAAACTTTTCATCTCAGCCACAGGCTATACAGCAAAAACTTTTCAAAAACCCTCTGATAGATCAAGTCTCACGTGGGCTCTCTCGCATTATCTGTAATACGACGCCATAACATAGAGCATCAAAGCTGATGAGGCCGTCACTATAAGTTCCTGCAACCCGGTATCAACATTAGCAAGCTGTTGGTTCAGTTCTTCTTACAAAACATCACAAGCCTGGTTTGTGGTTATTGATAACTAATCAAGTTAGAGACCAGGTCCTTCTCTTTGTTAAATCTTGGTTCAGAGATCGTGGCAAACATATCCAACTCAAGCGTTCTCATTTAATGCCGTAAACTTGTAAATCTAGTTTTCATTTCAGTAGAAGTACACATACCGTAATACATATACATGTGACCAAGTCAATTATATTACGGATAAATGGCACGGTCATCTACAACCTAATCAACTAGTGCTGCTCGTTGAGGCTTTAGCCAACAACTGAGCTAATGATGGTAAACCAAAATGATAATTTGTATGGGACTAAGTTAAGGGAAGCTTTCAAGTGTAGAGAAGAAGGGGATCAGGCAAGAACACTAACCTGGTTATTGTAAAGAACAATGGGTATGGAGCTGCCCATGTACTCGATGCCATTTAAGATCCCGGTGTACGCCTGCAAAGCATGATTTACTAAGAGTTAAACGTAGAATATAAGCAAGTAAGAGAACTTTTGAGGTATCTAAAAACTATCAGGAGAATCCAAAACATAATGTTTCGACACTGTGAGCTGTATTTATATCACATAAGCCGCTTTCTTTGAATAGAGTAAAACCAGTACCAGATAGTGCAACATAAAACATATTCTTCTTAAATAGTCTTGGTAGGTTTACATACCAAAGATGCCACAAGTATAGAGCCAAAAACTAATGAAAGAGACCGAAGAAGCCTCTTTCCCATTCTCAATCCCCGTCCGTTATCTTCGCCTTCCTCCTGCAGCAAGTGCCAACGTCAATGCCAATCAGGACTACGGGTCACCACGTGTATCGACATTAAAACATATGGCTTCAAAAAATTTCAAAACTCACGTTATATGTTGGAGATGAAGGTGCTTCAAAGGATTTTAATTTCTCAAAAATTCTGTAAACAAATACAAAAGACATAAACTGCAGCGGTTTGTATTCAACACTGCGCTTTATGGCAATCCATGCACTCTGCAAACAAGAGAGAAACAGAGGCAGAGAGAGATTCATATACGATTGTGAGACCCAAATATTAGAAATGTCATATAGATGTGTGAGAAACGAGTCATCTTTTCAGCAAGAAACAAGCATTTAAACCGAAGGATGACACTTTGATTTCACCAAGGGTACAGATGTTGGAAAAACAAAATCAGCGTTGAGAAACATAATCTTCATTCCACTGAAATACTTACAAACACAGCGGCTATTGCTAGGTTGATCAACATATCATTTCTGGGGGACTTGGAATACCTGTGATAAGATGGGTAAAAAAATCATGATTATTACATGCTTCTGAAGGATGAAAATAAATAATCTGAGTGGTGGACTCATAAAGAATCTCTACCTTGGACCCCATGGTATCATGGGTTGCTTATCAGCATATTTAATGTCCTTGGAAACCTGAATTACGAGAAATTCACCCAGGATTAAGAAAGAAAGTCCACAGAGTGAATCCAAGACAGAGTACATAGCAAGGAGGACACGATACATACCTTAAACGAACCGAAAGTCACACCCTTTTTCCTATCCATTAGCTGGGAATACATGAGCTTATCATATGCTTTCTCAAGCTACCAAAAGAAAAGTAGGGACGTGTTAACAAGAAAACGAAAAAAACATCATTCCTCACAGGACTCCAAAGATAGAGAGAGGTAACTTACTAGAGCAGCAGTGTCTTCATCACCACTCCTCTGAGCATCTTTAAGTTTTCTTCCATATGTCTGTTTGATCTTGTCAAATCCCTCTATTGGGTTAACACCAAGAACCTGAGAAGGTATGCACTCATGTCTTGAGGAGTGCAGTACTAAACAATGTCCAGCAAAACAAGTCCTTTTCTAAGGAGTCTAAAGATCAATTACCTCATATGGGTTAAAGTCAGCATCGGACTGTGGGTTTCCAGCCGCAGACGAAGCAGCACGTATCACAATCCTGCTCTGTAACACCCTTCCAGGGGGAAGCCTGGAAAAAAAATCATACATCTTCATTAGAATAAAGAATGGTCTGAGCGGACTTGAACACAACAATGGAGCTCCGTTAAGTGCTGTTGAAAGTTATAAACTTTGTGGCCAACTGTAAGAAGCGCCCCAGCGTAGAAGCTCAATCACAAATGAATACGCCCACATAGATATCAGAATTTGATTGAAAGGCTTGATAAAATGACAAGATAAGGGTTTGTCACAGAGTTGATGAAAATCTCAGAATAACAAAACAAAACAGACGTTATGACTGCTGAATCCTGATACTAAGCAAGTCGTAGAAATGAAGGAAAGACCCCAAAAGTAAGAAGCGGCAGGAAGTAGCAAACGATGTATCTTTCAATTGTAAAGCCGCCGAAGAAATCACCTGACAAAAGAAGGCGATTTGGGAGTTCGAAGGGTAAGGAGTGAGCTCCTGTCACGAATTTGAGGATGAGGGTAACGGAAGGCGTTGGAAATAGCGAAAGCCATGATGGAGGAGGAGTGTACAGAATTGAGTGGAGATGTTGCGAGAGCCCAAGTAGGGCGCAGAAGCACATAACAAGCGAAAGAAAGTTCGGCGACAAGATTACTCGTGATATATTTTGAAACTAGAGGCACAACAATAAGTTCGCGTGGCCTAATGGATAAGGCGCTCGCCTCCGGAGCGGGAGATTATGGGTTCGAGTCCCATCGTGAACGTTATGGGCCTCTGTATGACTGTGAATTGGATTCGTATTATTTTGTGGGCTTGGTCATCAATTACATTCACTATTAGTTTTTTTGGGTATTTTGAATGCGTTTGTGGATTTTGGTAGTATTTTTACTTTTGCTTTCTTGATTTCCTGTCATTGCTGCGGCATTGAAACGAGTGTCCCACAGTATTTAAAAAAGTTCATTATTCTGATTATAACGAAGGGGACAGGAGACAAAATTGGATAATTTGGATTAACACATGATTGGAGCGGAGCCACTTTGTAGATAATGGGGCCAGGCCTTATATGAAGACAATGGGGCCAGGCCTTACAAAATCTATAAAACTTGGTCTGTAAGTTTACTTTACGTGTGAGTATTTGAACGCGTTTGAGAATATTGTTTTGTTAGCTTTCATTGTTCTCGATTTTTCAGTTGAAGCAATGGATTTTGATTCCTGTATGCCACACCCAATCAAGACACAGGTGTCCCTAAAATAATGTCATCTGTTTTCTTATCTCAAGAAAGAGACCAAGAAAATTCATTATTTTTTACAAGTTCATTCTCTTTGATTAACAAAATGATTATTCTCTACTTTCTGTTCCATTAATTTCCAACTGAAATCTCACTTTGCTACTTCATCATTTTAATTTGTGTATTTCATACTCATGGTTTATGGATTCATGACATTCGTCCTTGCATTGCTCATTTAGGACAAAATATTGACTGTCTATGTGTTTGGTTTTTGTTTAAGATTTGCTCAAACAATTGTTATAAGAGGGCAAATACACAATTATATGGACGTGTGACGACTTAAGTATGTACATCAAAATTATTAGATTATCCATTCCTTTAACTGGAAACAATTTACACTATATAAAAAACGTAAATGTACAATATTAGACTACTCATAAAGTAATTACCATTTTACATCAACAAATCTTAAATATATAAAGGATGGTTTTTGTTTTATTTGATTTAGATGTTACTTGGAGAAGGTTTGTAAGTATACTTTTCTAAACATTTTTCTAGAATTTGTTAGGATGTAAATTATTGAGATTCTATAAAAATGTTTAGAAAAGTATACTTACAAACCTTCTCCAAGTAATATCTAAATCAAATAAAACAAAAAAAGGGATCCGCAAGTAATAATAAGTAAATTATTTTCCATAGTATATAATTTGACATAAGATAGTCTTATAATACTATTCAAAATGACTTTTTTGTTTTTGTTTTTGTTATAAGCGGAAAATATAACGTTGACGGAAAAACAACCGTATCGTATCTTAAGGGGGAAACATGTAGCATCAAAGCGAATATTCCTTGAGAATTTTTCGGGGGCTATAAAGAAAAGGTACAGCCGACTCAGGGGCTCCTCTTCAAAACACAACTTTACTCAGCAAAACCAAATCAAAACAAAAAAAACAATAGCATGACTTGCAGCCAAACACTCGGAAACCACCACAACAACAAGTACCAGATCTGCGAAGAGATCGGCCGTGGACGCTTCGGCACCGTCGCCCGCGTCTATGCTCCGGCCACCGGTGATTTCTTCGCCTGCAAAACCATCGACAAGAGCTCCCTCACCGACGCTCTTGACCGTGCCTGCATCGACAACGAGCCCAAGCTCATGGCTCTCTTATCCTACCACCCAAACATCGTCCAAATCCACGATCTCGTCGACACTGATTCCACTCTCTCCATCTTCATGGAGCTCGTCGATCCCTCCGTCTCGATCTACGACCGTCTGGTTTCTTCTGGAACCTTCTCCGAGTCCCAGACGGCGTCGTTCGCCAAACAGATTCTCCAGGCGCTCTCGCATTGCCACCGATACGGCGTCGTTCACAGGGACATCAAGCCGGAGAACATTCTGATGGATCTACGCAACGATACTGTTAAGATCTGCGATTTCGGGTCCGGGATCTGGTTGGCTGAGGGCGAGTCCACCGAAGGCGTCGTCGGAACGCCGTATTACGTGGCGCCGGAGGTTCTGATGGGTTGTTCGTACGGAGAGAAGGTCGATGTCTGGAGTGCGGGCGTGGTTTTGTACACGATGCTCGCCGGAACTCCCCCGTTTTACGGGGAGACGGCGGAGGAGATTTTCGAAGCTGTGCTCAGAGGAAACCTCAGGTTCCCGCCGAAGGTTTTCAGGGGAGTTTCTTCGATGGCTAAAGATTTCCTGAGGAAGATGATTTGCAAGGATGCTTCTCGGAGATTCTCAGCTGAACAAGCTCTCAGTAAGATTCTTTCTCCCTTTTTTTCCTCTTTAATTTCGAAATTATGTTCGTAAAGTCATCCATATTTGTTTCCTTTTAACGTATAAAGCAGATTATTTCTCTTAAAAACCTTAAACTGTTGACATTGATCCGGATCTTCCGTACAGTATAGTAGAAAAGTCAAATTTTTATAGAGTTTTAACCAATTATTGTTTAATATATTTGCAGGGCACCCATGGATTCAAAGAGCAGGAGAAAAAGAGGAGAGATTCATCTGAAAAAAAGAGAGATTCGGATAATAGTATAAAAGTGAAGAGAGGAGAATAAATAAAGTAGCAAGCAGTAGCCAGTAGTAATAAGTAAAGAGTGCTTATCGTATGAGTGTGTCGGCACATGTAAATTGGGTTTGGCTTTGTAAATTCCGCCTACCCACATGACTCTTGTGGAACAAAAAGCACTGAACATAAAAAAAAAAAAGGAGCTAAAAAGAGAGAATGATGCCAAGCTGGCTTCTTCTGAGTTTGGCGATGAGTTTTTTTTTTGTTTTCCTTTTTCCATTTTGTGAATTTTGGCTTTCAAGGGTTGCGTCTTTAGGATAGACCTTAGCGTAGAGGATAACTATCTTTTTCCGCCTTTTACGGGGTTTTTTTTTTCCTTCTGGGTGAGTAAAAGGATGAGAGAAAGCAGAGTTGTACTCTCTCTGTTTTTCCGCTTTTATCAATAATATAAAATTTTGTTGTTTCGCTTCATTTTTCTTTGCTGAATTTTTCTTCTAAATTCCAATCCAAACTTGTCACATATGAATAAATGATGTTATCATTTTATACTGCTATTAAAAATTTTACCTGAGAAAGTATATCGCAATTTTGATGACTATCCAGTCAAATACAATATTTTTGCTTTTACAGATTTAACTGATGGATTAAAAAATTACACCAAACAAAAACATATACTAATTTGATTTAAGCTTTCGATGATGTTAGGAAAATACTGGTACAGTATAAGCTTTCGATATTCATTAAGACATAAGAATTTTATATTTTGTTTTCTCTATACTTTTTGTTTTTCAAATACCAACTTGGTTTAAGAGTCCAAAATTTTCTAGTAAGATTCCACCGATTTAAAGTTTGTGCCCACCTTTTTTGTGTAAGATATCAACTTTTTATATAAAATAAAAAAGAAAACAAAAGAGATCAACTTTTTCACTCACTCAGTCACTCACGTCTTTGATGTACCAAAAAGATGTACGGTGGCCTAACAATTCCAATCTCCTTATCTACGGCACTTTTGTACATTTGCAACGTTGGCTTAAAAGTAAAGTCCTGAGTTTTTCAACTTCTCTACATTTATTCTTTTGTCTGCCCAAATATATATACTGGGAATCTTTTAAATTCAAAACACATATGTGTTTTTCATTTGAGAATATTCCTTCACAAATTAACTTTAAATAAAGGTTCCAACCTCCCTAAGATATTCCCACCCATGTTAAGTATATGCCTTGGATCAAACCCCTATTTATTCCTTTCTTGTAGAGGACTCTTAAGTTTTAACGTGGCTCACGAATCTTCCGAGTTAGTGGAAGATACTACAGTTTGATTTTAAACGTTCTTGTTCGTCCATGAAATAAATGTGAACGCATTAGATTCTTTTCTTTATAAGACACACAACGCATGAAGAATCCTAGAATCTTTTTAATTGAATAACTAACCATATAAATTTGGCCCTATTCAAGGAATAAATAGTTTGGTTACTGAATGCTGCGTGATACTTCGCATGTTCGGTGACGTGGTGTTATATTAGCAGGCACTATCAGTCCAAAACACTTTATAAATCACTAACTCCGACTATAATAACCAAACAGGAAATACATCTTAATTAAATAAAGCCTATTTCACCGGCACAGCATCGTAAACCCGTATGTCACGTAACTGCGTGGGATTTTTTAATGGTGTTATATATCGTGGATTCTAGCAATGAATCCACTAAAGGATTATTTATGTAGATTTCATTAAAAAAAAAATCAGTTTTTTTAGTTGAAGCTTGCATAAGAAGCGGAATCTTTCGATAAAAGGAGATGTTAATCGTTATGCAGCTTTGTTTTTTTTTTCTTTTCTCTCTCTTTTGAATTGCATTAATAATCTAAATCAAATAAAAAACAATGAAATAAAACAAAATTTGGCGCTGGAAAGAAAAACAAAATTTGATAGAAGAAACTAACGAGGAGGAGAAGACAACACAGCACCCTGACCCTACCCATGTGGTACGGTTGGTTAGTGGATAAATATATCTCATCGATGACTCTTGAGGTGTTATTATGGGTATTGAATAAATTTGTGGCAACTCGTAATTTCATACACATACTACGTACTACTTTGACCGATTACAACATACTTGTTTCAATATTGTTAGATCCAGAGTTTGAGTTTAGTACTATATACTACTTTTGTTAAAGAAGCCATTTGTATTAGTCTGACAAAACTATCATAATCTTCGGTTCAAACCTCTGATATTCAAATTTTGAAACAATAAACACCAGCGAAATATAATAATATACTATCAAATATAGAGAGGGTAAATGGGTAATAATGATTAATAAAATGCTTATTAGTTCGGCTCCAGTACACACAAAAAATATTATTCATTAAATGAGTAGATGCGATTTAAGAAGGAAAACTGTTCCTGAAAGAATCATGCAAGAAGAGATAATCTAAATTAAATTATTGAAACCAAACCTAACTTATCTTGAAACCTGTCAGAGTCTTATAAGAACCCAACATTTTCACTGTTTCCTACGTGCGACATGTTTCGAGAAACAAATATTATATAAACAAATAATTTGTGCCGTTGTGGAATTGTCTTTTGAGGACGCGTCAAAGCCAAATGCAACGCTAGAAGCGGGACCCATTAAGGACTGGTGATCAGCAGTTTGACAGATCACGTCATGTGGTCGACCGAAGAATCAACTACGTGGTGGTTGATAAGCTATCTTTTTTTCTTTTTTCCTTTTTTCTATTAAGTATCTTCCTTTGGATAGTAGCGATTGCGTATAATAAATTTATCTTTTGTCTATAATTGCCTCAGAGATGTTCGTACAATAAAATAGCCCCAAAAGTCAGATCAGAAAATGCAATCACGTGGTTAATAAACTATCGCGTCGTACCCAAGAAGAAACAAATGAAAATGACCGATAAATAACTAAATTCATATGGTGGTTGAATACTCATTCCATTTGGATTAAAACTCGATTTAAGGATTATGATTTGATATAGGTAAACATGAAATGTGATTTGATATCAGCATATTTTTAGCATATTCTCTCGTAACTTAAATCTAATAAAAATTCGAGTTGATCTCTCCATATATAAAATATCCTCATCTGAGTATATGCCTTGGATCAAACCCTAGTATCTATTCCTTTCTTGAAGAGGACTCTTGTTCTGAACGTGACTCATGATGAGTGGAAGATACTACAGTTTGATTGACATTTATGAATAAAAAGTGAACGCACGGCACATAGCAACGCATGAAGGGAGCCTCTAATTTTCAAAGAAGTACAAAAATTAAATAACTAACCATAAATAAGCAGTTCTAACTAGAATATAAATCTGTTCTGTGCTGTATAATTGCGTGATACCTCATACCTCACATCACATCGTGCTTATAATTAGCAGCACGAATCAGCCCATAAACACTTGTATAAGTTATTCGGATTAAAATAATTAAATAACTAACCAAACTATATCTTAATTTAATAAACCTTCTTCGTAGCGATTGCGGCAGTATAAATCGTACCCGCGTGGTATTGGTTTGGTTAGTGAATTTATATTAAAAAAACTTTTATCACTACCATAACTCTTAGAAAAAGGGAATAAAAAGCTTTCTAGTGATAAAAGCCGCCTTGTCATCGCATAGAAGTTGTAGTCATCGATCAAAAGCAGCCGTCGTCGTCGGTTGGTGGAATATACCAAGGAGATGAGTCGTCCGCAGCGAAGGGTGGATGTCGATGTAATTATTTCATCTTCTTAACTAATACTATTGACTATTGTTTAAAGGTTGATGTGTTGGAATTTTATCCATGATTTTGTCATAATAATAAACCCTAGTTCTTAAACGCACGCGTAGCTTATTAGACAAGTCAAGGAAATCGCAAACCCAAACTCTAACTGATTGTTTCAAATATCCCGATTCCTTAGTTTTTCGATACAGAAAGACCCGGTCTCCTTGGACTGAGAGGCTTTGACTGTGAAGGCAATAATCCTAAGTATCCGTTTCGTGCCTTGGTCAAGCTTTATGCTAAGCTTGGGCTTCATCGTTACAATTTGTTAGAGGTAAACACTACTCTGGTGCTTTTAATTGATATGTCTTTTTATACTTTCTTTGTTTATACTTTCTTTCTTCTCTCCTTATAGGGCACAAACTTCGATTTCCATAGCCTTTAGTTCTTCAACATGAAAATCGGCGGTGGTGCTTCCTCTTACTACATCACCTTGGCAGGATGCGCTCCAGATAGTGATTTGCAGCAAAGTTTCCAGGTTATAGTTGCAGAAGAGCGTCTAGGCCTTTTAGATGTTAAGGTCTCTATGCCTAGACCTCGAGGTGAAGATGAAGATGAAGATGAAGACGTAGTTGAAGTTGTATTGCCTGATTGGCCTTCAGAGACTGATTTCAGTGATAGGAAGCGCTTTCGCATGGTAAGATTCTTGGATTAAGACGACACTCACTTGCATCAGTTTTGCTGCTGCGTAATGCTGATATGTTTTATCCTTTGCAGTTGAAGGAATCAGAGCTGCGATCCAATGATTGGATCACTCTGTACTTGGAACTTGCACTCGCTGCTCACGATAGGACCCTTACAGATGTAAGGGGTTTCTGTTTTTTTTTTTCTCTCATTTATTTGATCGCATATCTCAATGACATAATACCAGTGACATTATCGTGTTTAATTTGTGTTACAAAACTGTTGTTGCTGCAGCTTGATCTCTTGGAATTGGAGATTGTTCAAGTGGCTATAGAAGATGTGGAAACGCCAAGAAAGGGGGCCAAAACTGCAGTTTATTATATATCGTATAAAGACGTGGCAAAAGCTCGGAAGGGTGAGCCTGTTGATCGGAAGGCTGTGGTTAGAAGAGTGCTCGATGAGCCTTCGGGAGAATTGGCTCTTGTCGGTGAAGAAATAGCTCTTGTTGGTGAAGAAGAAGAAATATCGGGAGAATTGGAAACTTATTGTTAGTTTCGCTGGTGTTGATCTCAGAATCTAACATCAATAGTGATTTGTCTTTAATCGTAGGAAGGAGATTACGACGTACATTGTAACAAGGACGACCTCACAAAAGATTATTATAAGTAAAGAAAAGCTGCGTGGAGAACTAATGGACATTAAACATTGCCTCGACGAAACCCGTTACATTCTATGTTTGATGAAATGAAAGAAGCTCTACTTTGTCACGCCTCTGATTCTAGTGAATGATGCCTCACGCAAACAAGACCGTCCAGTTTATTTCACATCCATCTTGTATAGTGATCCCTAGCTTCTTTTCTCAAGCTCCCAAACGGCATCACTTCCCATTTCTTGTAATCTGACTTTTTTCCTCGTCTCACTCATGTCCGGGGATCCTGAGACGGGCCCTTTTGCAGGGTCTGCGTCGCCCCACACCTTGCAATTACCGAACTGTCCTCGCCCACCCCTCTACGAACTAGTTGCCTGTTGGCTCCTCTGTAAGGCAGCTGCGTGGGCTCGGCTTATCATTTCACGGCTTGCCACGCTCGACCACTCTTCCTTCCTCTGCGACCTCATGGGAGAATGGATCCTGATTACCTGCCGAGCAATGATTTATTCAGATAAGACCACAAAAGGAGCAGAAATAGAAACAAAACGTTTTGGCAAGTGATCTGTACACCAAGACACTCTAGAAGTTGGTAGTATGCCCTTCCTTCAAGTGGGTTATGCCCTTTCCTTGGCGTCGAAAAGTAACGCGGGGACAGGGTTTCTCTCTCGCTGCTTCATATTTCAAAGGCTCTTCGTCAAACAATGCTGCAGAATCAATACCTAAACGTTTCTAGCCGACTTGAGTAGCAGATAGTCCGAAAAATTTATTTGCCGGAGATGGGATTTGGGTTGAGAAGGCCCAGCTGAAACCCAGTAATGAATACTCTTACATCACCTGGCAAATTCTTCCTAAATCGATAAAACGTAGAAACATCCGCCGCTCGCAACCGTCGAAATTTCGGATCACAAATTCACCATCTTTTGAGTTACCAGGAAGAGGAAGATGAGTCGTCTGGTGGAATTCGATGTAATGATTCCATCTTCGTTATTAATTTTTGTTTAGAGGTTGATGTGTTGGAATTTTATCTATGATTGTGATTTTTGTTTTGTTGTCGACCAAATTAACCCTAGTTCTGAACGTACGCGTAGCTTATTAGACAAGTCAAGGAAATCGCGCACAAACCTAAACCTAAACCTAACTGATTGATTATTTTCTAAATGGCTCTTAGCGTTTCAAATATCCCGAGGGTATTCCGGCTGAAACATTGCGTTGCCATCGACTGGGGCACTTCGACTGTGAAGGCAAGGATGGGCTTGATTGGTATCCTAATTGTTATCTTTTGTTGAAGTGATTCAGAAGACAATAAGATTTCAAGCTTAACTGAATACTTCGACTTGTATTGATAGAAAATGAAGAAAAAAAAAGAAGGTCTTTTATAGACCGTTACAGAAGAAACAAATATGACCGAATCAAATTCAACAACTTCCTAATATCTCGAACTGCAGCTGCTACAAACTAGGAGGATTTATTCAAACATGAGAACTTAAACAACAACTAACGACTCTGTTTTATTCTTCACTAATTGTGCCTTGGTGAGGCTTTATGCCAAGTTGAGGCTTCATCGTTTCAATTTGTTAGAGGTAAAGAAACTAGACTCGTGTGTATATATCTTATGTAGCACATTATACACACATTCTCAATTTTGTTGTTCTTCATCTGGTTTAAGGAAAAAGCTTCCAGCTCCATCGCTTAAAGTATTTCAACACGAGTCTTCATTGTGGTGCTGCTTCGTATTACATTACTTTGTCTGCACGGGTTCCAGCCAGCGGTTTGGAGCAACTCTTTCAGGTTAAAGTCGATGAAGAATGTCTTGGTGTTTTAGATCGTGGATAGTGTTACGATCGGTTGCTTCTTTGAGGCCCATGAGATGGCCCCTCCCCCAAGCATGAACACGTATCCTGATGTGCTTCGCCTGTCATCTATATCTCCTGCATAGTCACTATCAACATAGCCAACCAGCTTTCCTCCTTCCCCTGATTTGTACTGTATTCCATAGCTCATTGTACCTTGTACATACCTGAGAATCCGTTTTGTGGCGAGCAAGTGTTGCTCTCTTGGACTCTCCATGTACCTGCTAACAATATCTACAGAGTAGATCAGGTCTGGACTGGTTGCTGTCAGATATCTCAGGCTTCCAACAAGTTGTTTAAACATTGTTGTATTCACTTCTTCTCCTGCACCCGTCTTTGAAAGCTTGTGTCCAGGGACTATTGGATTTTTCACAGGATTGCACTCTTCCATCCCATACTTCTTAAGAGTTTCCTCTGCGTACTTTTGTTGACCGATGAAGATTCCATACTTATCTTGCACCACTTCTACGCCCAAGAAATACTTCATTAATCCCAAATCGGTCATAGAGAACTCTTCCATCATTGAAGTTTTGAACCGTGCGAGCATAGTACTTGAGTTACCCGTGTATATGAGATCGTCAACATAGATGCTCACTAACAAGACGCTTCCATTCTCCTTCTTCATGAATAGCGCGTGCTCGCAGTAACACTTTTCAAAACCCTCCCTTAGAAAGTATACTTCAATGCGACTATACTAAGCCCTCAGAGCCTGTTTCAACCCATATAGCGCTCTGTTCAGTTTATATACTTTGTGTTCTTCTCCTTTTACTTCAAATCCCTTAGGCTGCTCAACATACACGTCTTCTTCTAATTCTCCGTGTAAGAAAGCGCTCTTGACATCGAGCTAGTAAACCTTCCATGTGTTTTGAGCGGCTAGGGCTAGTATTGACCTGATGGTGTCCCATCTCGCTACCGGAGCGAACACTTCGTAGAAATCAACTCCTTGTTTCTGATGATATCCTTTTGTAACCAATCTGGCCTTGAACTTATCCACCTCTCCTCTCTCATTAAGCTTCGTTTTATAGATCCATTTGACACCAATCACCCTTGCTCCTTCAGGTAGCTCCATGAGTTCCCATGTATTATTCTCTTCGATGGAAGCAATCTCAGCTTCCATTGCTTTCCTCCACACTTCTTCTTGTACTGCTATCTCATAGCAGTCAGGATCTTCTGAAGCGATGAACATCGCAATGATGTCTTCTCCTTCTTCTGAGACAACAAAGCCAGCTTTTCCTCCAACATAATCCTTCATCCATATTGGCGGTTGCCTTTGTCTCGCTTCTCCTGATCCTGCTGCATTTTCTGCAGGTATTGCTTGCTGTACTTCCTCTTCTCCTTCTGCTATTTCTTCTCTAGTTTCATCTTCTTCTGTGTTTTGATTACCACCACTTGACTCTTCTGCAGCGTTTTCTTCTGATTGTGAGGCAGAGTTCTCATTGTTCTCCATTGTCTCCTCTGTCTCAGAGTAATCTTCATCATCCTAGACGAGTTCCTTGACTGAATTAAGTTCTTCCCAGCCCCATCCTTGTCTCTCGTCAAATTGTACATCTCGGCTGATTACTATCTTCTTTGTCTCAGGTATGTAGAGACGATATGCTTTAGATTCCTTGCTTATGCCAAACATCACACCCTTAATACATTTCTCATCAAATTTGATCCTCTTCTCATATGGAACTAAAGCATACGCAGTACATGCAAATACTCTGAGATGCTCTACTGTTGGTTTCAGATTGCTCCACTTCTCCTGAGGAGTTACCTCCCCCAAAGCAGCTGATGGACTGCGATTCAGAACATACACGGCATAAGAAGCAGCTTCTGGCCAGTATTTCCGAGGTACTGACATCTCAAACAACATGCATCTTGTCATGTTCATAATGCTTCGATTCTTCCTCTCTGCGATGCCATTCTGCTGTGGTGTGTAAGCAGCTGTGAGTTGTCTCCTAATCCCGTTTTCTTTGCAATACTCCTCAAACGCCTTGGAGTTGTACTCACCCCCACGATCTGTTCTTAAGCACACCAAGCCTTGTCCCAATTCCCTCTCAGCTGCTGTTCGAAACTCCTTGAACACATATAGCGCTTCTGACTTTTCTGAGAGAAAGTAGCTCCAACATTTCTGACTATAATCATCAATGAAGTTGATTATATACTTCTTACCACTCTCAGATGTTGGGGTAATTGGTCCACATATGTCACTGTGAACTAGCTGTAGCCCTCGAGTAGATTTCCAGAGACTTTTCTTGGGAATGTTTTCTCTGTTCTGCTTTCCCTTTAGACACACCTCACATACAGCTCCATCATTTTCATCTTGGAAGAGACTTGGCATCCCATTCACCATCTTCTTTTCCACCAGCAATTTAAGTCCCTTATGGTTGAGATGTCCAAATCGCTTGTGCCAGAGCTGATCAGCGTTCTCTACCACCTGCAGACACTTGCTTTCTGCAGTCTCCTTTGTGTTTCTCACTTTTGCCAAAATGATAAACATCCGGTTCTTCGACATTGCCGAATGCATAATCACTTTCCTCAGACGCTTGTTCCAGATTTCACACACATCATCATCAATGGTGAACCTCAGTCCCTTTTGTTGTAGTTGTCCCATACTGAATAGGTTGTTTTTCAGTCCTGGAACATAGTAGACAGAAGTGATCACCGTGATCCCTCCATTGATCTCCAATCGCACATTGCCTCTGCCTTCAACTGTCATCTTTCTGTCATCTCCAAGTTTCATACTTGCACTGAAGTTCTTGTCAAGCTCGCTGAACCATTCCTCGTTTCCACACATATGGTTGCTGCATCCCGAGTCTAAGAACCAGATGTGTTCGTCTTCTTCTTTACTGATGTTAACATGTGCCATTAACAGCATGTCTTCCTCCAACTCTGCATAATTGGCTTCTTTTTCCCACTCCGGACACTCAGATTTATAGTGTCCCTTCTTATGACACTTGAAACATTCAACCAGCTCCTTGTTATAGCTTGAGCTTCCATTTCCTCGGCCTTGATATCCTCCTCTGCCTCTCCCTCGAGTCAGATTTCTTCCTCGGCCTCTTCCATTTCCA